ACAACCAGGAGTATCTGACAGCCGACTTGTCGAAGTTCACGATTCCAGACAACGACCTAGGTTGGGTCGATATGGACGACTTCATTGAACTTGGCTGGATCTTGCCCTCACGTCGGCATCCTGAAACACAGATCCTCCCTCTAGCATTCGCGCCACGATTTACGTACTTCCGTCAAACTGATCATGCCAACAACATATCAGGCGACAAACACCGCAAGAGCGCATTCGGTAACGAGCCGACTCATCATTGTGTCATTTCGGCGAGGAATGATCCACGTCGGGTACAATGTCAACTGATTGAACAACGGATTGAACGTGTAAAAGAGCAAGTTGCTCTCAACCAGCATGCAGTCAACGACCAAGAACTCAAGGTCGTCCGTGAGACGTCAGACATGCAACAAGAGTCGCGACGCCGTCTTGAGGCTCTGCGTAATCATTCTCAATTCCTTCAACGAAAATTGGAATTCCTCTCTACAATGCATGCTAGTCTGCTGGAGCGGCTAGAGACTGCCGCGTCTTCACCAGACAATACGGTTGCAGAGCCTGATACCGACACAGAAGATGAGTATTTCGAAGCAGACGAAGCTCAAAATGCTATCGACCCTGAACACAAGCACACCGATGCGCCTCCTAACCCTATCACGGACTTCACCAACGACTTCAACAATCGATTCATCATCCACAACATCCACCTGAAGTGGGGCAACTCCCTGCGCAACATCATCCTCCGCTACATACACCAAGTCAGTCAACGTCGAGGTTTTGTCTATTACATGTCACGAAGGGCAGTGAAATTCATCCTTGACGTTGTTGAAGAGCAGAATAAGTCCCGTGGACCATCTACATCTGGACCCGACGAAACACCCATGGCTGGCGATAACGAGGCCGGACTAAACATTGACGAAACGATCGAGCAGTTGCTTCGCGACGGCAGGAATTTCGTCAATGCCGATGAGGAAGACGCTAAAAGTAAGACCACTAATGGCACATCCAGCGGTGTCGGCGACCCTTCACATGCGAGTCCTACAAAGGCGGATGAGGACGTTGCAGACGACTATGTCTCTCAAAACTCGTATCTCGTACGTCTTATCGCACCGCAGATCCAGTTGCAGAGCGAGAAAGACACCAAGTCTGCGGTACTCGTCACGGCAAAGGGTATGCAACTCAAGGTCCTACAAATCATGGACAAGGACCGTGTCATGGATGAGGTCTCGGGTCTCGTTCAACGAAGGTTCATCGCCGCTATGGACAGTCTGCAAATATTTGTCACAAACTCAAAGACCTTCAGCAGTCCGGAGGATATCCACATGTACTCCGGAAGCATGTACGGAACGCCAGCTGGCTCCGCATGGCCACCATGGGTACCATTCGAGGTCATGTTCGAGTTTCACAGCAATCCGTTTGGCTTCCAGCGCGTGGTACAGAGAACTTCAGCCAGTATGCGCTACGATAAGCACAACGCGCTGCGCCTGAAGTACAACGACGATGTCTCGGCTGCTGACTCAGCTACATCTGCCGACAACATGGAAAGCCGTATTGACCACCTATGGGTGGACTTCCCACACGTGCGGGCCCTGTGCGACTCTAGGCAGTACTATGCGATGTACGTCATCGTATTGGATCTTTTGCTGTACCACGAGCCTTTGGAAAAGACGCGTAACGAGCGACTTGAGAAGATCATGCTTGCCTCTGACTTTACGGATCTTGCCGGAGCTCCCAAGTTAGTCATGGGCCTTCAAGAGCGCATTCAACAACTAGAAGAGATCAAGACTGTCTTCCAGGTCAACGAGAAATATTTGGACAAGCAAGGTTGGGAAGACAGGATTGAAGTCGAGAAAGACTTGGCTGTCTACGAGGATGAGCTCTTCTTCGTCATGAAGGCAATCACGACCGCACAACGCAAGCAAGACGATCGTGCTCAGGCAAGAGATTCAACCGGACTTTTGCGGATGTATGTCTCCGCATCCGACATCGTTTGGCATCTGCTTCGCGAAGGCGCAGAATCACTAGCAGAATTCCAACTGAAGAACGTGGCATTTGATCGCACAGACAATAACGATGGATCCAATTCGAACTCCTTGGAGATTGAGCAAGTGCGAGGTCTGAACTTGCTACCTAACGCCCTATACCCAGAGATGATATCACCTTTCCTGGAGCAAGATCAGACTCTTCCCGAAAATGCCAAATGTCTCAAGGTCTACTTCGTGGCACTTGAATCGATCGCTGGTATCCCTGTCGTGGAGCACTTCGAAGTTGAGCTGTACCCGCTGAAGGTGCAGTTGGAGTATCAGATCGGCAAGAAACTGTTGCAATATGTTTTCCCTACATACGGTGACAGCAAGACTGCGAACTCATCGCCCTTCTTACTCAAGCATACTCTGCCAACGCAAGATGAGGAAACTGATAGCATCATTTCTGGAGCGACAAGTATGAGCGCCTCGCTTTCAGCTGATGACGGCGCTGTGGAGGCGCTCAAACAACGACTTACTCCCACACTTCAGCTTCCTGATCCAGTACAGAAGTCTGACGCAAAGAGGAAGAGTTTGGTTAAGCGCCCAAGCGCTCACTATTTCCGTTTCTTCAAAGACAGCAATCCTTCTCGTAGTGGAACAGAGCTTCGTCGCACTCTTCACCCAAGCTCCGCCTTGGTGGTTCCTACATTGGGTAACAGCTCCAATACCTCTACAAGACCAAGCTCCGTCCGGTCAAGTACTACCAACTCAAGTCAAACTCTGAACGAGTCTGATCGAACCGCAAAACGCTTTGCGCTCTACCGTACCGGCACCAATTTGGCCGAGAAGAAAACTAACAAGAAGGAAGCCAGAAGTGATGATCTGACTGAGATGATGAGTCGTGCGAGCGAGTACATGACGGTTGCTTACTTCAAGATCCCGTCCATGGTACTGTGTCTTTCCTACAAGGGCAAGAGCACACGCAACTTTGAAGATGTCCACGATCTGGTCTTCAGAATGCCCACAATAGAGTACCGCAACAAGACATGGTCTAACCTAGATCTCGTCACGCAACTCAAGAAAGACGTCTTGAGGGCGCTCCTCTCCCACGCCGGTACAATCGTTGGCAACAAGATCTCGCACCACCGACCTTCAGCCAAAGCACAATCACGTCTCCGACAGCTCGCCAACAGTAGCACGATGCTCAACACCTCTCCCGATCTCTCAGGCACCGATTCAAACTCCATGCGTGACCACTCGCCCGGTGGCTCCGATCTCTCAGCCGAAGACCGCATGCCCCGCCGTTCTTTTGCATCCGGTCGCCAAGGTAGTCTCATCAGCACCGTTTCGGAAGAAGGCTCGTCCCTCCAATCGTCAAAACCGCCTTCAACATCCAATCAAGCGCGCTCGACACACGGTTCCATCATGGGTGGCTTCAGTCATCACAGCAACGGGCTAGACGCCGATGACGTCGATGACGGACGCGCTTTCGCTGACGAACTGTCAAGAGTAGACAACACGGAGCCAGTCCACGCGAACCTCATTCATAGCTTGAGTAAACACATCGCTGGTGTCAGCGCACCTTTTGCCGGACATATGCGAGGTAGAGCTGGTAGTGGTGCAGCCAGTATGCGAGCTGCCAGCGTGGCCACTGGTGTTACTGGCATCAGTGGTATGAGCGGAAGGGAAGGCAGCGTCATGGAAGAGGACACCGATGGTCCGAAGACGAAGAAAGCGAAAGCTCTAGGCAAGAAGTTGCTTGGTAGGGGGAACTAGAAACTTCTCTAACATCACTCTTTTCTTTTTTTGTTCTGCATCATCAGCATCGTTAGCATTGCTTGGCGTTCTCTTCTTTCATTTGTAAATACTGGGGTTTAGACGGTGGCAGCATGGGTTTCTTGTTCTTTGCTTTGTATCATAGCGCTGTGGTGGGAATCCGAACTCTCGTGTTCGTGGGTGTCTTGGAGGTGTTGAGTAGATAGTTTCCAGTAACTCTGTCGTGGAGTCCTAGTATCAAGTCAAAAAAAAATATTACAGTCCCAATTTCCTGTCCTCTGAGATTTTGCACTGTGTGCGATGAGTGTGGTCGACAACATTCCTCATTCTGAAAGTTGCGAACAATGTAATCTATTCAACACAACTGTCCCGTACCATCAGGGTTTCGGCCCATGCCTTCTCAGCGCAGAGGCAGGGTTGGGTGGCGTAGCTCACGCGTCGGGAGGACACGTCAGGATCGCGTTTGGCGGGGCTAGTCGGTGCGCGTGGGAGACGTCATTGTAGCACCATGCGTTGTCAGCTTGAAGTCGCGACTTCCGCGCTTTCCTCCGATCACCCCTCCATAATAGATAACCATGCCGGTAAACCCAGATACTGTGCCTTCTTCTTCGACTTCAGTTACTCAGGGCTACGCCCTCATCCACGCTTTCCACGCTTTCTTGTTGGAGAAGCACTTGCGTTTGACTTTGAAGTCGAACAAAAGTAAAACAGCAATTATGCGTCTTTGATCAGAAACACGCCTATTAATCAGATTTTCGTAGAGATCTTATCCCGTCGATAACCGGCCCCGAGGGTTTGCAGCAAGCCTCCAGGCATTGGAATGGATAGTTCCTGGAGGCCTCGAAGGCTTCCGAGTGGATACTAACACGAATCAAGGGTTAGCAGTCTAGAACTTGTGTTGCTATCATCTCAGCTACACGGCTGCCAGTGAGAGCATTATCTACAGATGCAGGTAGTCAATCTAGGCTGCGTCATCCGTCTGTTCTACATTTGGGGCATGTTAAATCCGTTCAATGGCTTCTATCATCGCCGAATGTCAGAATCGCCTTGGGTGCGGCATTGAAGCCGCCACTTTGGCCAGTCGACTTACTAGCATCATCAATATAGACCACCGATATATTCGCCACCTCTGTGTGCACGGCCGACAATGCTCAGTTCACGCTGTGCTGCTTGTCTAGGCTGTCAGACAGTGCATTCATAGTGCTGCCTTTGCCGATATATACAACGCTTAGTCGCATTAGATTGCACGATCATATTTCGCCTTAGCCTCCGCTTCAAGCTCTCAACCCCGTCAAAAACTGAAGCGAGAGTTGGACTACGCTATTCGTCAGTACATCGCAGATCAAGATTTTTGACCGCTCCGATGTCGAACTCTCCATTTTTCAAGACCTTGCCAACCGAAGTCCGCGATATCATCTACGACTACCTCTGGAGCGATACAAAGACCGTGGTCCAGCGGTATGATACCAAAGACTACAAAGTAACTTACGATAGGAGGCACGACTCGCTTGAAGCACCACCTGGTAGTGACAAAGTCCCATGGCTCCTTACCAACAAGCAAATTATGCGCGAAGGAACTCGGCAACTACACCAGAAGTCAACCTGGCATCTGGATACTCGATTGCTGAACGGAAACGTCCAAAGTTATATCTTCGATCCCATCACCCCATCCGAATGCCACACGCACGAGATCTTCATCCAATGCGACTGGCCGATGATCTTCGATGACCAGAAGCGAGTCTACCGGCTCAGCGAAGTAGCACGGGCTGAGATCAATGCAAGCGCCGCGACAGCTAATGTATCGACTCCACTAGACACTGTTTGCATCAAAATCGTCCGTCCAACCAATGAACGGCTCGCCGCAAACAGCGCGCCAGACTTTACCTTCGATCTATCTCATCTCGAGATTCTGTCCCGCCACACCGAGCTTCGTCGTCTCCAGCTTCATCTCGTTGGTGGTATTGATGATACTAAAAAGCTTGTATCGAATTGGAGTTTGGAAGGGGAGACTGACAGCGCAGATAGAGCTAGGCGTCTGGAAGATCAGTACTTAGATGCTTGGAAGAAAGAGATCTCACTTGTGGCTCAGCTGGTGATTCTCCGGAGCAAGCGGAGTGGATATATGAGGGAGTTTACCTGGGGGAACGATGGTGAGCGTTGTCTGGAGTGGGTGTGGACGTTCGAGAAACAAGGATCAAGCCTTTGAGATTTTTGAAAAGTGGAGAGAGCGCATGCAATGAAGTACGTTTACATGTCTTGAGTGATTATGATGGGACATGTAGGAGCTCAAGCACACAATGAGCACACCAATGCAGGAAGCAAAACCAGTAACGAGTGTTCATGAGCTAGTCATCAAGACTCATACATATCTCCACATGACCATGACGATAGGCTGAACGCTTGTGTTTTCGCGACCTGACCCTTCAGAAGGTCCTTCACTATATCCCTTAACTTTCCTTCCGCTTCAGTGACCGCAATAATCAAGTCCCTCAGCTCCTCCCACTCCTCATTACTAACCTTATCCAACTGCTCTTTGGCGAAATTCCCAATATCAGCCCATAAGCTCTCCGAATCTCGTGCACCCACCGCCGCCACAAACCTCTTCACCTCTTCTGGGGTATCATCTTTCCAAAAGGTCCTTTGCAGGCGCGTTATCGCCTTCCCTCTTCCTTCGCTGGTCCACTCTTCATCCTCGTAGCACCTGTTAATGAGACTGTGAATCGCAGAGGCCAGAGATTCGACATCTTCTTCCTCTGCCCGATTCTTGCGTCCAAGTCCATCTGGAGAGTCAGTAGGATCATGGATCTCGCTCTCTGCAAACCCTATAAGACTGATTTTCGGGCGTTTGGCAATGGCGCTCTCGCCGTTCTTCCCTTCTTCGTATTGAAAGCTGACAAGTATGGCTTCCTCTGAGATATCGCCATGTGTAATAGGCGGTTTGCAATCGCGGTGTAGGAAATAGAGTGCCTCATAGAGCTGCGTAATCGCGAGCCAGAGCAGGGCTTTTGAAATGGGATCCCTAACATCGTATGCGAAGACTCCTTGAAGGTCACTGCATACTGATGAGCTTGCCATGACTAGCCACCCTGGTTCCACTTGGGCCATGGCTTCCATATCGTAGTGGTCTAATACATCTATGCAGTGCTCGCCGCCGCTGCGAGGATATGCCTGGCGGCGTATCTCTTGAAGAATGCGTACTTCGAAATGCATGTCAGACCAGGTAGAGTCTTCTCCAGGGATCTTTATTGCAACAACGCGCTTGAGAACGACATCGATGACTGAACCCTCCCGGGCGCCCTCAGCCAGTCTGGAACGCGCATCGTCAATGTCGGAGGTGGGGACACACAGACTGACAAAACATCTTTCCGCGATGGAAGTAGCTTGACGAAGCCAGGTGTATTTTTCGGGCATCTGTGGCCTCCTATCGGCCAAAGCATCTTTTGTCGCCGCGGACATCTGTCGCTGATCGGTATGGTCGACCTGGGTTTCTCGGACGTTGTTGACACCGAAGATACAATGGGAATTCTTGGTCGCTACTGAAGTAGTGCTTTCAATCAATGGCAAGAATACTCGACCGAAGACAAGATATCTCTTAATAAGCTGGGCCAGAAGTTTGCGACTTTCCCCATGAGAGCGCAAACTTCTCCCGATTTTGTTTATTATCTGCAATCGACTTCAGCATGCTTCTTCCGGATGATCTGTTTTCGCTTGTTAGGCATCATGAGGCATCACATTCCCTCAGCCTCGCCCTATACCACGGTTTGGCAATCTTAGCAATCTCAATCTTCAACGCCGCCTCGTCTACCCCATGCTCCTTGATATGCCTCTTCTCTTCCTCCAAGATATCATATTGTATCCACTTCAGAAAGTCACCCAGCGCTTTCACATCGTGCTCAACACCCTTCTCGCGCAACACATCCCAACCTTGTTCTAACCGCTGCTGTGAACACCACGCAACGGCCATCGCTGCGGCTGTTTTTCGTCGCTCTTTGATGGCGTCTGTGCCATCATTCTGTCTGGTAATGCGGAAGAATGTAGGCTTGAACTTTCCTCCTTTGCTCTTGAACCATAGAGAAATGTCGCCGTTGTACTGGCGAGGTACGGGTTTCCATACGATGCCTTCACCCAGGCCAGATATACCGAAGGTCGCTGCGAAAGGGCAGTGAGCGGCGACTTCTTCGGTCATATGTTCGACCTCTGAGACTGTACTTTCGTAGTCGTCAGGGTGGAGTGTTGTGTGAAAGATGCCGGCTCGTGATGCGTTGTAAATGTCGTGATCCGGCAAAGATATGTTAGAGTACTCTTCATCCTTCTGCCACACACCATTGAGATTGATCGAGACGATAACGAAGCGGCGAGATAGCTGAGCGATGGCGACGTCTTTTTGGATCTTCTCGCCGATCCATTCACCGGCTATGACGACAGGTAAGTCTTCTTCAAGTGTTGTGCCAGGATTTAACTCTTTCCACCGTGCCAGATACATGTCTCGCAGTCCAAGTATAGCATTGGTCTTCTCTGACATAGTTGCCGCAAACCCTTGGTTATCTTTTGCGACGGAGAGACCGGTTATGTTGCGCGATTGAAAGATGATGCGATTATCAGGATACACGAGGATATCTGCGTGCGTGCCATGAAGTTTGACTGTACCGATGAAAGGTACAGGGTCCACAGTGATGTTTGCTTCTGGGTGGACAGGGTCGCGGTTCAAGCGTCGCAGCTGTTCGATGATCTCAGGGATATGTGTCGTGATCTTAGGGTACAGTGTTGGCTGCGCGAGGTCTATAGTTGCCATGGTGGGAGAATACAACTGCTTCCAGGATTCTACAGTGGTTTTCAGGTCTCCTGAAACCGCGAGAAACGCGACGATGGTATCGAGTGCCGTCGCAGTGTGTAGCAATCCGCCTGCGTTGCGCTGCGATCCTCCTGATCGAGACTAATTGGTCTTAACATGGAGTTGTTTCTTGGAAGTCCGCAGGTGATATGAAGAATCGGATGAAGAGGTTTGTGGGTCAATACAGGCGCCGCTGTGTCGCACGGAAGCTTCTACTGTGGCCACTGGAGCTGCGGCGTTGCGACACTGTTATCGATACGCGGCTGTCAGCACCGCGATCTTCAACACGTTGCGGCACCTCAAGCCCAGCATAAACCCAGCGTAAACCCAGCGTATCAAATACCATGCTTGAGCGCGAATAGCCGCTATCATGTGAAATGCTGGCACCGCCAGTACAATTGACACAGCAAAGTTGCGTTCGAGCTGGGATTCTCTCATGCAAACTTGAATCATTATATCATTCATGACAGCTAGTCTCTAAGGCGTTGATTACGTGACATCGTTCAATCTTCTAATGCGATCGCTCAAGCAAATCATGAGATCTCTGCTACTTTCTACGTTCTAACCCGTCATAAGGCTTCCACCTTCTTCCCGTCCTGTTGGCTATCCTTCTTGTCGTCTTTGTGCAACTCCGGGTTCAGCGGATGCTTGGAATCATAGCCGACTCTCTTGACAATACCCAATCCTTTCGTCCTGCCCTCACGGAAGAGGATTCGATCACCGACGGTCAAGTATTCGGGTCGCTGTACGAAGCGGAAGGCTACCTGGGCTCGGTCGCCGGTGCGGATGTACTGGCGGTCGATGTCGATGATGGCGCAGGTTTGGGACACTGGTCCAACGTGTAGCATAGCCTGATACTTGGTCTTGATAGTCGTCGCGTGCGACAAGATCAAGACTTCGGCAACAAACTCGCGGTACACTTTCGGGGCTGGTAATATCCCAGTTGTTGGGTCAGGCTTCTCAGCCTTGTGCAAAACAACCATGCCTTTTCGCACGTCTTTCCGCCGAACGTTACGCAGCGCAAGGCTCGCCGATTGGCCAGCAGAGCACCCTGGAACTTGTATCCGTTTGCGCTCAACGGAACGCACCTTTGTCGTTTGGAACTGGCCAAGACTGTCGGGACCGATCAAAACGGTGTCGCCAGAATGTATTTCACCAGACTTGACAACACCTGAAACCACAGTACCAACGAAAGGAACCGAGAATGTGTCGTTGACGTGGAATTCCAGAGGGGCAGAGGCGTCGTAATTGCCGTGATGCGGTAGTGCGTTGAGGAACATGCGCACCAGGTCCAGGTTATGACCGGTGACATTGGACACTTGGAAGATAGGACATATTCGACTCGACACAAATTGAGTAGCTGTGGTGATGCACTCCTCCCTATTGTTGATGAAAACCGGTATTTTTCGCGCGCCTGGAGATTTGAGGATCTTGGAGAGCTGAGTGATAGTCTGTTCGAGAATCTGTGGTGGACAAATGTCGATTTTGGTGATAACGACCATGACGGGGACGTTAAGCGCAAGTGCGATTCCGAGATGCTCTTTACTCATGCCTACTAAACCGTTATTTGCGGCGATCATCAATAGACAGTAGTTGGGCTCGCTTGACAGCAGCCCAAAGACGGTAGTCCGCAAGTATCTCTCGTGTCCAGCGAGATCAGTGAAGCTGATGACCTTGGCGGATCGCCGTCCAATCTCTTCCCAAGTAAGTTTCCGACCTGCGACATTCGACACAACAACTTCGCTCTTGCTGTCAAAGCCCATGATCTCCATCCCAACTGAGCTGGTTCGACCGCTCTCGATTTCGTGTTTGTGGCGGAAGAGATTAACACGCGCTTTTCCGCGACCATCGTCGAGGCCGCCTTTAACGAGGACACCGAGCATGGTACTTTTGCCGGCATCGACTGTCAAGAGTCAGCGTATATCCTCGGCTGCACCTGAGGAAACTCACCATTTCCTACGACTGCTATCCTCGTCTCGATCACATCGTCGACACTTTGCGGCTGTTGTCGCAAGATCATCTTGCCACTTAAGCCGAGCTCCTTCGCATTGCGAGGTCCGACTTCGACGTCACCACCAACGTTCCGCGTCATGAGCATCTTGTAGTCGGCCTTTATCTTCTCACATGCAACTTCTATCCTCTCCAAGGCAAACTTCCACTGGTCTTCAGTAAAGCCCATGGAGTCACCGCTGTCTTCCAGGCCAACATCGAACAAGGCCTCCCCATGGCCCTCTGCCAGGCGCCCTTGGATATGCTCAGCTAGCGCTGCGACGTTTTCTTCGGCAGGATCGGTAAGGAGTGTCTTTAGGCGGATATGCGCCTTGTTGTCATCGGAGAGGCCGAGCTCGTCGAGGATGCTCAGCTCGTCGTGGTCTTCAAGGACGGTGGGGGCTTGGCCTGGCGGTCGGCGCAGCGCCTGTTGTTTCTGGACGTAGTCGGCGAATTCGCTGAGCGCCTGTTATGTTCATTAGCTTGAGTATTTCGTCTGGTGCCTCGATGGGTAGTCTGTCTAAGGTGCGATGCGATCGCCTTCGTACTACGAGAAGCCCGATTTCTCTAGTTGTACTAGTGGGCGCGAACCGTGACCCCACGGGATTGGTGAGTCCCGTACCATACTCGTTGCAGTGTCAAAGCAACGAATATGTCTGCGGTACATGTGTGGAACTGCTTGAGGAGAAACGGGCTTTTCCTTAGACTGTTACTTACAGACTCGCCCTTCCGCCGCTCAGCTGGGCTTTGTTTAGGCTCGTGTCGTGATGCCATGATATGGGAAATAGCACGTGACTATGAGATATCTTCCGGTAGACCCAGGCTGAAGGTGTTCGTAGCGACCGATGTACGTGGTGTGATGGTGGTATGAATGTGGGGTTGGAGCTGTCAGGACGTGTTCCGTAAACTCCGCCGTATTAATAGGACGTTTGGTATTCGCGGTAGCCGGAAGGAGTGTGAATATTCCATGAGTTGTCTTGCAGTGAGCATCGAAGGGTGGCAAGTGCTGGAATGGCGCTGGCGATGGGGAGCTGCTAGGGAGTGGAGATCTGGGGGTCTACTTATCGATAGAAGGTCGCCGGAGCCATGACGCTGAGACTCACGCGGTAGCGCGTCTTGACTCATCCCAGAACCACCACCATTACACCACTTACAGCCTTCGTGGTCCACAATGACCACGGCGTCATCCGTAGTGTTGTCGCTACAGTCATACGATACGTGTTTACGCCCTCGTATCGCTGAGTTTACGCGAGTCATCATCAAAAAGGGCGGAACACGAAAATGTCGCGACTAGGCAGCACTCCAACAAAGGCGCACATCATAAACAAGGCATAAAATAGATGCATCGTGGTTTGGCTACGAACTACAAGAGAAAGGGTAGAGCCGTCGAAGAGGGAAGCTCACCCTCTCATGATGCCGCAACACCTCGTTCCCCGCAGTACTTCTCCACCTCCTTCCTCAGCGACTCGCGCTGGTGGTTGACTGTATCCATGATATCGCTGACACCATTGATCGACTTACAATACTCGAATGTCTCCGCCATCTGCATGAGTACTGCTGTCAGCTGGTTGGGTAGCCACTATTGCGCGTCAGTAAGAGTAAGGACAATCGATCCAAGATAGAACTTACAGTCACGATCGGGCTGCCACCTGTCGCAGTTGGGTGCGAGGTGTGCTTGAGGATGTACTCGCGCGTGAAGCACCAATGCCGCCAGCGGAAGTCGCGAACTTGATCAAGAGCTTGGAGGTAGAGCGCCGCTGACACAGAGTCGCCTTTCGCAAACTCGCGCACGCCCGACTGCTGGGCGCAATCGCGAACAGCCTCCAAGAACTCGCGGTGGTTGCCAGGGCGGTATTGGCGGAAATCCTTCAGAATATCTGTGAGGGGTGTCTCCGGCATCTGGACCTGAAGCAAGTTGTCGCACATGGGGATCATGCTATCGTTGGCTCCAGATTCGCCGCGGAAAGACATCGGCTCTTCGCTCACGCCCTCGTATATGACGCCGTTGGGGAACATGGATTGAGAAGTGATGCCGAAGATGAACGTACGGAAGTTGGTGTAGCCTTGGGGCTTACTACGGTTCCACATGGCTAATCTCGTCAGTCGCGAATGCACACACCCAACCAATGCACTTACTGTTCATCACGGCGTTGACGTTCCTAAGACCACCCACCAGGGTACGAAGGCCGTCGTTGAACCGCTCTCGGTCCTTGGCCAGACAGCTTTCAAGCATCTCGGAAGCACCTGTGACAAGCGCACCAGACTCCTTGACCATAGCGATGTGGACGAGAACGAAGCCTGCCTCGGATGAGGTGGGATCCAAGCCATGCTCGAAAGCGCGGATCAGGCGAAGGTTGTCGTACTCAAGGCCCCGTGATGGATCTTCCAGACGGTAGTTGAAGAGCGCATACGACCCAGCATACTCCATGAAGGGCTTGAAACCAGCACTGCGCACGAGAAAATGTCAGCCATGTCACATACTCTGTGGTATACTGTGAAGGCATCTTTGAAGGTAACAGGTGCGCTGAAGTCTACATGACTACCAAACCACGACTTCGAGAAACGGTAAGGCAATACAGCCTTGTTAACTTTTCTTTAAATCGTGTTTGGAGGTAGGTAATCAATGTTTTCCTCGAGGATGAGCCAAGGACACAAGACATATACCATATGAGGACAAGAGTGAGTAGATCCACTTACATCTCAGCAACCTTAACGATGGGTAGTGCGATACATCTCGGCAACGACTGCCGACCCAGACCATACTCCTCTCCCCTTACATGCCTCTCATGGCAAGGCTCGAATAGATATGCAGAAGCCAAGAAAGAGTAGTCACGATACAGGGCATTCATGACAACCAGGTCATCGCGATACTTCTCTACCTCTGGAGTAAGGTCAGGTAGCTCCTTGAGTACCGTGTCGCCGAAAGTAAAGTTGGCAAGTAGACCTGGCTCTCCCGACAGGGTCTTGATGGGCATGCGTTGCAAGAGAGACTCGAGAGCAGCGAACTCCTTTGGTAGTTCAACGATGGGTTCTTGACGAGGTAGGAAGCCACGTGTGGTGGATACCATGAAGGCTGGGAGGGTGCGGTCATCAGGACGGGTGTCCTTCATGACGGGGAAGTCAAAGGTTGAAGACGACATGGTGCAAAGAGGTATTGAAGAGAGAAGCCAATAGGTGCTGAAGATAACCAGGCTTTGATTTGCGCCGGATTTTGGAGTTGGGATGAACAGAAAGCATTGACAACAGCGACGGTGACGACGACCTTATATCCTTCGAGGCCGGAATCAAAACCGGCCACGGAAAACCACCGGCCTCGTCAAGATAAGACGTACGTAATGGCTGGATCACTTGTCTCCATCAGCAGAATTTGACCCGAAGACATCCTGCGATGCCCGGCCTCGATTCTGAAGTTCCCCCAGGCATCCGAGATGAGTTGAGATGGTGGGCTCGTCGCCGCCAAGACTTGGGTCAAGCAGAGGAAAGAGACGGAGGCAGCACAACAACGGCAGTTTCCCTGTCGCTTGAGATCGCGATGAACATACGGAATGAAAAGAAATTCTTACTGTTCATGCCCTTTTCGCAACGAAGCAAGTGCGCGACTGGTGATTCAGTCTCTTCGTCCACCAAGCTTACCACTTGTTGCTATTGAGTGGGAATCAATGTCGCCGTGTCTTGGGATATTTTACAGTATTCAAGGCACTTCCATGAGTTGAAACACAGGCTCTTAGCTATCCTAGGTAACTACAACAACTTTCCTTATGCCAGCCCTCAAAGGTATCCATCAGGATGCCGACCACTGCGGCGACAACGCCTTCTGAGTCGTACCGAATTGACCATCACAAACCAGAATGGCCAGCACATGTACAGCCGTTATGGAAACGATTCGCAACAACTACAATAAATCATGACTCAGAGTCTACCTGATGAAACACAGCACGCGTTTGTAATGGTGTTCGATGACTATTACGAGTGGCACTAAAGGCTCGGTTGGTAGCCAACCAGGAAAACCACCGAAAACAAAGGGCCGCGGAGAGCCGCAGAATCGGCCCAACACGCCCCTCCAGCGGGTCCGGTATAACTGCTATGATTGGTCTGGCCGGAATCATACCTCGAGTATCTCAGCCTCCATCACCAGATCTTGCAACCGTCTGTCGCCTTGAAATGTGTATAACGGTTCGAAAAGCGAGGAAATTTTGCTATCAAATACTCCGACTACCTCCCCAATGCTCCTTAAGCTTTTTCGGGACCTTTCAACACCCTCTGCAACTGGCAAACGACATTGCTACATCAGATGTTCTTAATTCCGGCCTCGTATCCCTGCTTGCTGAGAGACCTCACTAGTTCGTCACTACCGTTCAGATTGGTCGCGGGGGGTTAGAAACGCACTGATAACGATTTCTCCAGTGCACGCCCTACCACGCCCTACAACGGAGTGGATCCCACGGTACTGTGCAACGTTTTATGGCTCAACGTTACGGTTTTGACGCAGCGAAATCGTCTCTTCTTCCTGATCGCGCCCGCAGATTCGATAATCATACAACGAAAATATTTTGCAACAAGAGACATTGGAAACAATTATTGCATTGGAAAGTGGTTACTAACTACGCTCTAGCATTCGCCCATTATCGAATTTTGGCATCATTACAACTATGCCCGCTAACGAAAACACCTCAAAGGAATCTAAGTGGTATGCCATCTATACGTGCGCATTCGTATGCCGACTCTTGACTCAAGCCCTTAACCTTCACATCCTGCTCCCTATCGCTCCACCATTCTGCAACTCTAGACAAGCGCAGCAGCAATACCCATAGCTCCAGCAACAGCCATACCAGCACCGGGCAGCATAGCCATGGCAGCTCCAGTGTAAGTCTCCATAGGCGAGCCCGTAGTAGTAGCGTCAACGCCCGAGGTAGGTGTAGCAACAGCAGCAACAGTCTTGAGAAGTTCAGGTGTGGTCGTGTAGGTCATAAGATCGCCTCCGAAAGCGAGGGAGGCGCTAGAGAAGGGAAGTTCAGAGACGGAAGTTGCGCCTTCGAAAGCGACACGGTCGGATGCCGGAGCAGATGGCTCTAGGGATGCGCGGTCAAAAGGCGAGAGAGGGCTGAGGACACTAGGGATGAGGTTAGTATGTGTGATAGTCGACGGGTGGGAGAAGAAGAGACTAACCCATCGATAACATGCGCAACACCGTTGAAAAGAATAGTGTTAGCATAAACAATCTTCGCGCCATTAACCCACGCACTCCCATCCTCCAGCACCGTAAACACCAAATCCGCGCCCTGGAGACTCTTAACTGTAACATTACCCAGCGCAGTCGAGAATATGACATTGCTAGGAATGATGTGGTACTTAAGCACCTCCTGCAGCGTTGCCTGGTCCGCAGATTCAAGAACCGAGCCAATGGATTCGAATGCCTCGTTGGTAGGCACGAAGATGGTGAAGTCGGAGATGTTGAGGCCGGTGGCTTCGGGGCCGGAGAGGCCGAAGTCGATGGCGAGTTGGGCGGCTTCGAGAGCGGCGTTCATGGCGAAGTAGCCGGAGCGGTAGGTGAAGAGTTGGAAGGGCGCGCCGAAAGAGAGGACCGTGTCAACTTTGTGGATGGTTATGCCTTCGCCGAGCATGATGTCCTGGGAGTTTGTGTTAGTGTCGTTGGTGAGGAATTGGGTGCGTAATGATGGATACATATGATGAATACTTACAGCTTCAGTAACAGTGGAGATGGTTTGTTCTCCAGAGATAACACAGACATCTTCTCCATTCTTGACGAGCTCATTGTAGGCTCCTCCGGTAAAGTTGGAGAAAGGCTGGATAGCGTTCACATACGAGCTGTCAAGGAGTGTCTGCGCAAAGGTTGGGATATCGGTGATGACACTGGCTGGGTAGACGCCCTTGAAGACGTGATTGGCGAGTAGAGCACCGATGGCAATGGTGTCGTTCTTGTTCTCGATGGCTTGGCCTTCGGGGACATCGCGTGGTACCGCTGCGAAGGCGTCGTTTGTAGGAGCGAAGATGGTGATGTTGGAGGCGGCGGATAGCGTGTCTGCTAGCCCATCTACAAGACCGACTAGTTCGAGGAGAGTGCTGAGGTCGGGTTGCGAGGCCAGCAGAGCGCCAATGTCGCCTTGGGCTATACTGGTGCCTGCCAGAATGGCATAAGAGAGGACTTGAGATGGACGCATGGTGAGCGTTGAGAGGGTGTTACTTCGTAGGCTCTAAAAGTTGGATAAGAAGTGAGATGCTGGAGAATATAGTGCTTCGTAGGCTCTGAAACTCGAATAGGAGATGAGGTGCAAGAGGATATATTGCTTGAAGGCCCTGAAGTTGAAGATGTGATGCTGTGATGTCGTCCTCAAGCCCAAAGACGAGGCTCTCTTATACTTCTTCCATTCTCATGGTCCAGGCTACATTCCACTCACCGGTTACCCTTTCCTGCGTGCTTACTTCCATGACATCTTCGACTTTCCCAGCCAAGACATGACAATTCGTATCCGACAGTGCACGATCAATGCAGCCTGTGGCAAATATAGCACCGCCCTCTTCTACCGACACTGATACCACATGTTACTAGGCATTTTGAGGTTGTCGACCCTTGATCGCCTGTATCCAAAAGTGCACGATCAAGGCAGCATGCGACAAATATAGCATCATCATCCACAGTAGGCGTTGTGATGGCTTTACTAGACACCTGGGCACTCTTGAACGTTGAAAGCCAAGCATCTGGTTGATATGACAGCCCTATGCTTCCTTCCCAGTGTACGATGTGGCGAATCAGCAGGGGTCAGTGCGGGAAGGTGCATTGCCGGTATCCACTCTCGTGCTGCAACAACCATCACGGAACACACGATGGGCTCGCGTATGCGGGGTGAACGGCAAAATCTCGCCAGATGTCATTGCTAGGTACTTGCTTTAAGTACCAAAAATAACGTTGTGGCGTCCTGGATTTCGGATGCTTGTGCAAGGCAAGAGTCACGATGGGAGGAGAGCATTGTATGGAAGGAAGATAATGAACAGGCTTGCAGACTACACTAAGACGATAAGGAGCAGATGAGAAGACGTAGCGTTGGTGTAGCTTCCGCGGTGTTCAGCTTTCCCCTTGAATGGGGTGTGAGGGGGGAAAAGATGTAAGCGAGAGGCTACTAGGTGTCGCGATGTCTAGGTAGCTCACTGCCCGCCTGAGCGCGCTAGACTATAAAGAGTAGCATCCTTTAGTGATGGTCTTTTCGATACGCTCTGTATACAGTATGCAGTTATCAGAGCAGTCTTGACATATTCAGGAGATGATTGCTGAACAAGAGCGGCACCGGATCATCACAGCACCTGGTGAGGCAGCGGACATCATCAGCGTAAGGCGTTTTCCCATGCAAGAACGGAGAATCCTCCATACCTTGATTAGCGTACGCGGACGGGTTGGCGAGACCCAGCCAGATTGCCTACTACGAGATTGCGTATCTACTAGAAGCGGATGCGAGCACATACGCGTGACAAATACATCATCAGACAGTGAAATACCAAATTGCAACCATACGGAGATGCCTACGCCTGTTGAGAACGTCATTTCATCCACCACCAGGCGAAAAAACACCGATGGCTGACGGCTAGGACACGGCTAATATCACGCTTATGCAGCAACCATGTAAACACCAGGCTGAATTGATCGACCCCAACACCCCAACGGCCAGAATTCGCCGTCCGATATGACTTCAGACGACATTGCTAAAATACAAAAACCCCCCGCGATGCGAATTAACTACCAAGGTTTGCCTCATACCGCTGCAAGATAGCAGTGTAATCATTATACCACTGCTCCAACCAACTCGTCGCATCAAACATACGCGTGGTGAAGCAACTCATTGTAGGATCCAGGACCTTCATATACATGACCAGATTTCGTAGCTTGAGTCCGAATTCCTCAATGCGAAAGCAATTATTCGGTAGGTATTGGCCGTATGTATTGGCTGGGTCGGTCGAGGCTACCATGACAGTGACGAGGACGAAAAGCGAGTATATGACTGTGGGCGCAAAGCAGAATGATGGAAGGTTGACCAACAGTGCTGGATCCATTTCTGCGGCCGTATCGAGGACGGCATGGCAGTTCTGGACGAGGGCTTCGAGCGACGTTTTGAGCGGAGCGATGATGATGGTTGGCTTGGGGAAGTCTTTGACGGGTATGCGGCCTGGGATGAAGGGCGCTGCGAAGGATGCTTTGTTCGTGGGTGTGTGCAGCACAAGCTCGTATAGGTGCACCATAGCTGCATGCCACCACACCTTGAGCGTCTGAGACGCTGCAAGGCTGGGTGGAATCTGTGCGACCCACGCTTCGAGCTTGTTCTTTATCGTCTCGATTACGGCATACGTGTTGTAGTCGTTGCCGTCTATAAACGTAGAGATCTGGCAAAGATATAGTTGATCGGAAATCTCCATGTCCAGTTGGGTAATGCGGACCAACTGACAGAGCAGCTGATCAGACGCATCTCCTTGGCTCTCCAGGTACAAGAGACACTCCTCGTGGTAAGCGTTCCAGGGGTATGGATTCGGCCTGCGTGTGCTGATTGACGAGCTCGAGAGAGCCATGTAACAGGCTAGCCAGGTACGTCGTGCTTCCAGCGATCCCGCGTCCTGATGCCGGCAAAAGTAAGCTGGGGGAGTGGGCTGAAGCGAATTTCCCGCGATGCCCACATCGATGGCCATATCGGCGGCTAGCTGCAGGATTTGATAACAACTTCCCATTAGACCCCTTCGTGGAATCTTGTTCCAGTACGTGGCTATAAGTAATGCCTGCACAAGTTCAAGTGATCTTTGTCCCTTGCCGAGAACCTCCTCGCCGAGAACATGCATAGATTCGCGAATTATCTCATCGTGCGTCTCTAGATCTACGCCCTGCGCCTCTTGCGTAGTTGTGTATGCTATGATGGAGAGAAGTAGGATGGGGGATTTTGCGCGGAGATATTCCAGATCCCCTGGAAGCCGTACGACGGGCCACGCCGATCCCGCTTGGTGCGCATAGAGGTGGATGAGATGTTGTTGCTGGATAGGCGGGATGCGCGCATCAAGGAATGACAAGATGGCTTCGTAGTGGTTGTCTGTTAGGCTACCGGGCGATCGGCCTAGCGTGTTGGTGGAGAGACTGCCAGGGGAGCGGCTTGGTGTCGGACTGTTGTTGCTCTGTTTTTGAAGCAGATTGTTGAGTTCTTGAATATGCGCCTCTAGTTCCTGAATGCGGTTGCGCTGAAGACGCGGCGCTGCAGGTACGCATTCCAGGTTGTTCCGGGTGCATCTTTCGCAGCTTGCCGCATCAGGATTTGTGCTAATGTCGCACTTGATCTTCAGTCGATGGCACTCTTCACAAGCGCGAAGACGCTTTCTCATGGTTTTGTCTTCTTGCTTGGTCATGACTGAGATACTTGGCTGTGTTCTATCGTGAGATCTTTTCTATGACAAGCTGACTTTACGCCCCGGGAAGCGCGCTTGGTACATGACTGCAGGTGGCTGTGCCGTATACCAGTACCAATACAGCGTGGCGTTACCGTTTTCGTCCGGATGGTCCAATATATTCGTTGAGTCCGGTTTTCCGAAAGCTGGAGCTGGATGAGAGCATTTGAAGCTGTTTCCCAAGAGTTGTAACCTTTCGTTGCCATCTTTCGGCATGGTCTTGCCGGTCAGCTGAAATTGCAGAAGGCGGACAAGTTACCCAATTGGGTTTTGCCAATCCTGCCATGGAGATAGACGGATTTACTGCATCATCATGGCATTATCGAAGTTTGCCTGGTGGTATGATCAAACCACCGGTTCCATGCCAAAATGTACAGCACTGGATGCTTGGCGTACTTCCTAGATATACACGGGTTTGTCAAGACAGCGAGTACGCGCACGAGGGGTCCACGGGTGGCTAGAAGGCGTGTCGCAAACATAGGTCTAAATCTTGATAAGTAAGCAGTTGTTAAGACGATGTATACTTCTACCTTGATAATGTTTTCAAGAATGCGACACAAATTCTAGCCACCCTTGGTACACGATACTTGTTTGAGCGATAGAATGCGAGTTCCGTACGTACGGTACCTCTCACGCGATCATCGGGAAGCAGTCCAGGGTGTTGGTATCGCTCTCTGAACACATAAAAGCAAGAGCAGACGCTTGTATCGAGACAACATATCGATGTCTAGTATGCTAAAGTAGCAGACCACCTGCATCTACAACCCCACGCAACCTCCCCCACGACCCCAGACGAAGCTTGCTCGAAACAAGCTTGGCGGCCAAGACCCCGCACGCTTACCCGCCCATCAGCCCATCATCACTCTGGCACTGGACAACTTTGCGCCGCGGCTGATGCTGGCGCGCCCGCGCAAGGGGGGCGTTGTCGTGCCATGCCATCTCTCTCTTTGCGCCCAATCTCTCAATCTCAATTCCTTCCTATCCCAATCCCTTCATTTCCGCGATGAAGCCCCCAAAGTCACTCCTCAGCCGCCTCCCAGGCATACGCTGGACACCATCCGACATTCCCTCCACCGACTCGTCATCGTCAAAGCCTAAATCGCGGAATCCGTTCTCGCTCAAAGCTTCTCCGCCAGAGCACGGGACCGTACGCCCACGCGCTTCCACCATCAGTCTAACGTCCGAGCCAGATGTTGACATGGATGCGCGCACGCACGCGCAGAGCCAGAGCGACTTCTTCACGCGGCTTCCTATTGAGCTAAGAAGAATGGTGTATGAGTACGTCATGGGCGCAGAGATAGTGCATCTGACCTTGAGTACCAAAAAGAAGCGGTTTGGCCATTTCCTCTGCGACAGCGAGGGAGACGGCGGGAGAGAGTACATGTGTCGCGTGCTGGTGTTTGGGAAGAAGGGCGCGAGGCTGTACAGTGGCGGGCCGACTGTATTGAGGGCTTGCAGGCGCATGTGTGTATTCTTCCTCCCCTCCCCCCTCGCAATCACAATGGCATTGCGGAGACTGACTGTAGTCTGCAAACTAGGTACTCCGAAGCGATTTCATACCTGTACCGCGCGCACACCTTCTCCCTCCTCCATATCACGCATCTACTCTACCTCCCTGCTTCGATCCCACAACCGCGCCTCAATTCGATTCGCACACTACATCTTCGCTGGGCTATTCGCGCGCTGCCTTACATGAGTCGCGGTCCGTCGAATCGCGTTGTGTACCGCGATGACACGGCGAATTGGGAGAAAGCGTGGCAGATAATAGCGAATATGCAAGGACTGCGGCATCTTCGGGTGACTTTGATGGATCCTAGCCCGCAATGGCTCTGGCAGAGTGAATGGCTGGACCTAGAAGATACGCTGCTGGATAGCGTGAGGATGGTGACGAAGCCACGCGACGCTATAGTAGTGCTGCCGTATCCGAGTTGTAGGACGGACTGGGATATGGGGGAGAGCACTGTGAAGTTGAGGATATTTGGTAACGCAAGTAATGTTGGGGATGATGCGGGTTGAGAGACGATCACTTTGCGTCGTTGCGAACGAGATTATTTGAGCAATGTGTGATATCTTTCATCATTGTTAGGGTCTATATAAGGCTTTTCCGCCTACAACCCCATGCAGTTGGCATAGTAGGTAACGGTGGCCGGCCAATCTGAGAACATGCCCAAAATGTGGACATCCTTGGCAAGCACATCGAGTACGTCGTACATGTCGCCATCGTTGTTGGTGCGGTTGGCAACGTACTGGTAGTAATAACCACCGCCATCAACCTGCAGCCATCCAGAGCGCTCAAAGGACCACGCGATGATGTCCAAGTTGTGTTCCTGGCAAGCGATTGCGTACTCGGAAGGCACAATCTTCTCGTCGTCGTCCAACTTAGTCAGAGCGAACATAGCGGGCGCCATAATCTTCACGCCACGAGCAGCGAGCTCAGGTATGCTAGCGGTAGCATTGGCGTAACCTTCCGGAGTATCAACGCGCTCGTCGAGATACACGGCCTGGATTCCGAATTCAGGCTCATTGTCGATCCAGTAGAATACGTCATCCGGCAGGAAGGACTGCAGCCAAACACGGCTCGGGTCGATCTCGTACTGGCGGAACTTGTCGACTAGATCTTGAGCATACGCTTCCTGTGTGTATCCATCGAAAGGCATCTCAACTTCGGGTGTCTTGAGCTCGGGCGCGTACTTCAGACCCCAGCTGTCGACCAAGGGAATGTATTCGTCGACCGTCATGAGCTTGGGGCAGTCTTGCGCGTATAGGTCCGAGCGGAAGTAGGGTGTGCCGTCCATGTATTCCTCTACCGTAGTGCCGTTGGGGTTGAAGCCATCCATCTTGCCGCAAAGAGTACCGAACTCTTCCAGGGTGATATCCGAGGTGCAGCACTTGACCGACGCAGCAGTGCCATTGGCGGCGGGCGAGAAGGGGGTCGTACACTTTTCGGCGAGGGTAGTGTTGAGGATGTTTGTCGTGGTGTGCAAGTCGCATTGGGCGTGGCGGCAGACAAGCTGCTTGTCTTTTGTGAACGCAACATCGCATTCGATCAGGCCAGCACCCATGCGATGGGCAGCCTTGTAACTCTGGAGAGTGTGCTCAGGGAATTGAAGCGGCGCTCCACGATGCGCAAGGACAAAGTCCGAGGTCTTGAACTCTTGCTCCGAGCAGCTCTCCAGCTTCTCCTTCAACGGACTCTCGTCCATGTTGTCGACGAGATAGTAAGGCCGGACGCCGACTTGGACATTGAACTTGCTGTGCCCATGACCATGACCATAGCCGTCTCCGCCACGGGGCGCAACAACAGGTACAGCGGCAGCGGACGCGAGTCCGATCAGGACTGAGGTAGCAATGAAAGAGCGCATCGTGAGCAGATCTCAACCCCGAAGTATCCGGGAACCTGCAAGAGCGAACGGTTCCTGCAGGACAAGCACCCTGGCGGCCATGTCGCTTCTTATCTGCGCCGGAAAAAGGCCAGAGCTGTACAACACCTCGGATGGATCAAAAACGCCGAAGTACCAGACGCCGCACGGCTCGAGGTGTTCGAGCTGAGCTGCTCAGCTACTGCACGTGGTGGAGCTACCCTAGCTCGAAGCTCTTGGCTGTGCATGATGGCGGACGGAGCACGAGATGGTTGTGGAAAGCTATACGGGACGAGTTAGATCGCCAAGCTGCCAAGTCCACGCCGCCTGTCACGTTGATCAACGATGCGATAAGATACGCGCGCCGGCACAGCGGGCGGAGCAAGACCTGTTCAAGCCGCTGGTGGGTGCTTGGGTGCATGGTTCCTGTGCGTCACTGTCGCGTTGTGTCTTGGCTGCGTTTTGCTTCTTAGAGTCTTGCACTCCGACCAGGCGGTAACTTTGGCCTTTTCTTGATTCGATTGGCCTTTGCGAGGTCGTTGTAACCTCTCGGCTTGAGTTAAGAAAAGCACCATACATCTTATGAGCCTTCGTAACACTTAAGAGCCATGCGCGAGAAGCTGCCATCCTTGTAATTAGGATCGTCCAAGAACTGTTCCTGGACGCGTCAGGACGCGTCAGGGCGCGCTACTTTCCTGGTCGTCCCTCTCTGGTAGCTGGAAGACGCAATTGGTATCGCCAACATCGATCGCAGTCGAGCATCGCCAATTCGGGAGGGTGATGACAAAGTCCCTTGGAGTCGTGATTTTCTTGATGGGCTGCAGAATCTCCTTGCTGTTCTGTTCCCAGAATTCACCATAGCATCCCTGCCATAGGTCGAGACAGAAATACAGTTTGATATGTAATCTCTTGAGACTGGTCATCTTGCTCAGCCCATCCCACAACCTGTACCACTCAACTCGGTGATGAGCAGGCATCAAGTTGACCTGGAAGTATTGGTTGCGGTCAAGGTCCCATTCGATAGTGAGATTGCTGATTTGCACGATACGTTGGGGCTGGAAGAAGTAGCAGAGATAGCCTGCTGTTGGAAAATCTTCCAAGTCGGTGGACATGAAGAACTGGTTGCTTTTGTAGAGGTACTCAATACCTTCAGAATAGCTGCGAGTGTTCGTAAGTCAATCTTGTACAGGAATTGCACCTGAATAACTTACATTTGCCGACACGTCCTTAAAAGAGGGAGTGCCAATTGCAGCTTCTGGCTGGGTGAACAAGGCATGTAGCAAAGGCAGTTTCGAAGTGTACATTTTCGCGTAAGCAACTTCCCATCCAGAACTGACGTATGTATTGTCTGTTCTCCTAGAGCCATCTTGTAGATCATCCGCCGAATCTCCAAAGGTAATTTGCTCAAAAGCGCTGAGCGAGGCTGGGCCAGCGTCTTTTGGTCCTCTTGTAAATCCCCTGAGATGGAAAGGGCGCGTCTGCGAGGCGTGGGCATCGTTGGTAGTACTATTTCGTGCGAGAGATTTCGTCTTCTTCCATGTCGTCCAGGGCTCAGAAACACTAGCAAGCAACAGATGCAAGGCGCGCAAGCTGTCCACATGAGGCATTTGGAGGTCTGCCAGACCACTGTCCGTAGGCAATTGCCTGTCTTTCTTCCAGCATTCTCCAGCTTGCTCCGGAATCGATTTGGCATTGTTGCGTTGAGAAGGAGCCGCGACAGTTGTCAACGATGGCGATGGCGATGGCGACTTCCGTGGCGCATGAGCAGGCGGGTGAATGGCCGCGGAAAGCTCTCTGGCATCTGCAACGCCGCGACTGATGGACAAGGAGCTCTTCTCATTTGTCGATGTTACTCTAGCGGCGTCTCAGTCGTCGTCGAGACTGGAGGAGAGAGGCTACTTGGAGTGATGGTTGTGACCTGTGGCGCAGTCATGGCCCCACTTAGCGGGCAGCCGCGATGACGATGACGTACTGGGACCACATGGAGTACCAGACACTGACTCTCTCTTTGCGCGCCATTCATACACACACATCTCACAGCTTATGGGCTCCATGTTTTTCGCGTATATAGGTTTCTCCAAGTACGCTCAATTACTGACAGGAACGGAAGGCGCTCCAATCCTCCAAGGTTGCTGCGCGAATCACCCCAAATGCGCCTCCGCTTCTATCTCAATCTTCATCGTCTTATACAAAGCCACGACTTGCACTACAGTCATGAGAGGCCCATGATTCTTGCATCTCCCTTTCATGTTGCGAATAATTGGCTCCGCGATTTCATCAATCGGTACGGTAACGTAGAAGCGCGTCTTGTAGACCTGGTCCCAGCCCTCCCCACCAGCTTGACGAATAGCATGTTCGACGTTATCGAAAGCTTGATCAACCTCCTTCGAAAGTTCGTCTGCATACTCCTCGGTCGTGCGATTCCAGCCGCCTGGACTTGGTCAACATTGGATAGCCTATACACTATGGGCAACATACCTTGGCCGGATACCTCGATGCGGTTGTCGATGCGGACCGCTTGGCTGTAGTTTAAATCCCGTTTTGATCGCTCGCCGAAGCCGGGATAGTCGAAGTACTGGAGATGCGACATAGTGGTCTTGTCAGAGATCAGACTGGAAAGTCCGCGAGCTATACGAGGCGAAGTATAATACGGTCTTTCGATCTGATGCGCGGCTACCTTTTATACTCAACCTACGTGGTATGATCACTCTAGAACTCCATTCGCATGACGAAAACAGCCGCCCAGCATCACATTGTGGCGAAGGCTCTGCCAAGCGGACATTTGTAAGCTGTATTTAGGCGTCCTATAGGATTTGCTGTTACAGGCAACCGCAGGCTCAACCCAATGCATGACAAGATCTTGGCCGATGGATTATGACGGCGTTGGACAGAACCCTCGGCGTTTAGAAGCTTAGATACATGGATATAAGAGATGACATCCGCAAGCTTACGCAGTCAGCATATTTTCATGAGACGGCCATTGGCTCTCGTGCCATGAAATGACGGTACCAACATCCCTACGTCCATTCCCAACGGGACTTTCGGAAGACTGTCTTTGTATTCTGCAATACTGGGTCTCTATAGGGGCAATTCTGATATCAGGAGGTGCTAGGAATGGTTGACATTTACGTTCAACAACGTAGCACGTATTCTCCAACACGCTTCATTGGTAACCTGGACACATAATTGACACGGTGTATTCTGCAACTATCACCTTGATGGTACAATTTTGGCCAACATAAGAGTATCACACACCAGACCATGATGAATACATTTCCCAGCGGAAACCATTGCTTACCATCATTCTTCGTAATCATCATAGTAGCCTGGGCCTCGGGGCAGAGATGGAGACCGCATATTCCGACCGCCTCCGCCGTATCGCGATCCTCCATACCAAGAGCCTCCGCGGGGCGAGCCTGGATTCAAAGGATATGACATGTACAGGCCCATGGATCGCATGTCTGAGGACGAATGGTAAGGAATAGATGGCCTTTGAAGACTGCCGCTGCGTGAGCCCCAGAACGAGCGAGAGCGAGCGTCCTAAGGGCGTCTTGTACCCCAATCCGCGCCGTGGCCGAGACCGAGGACGTTGAGTGGGTCATCGTTGTAGAAGGGATTGTTGCTCATCTTTTCTGGTATTATCGCTATAGATGTGGTTTATTATACACAAGAAGATATCTTATGCGAAGCTTATTAGCAAGAGCGCAAGAAGCTTTATAGGGAGATATGGTGGATGTATGTGCTGCTGGCAAGTCTAGTTCTGGTGTTGTATACAGGCATATTCACGGTGTCCTTCGTTCACTGAACGCTTGACATGTTGCTGATCATATCGCTGTATACCAACGCGTGACAAATACATAAATACATTATCCTCCAAGTATAAACCGGAACAGTCGTCTAAGAGTCTACGTTGCAACACCTACACTCCACGTGTCTGTTGCGTAGACGTCGTCTTCTCGGTCACGATCTACGCTGTTTCTTCTTGCCTAACCATCAGTCCATGTCGTAGTCAAGTTTCTTCTACTATAGACTCACCCACTACTTCTTCGCATTTCCGCCACTAGGAGTGAAGGACGGAGCCGTGGCGTTCAAGCCCTTTGCAGGTGTGGCAGGAGAAGCCTTGTCGTTGTTGACGGCTGATGGGTTCATTGCCTTTCCCCAAGCAGTCCCGTTCTTGGAGTAAGCGGTCGGCGCACCCCAGTTCTGGCCGTGACCGATACCTGTGACGTTCCGCCAGTTTTCAGGGTTGTTGTTTCCAGACATCGCGGTTGTCGTATGGGCGTTGGTTTGCTTTTATCATTGGTTAAGTAGACTATCCGGTATAGAGCTGTTTATATGGATTGCGATCGTGGGTATATGTACCTGTATTCGCGATAGTTATTGTTGGAGAATATCTTCCAGTGGTGACTACGAACAACGACGAGAAAATGGACATTGCGAGTAGCTCAAGGAAAAGGTCGGATGTGTATTGATCTCGCACGCATTACAGTAGTGAAGGGTAACACTAGACATATATCGTACATTCACTATACGAACGATGTTGAGACATGTGTGATGGGAACAGTTTGCAGCTTGATCACATTAGTCCTGTATGTATCACATGCGCCAGCGAACCTCTGATTCAAATAAGCTCAGTCTGGACAACGACATATCTCGATTTTGCTGAAGATCGGCTCGCCGTAACAAGGCGCGTTTGTCTTCGACGACTTATCTTCCCTTGTTTCACGCCTCAACCGTATAGCGAACGTTTCTCGCTTCTTTATTCTTTGCAGCACACCCTTCACACTCCCGTATGACGTTCTCAAGCCCCGCAACATACTTAGGCTGGTTCCTTTTCTCGAAAGCCTTCTTGAGCTGATGCAGGCAATCGAGAGTCTCCACCGGAACGTGATCTTCCCCCTTGTTTGCATCAGTTATGCATATCTGAAATTTTGGGGATTGATTCCTTCATAATGAAGGATGCTTCTTCTGATCTGACTCGCCCAGTGTGTCGCGCAAGCTGCCAGAGGCGCAATAAGAGCAAGAGAAAAGAAGCCCGCTCTGGTGAAGAAGTACGCAGATTTCGTTGGCAAAGTCAGCAAAGGGCATCTGATAATGGCCGGGCCTATGAGCAGAATCGTTGCCGCTGTTGGCGCTAATAGGACAGATACAGTGGCAGAATTTGCGACCTGAGGTTCTTCATAATTGGAAATAGCAGAATGTAGGCCTTAGAGTTAGTGGGAACCTATCTGGTATACAGATTTCGATGTAGTCGTCAACACTCACCTGCACCCTGAGGCATGAAAAAGACGAACCATTGTCGAGGTTCATCTAAATACAGTCATAGACCTTAAATGAGAGTTTCGGTGGTTTCAGACAAGATCTCAACCAGTGTCTAAGATGAGCTGAAGCGAGGGAGCTGGAAGATCATTTTGACGCGTGGAGTTGAGGAGCGATTGGAGATGCGGCGTGGTTGCACAAGTTAACATCCGCATGAGGCTAGATCCCGCGGACATGGCCGCTTACTCATCATCGAATCTTCGCATTCGCTCAACACCAACGAGCTCGTCGCCAACAGGAAGAGAGCCATCCACAGCCATGCCACCACGGCTAAGAGCGGTCCGAGCCGCCTCATCTCTCCTATTCATATGCTCCAGAGCACCCGCAGCGATATCGGTCGCCCCCCTCCTTGTGCCCGCCCAGCAAAGATGCGCATCCATTCTTTCCTCGCTCTCCGACAACGCAGGCGCCTACAATAAGAAGATCCGACGAGGTCGCGGTCCCGCCTCGGGAAAGGGAAAGACTGGTGGACGGGGTCAGAAGGGTCAGCATGCACACGGCAAAGTCCCCGCGGGCTTCGAGGGAGGTCAGACACCGCAATGGATCACCAACCCCGAGCGAGGGCGGGGGAAGTACAACCCGTTCAAGGTGGAGATGTCACCCATAAATCTGGACCGGATACAGAGTTGGATTGACCAGGGGAGGCTGGACCCGAAAAAGCCCATCACCATGAAGGAATTGGCCAAGTCGAGGTGTTTGCACGGTGTCAAGAGGCATGGCGTTAAGCTGCTCGCGAGGGTAAGAAGCCAATCAATGGTGGCTACACGAATGCTAATTGCGGTCGCAGAATCCAGAGCAATTGACCACACCCATCCACATCGTTGTCTCACGCGCCTCTGCTGACGCTATCGCTCGCATCGAAGCCCTCGGCGGCAGTGTAACCACACGATTCTACTCCCCCACATCCATCAAGCGCGTCCTCCGCGGCGACTCACACCCTACCATCTCTATCCAAGCCTCGCCAGACCTCGTCTCTCTCACTGCTCGCTCCGCAGCCGCGAAGATCCCGTCTCCCATCATCACCGCCCTCCAGACGGCCGCCGAAGAGAAGAAGAAGGAGGCTATGGTTGCTGTAATGAAGCAGATCGGGTCGAAATACAAGTACAGGCTGCCTGATGCCACAGCAAGAAAGGACATCGAGTACTACCGCGATCCAGCGCATAGAGGATACTTGAACTACACGATGAAGGATGGCGAGAGCCCGTCTTTGTTCTTCAAGCCGCCTGGTGAGGCAAAGGACAGGAAGAAGCAGAGCGCAAGGAAAGACGCGGCTAAGGCCAGTGCGGACAACAGGCTGTTCTAGAGAGGAACATTGGAGCATGTATCATACTATGTGTATAACGATCGGTTGGTCCGCCAATATACCACTGCAATACGTGGGCCCACAGTGCTCAGCCATGAATTGACTCACATCCGTCATGAACACAACATCAAGGATGACCTGGACGCCTCCTCCGCTGACCAACATCCAGTTTCCCCGCCACAACAAACTAATTGAGGGGCTGAGCCATCGTGACAGCGAAATCGTCATCCGGCGGGCAACCTAAGGCCGTGGCTGTGCAACTCGGCATCAGCTATTGCGCAGCAACACCGAATGCAGAGCTAAATGGTCAAACGTCAACACGAACAACAAAGACGTCAGTATCTATGCGCATGGCCAAGCCAAATCGTGGCGGTGTGTTAGTGAAGCAAACGTAACGATCGGTGCCAATGCGATGCCCGTTTCAAATATCTACTACTATCGCAGTGATATGAAACATGTCGCACTGTTTCCATGGCACGACCGAGCGTCGACTTATTTTGCGACGTGGCTCGAGCATGCTAATTGTGCTGAGACATGGGGGGTTCTTGTCAGGTGATGGTCGTGGGAGGTGGAGATGTTGTTAGTGCATGAGGTGACGTGAGTATCTTTGGGAAGTCACTGATGCATGAGAATATCCGGAAACTGATGTGCAAAGTTTGGACATATATTACTATTCGTCTGACTAGAGTGGTGCAGCTGTGTTCACGGAAAGATGAATGGGTGAAGCTGACTAGTATCTAGCACAGTGTACCTGAACTTGTACCACGTCCGTATTCTGCTACCTTCCTTCTTGGGCTGTATCCTTCTCTGATATAAGTGTGTTCACTCATTTCGTCACCTGTTTTTTCCAAGACGTAGTCCCGGGCGAATGGGAGGCATGCTCTGAAGACGATCTTACTGCATTAGCACACCAACATCAAATCTAGCAGACACGCTTTCAAGATGCACTCTGGCATTACGACAACGACCGGTGGATCGAAGAGCTTCCCTCCAGGCGACGGTCGTTTTTACACAGCGGAGCCCAATCTCGAACTCATCGGCGACGACAATGCCTGATTTGTTGGAAGCCGGGAATCCCGACCAGGTTACATGCTTGCCGTGGCATCTCCATTTTCGCACCAGGAAGGTTGTCGTCCAATGAGGCCACAATTAATAGATGGATGCTGGCAGGGATATAAGCTGTGTGGAGTCTGAACCTGTCAGGCAGTGCAGTCGGGGAAGGTGATCCCTTTGAAAGCATGCCACAACACTAGTAGCTGCAGTAAGAGACGAACAATGGAAGGTGATGATGCACATGAAAAGCCTTCGTGTCGGTGGTCAATCCCCGCGACGTGTCCGTAATCAGCATAGAATCCAGTTGGTCGGCACTCCGCTTGTGCGAGCCGGTGAGACTGTCTGCATGTCTTACGGATCCTTTGGGTCAACGGCTGCGTGCGGCATTCTTGCCTGCCCCAATCCCTTTGTCCCTGCACGAGGCTGAGTAGTCACTTTGGGATGCGCAGCGAGAACTCGACAGGTCGATCCGGAGGGCGCGCACTACTGTGATTGCACATAGTGGCGCAAGCCAAGGTGTCCTGATCCGCTCGGTGACATGCACGTGGTGCAGAGGATGTCTCGCGTTGAGGTGAGGAAGCGATGCGTCGCTTTTCCAAAGACAGCTGAACCCTATGTGTTGAGCGATGTACTGCAGCACCTAGACGGGCAAGCGCGGCCTGGGATCCGTTCCGGCAGGTGCAACGTCCTGTACGCAGAGTTCGTTTGCATTGTCTGAGAGGGTTAGCTGCAATCGGCCCCTCGAACGACAATCCAGAGTTGCTTCTGAGCACGGAAGGAGGTGTGGAGTGTGTTAGTCGGTTGCCTTTGTTGGTTGTTGCATGATGGTGGCACGATGACTCGCCGCGTGCGTCGAAAGCACCGCCAGACGTCCAAGCTGGAACATCGTTGTTCGAATCGAGCGCTAGGCAGCCGACGAATTGCAAGTCGTTTGCCTTTGAAGGAGTTTCGCCCGGCAATAAAGTAAAGAAGAGCCTGAGCTTGGCGAGCTAGCTTGCCGTATTGTATTTGGAAAAGATAGCGAGGGTGTACCGACCTCGGAAGCATTGTCTTTGGCGCAAATAGATGGAGCCTCCTGCATGATACTTTGGTAGCATGGGGTGTAATAATAAGGTGCAACTTGGTCACACAAAGTTGGTTGGCTGACTGGCGCGTGAGTGGCTTCGCTAATGTGTTAATGAAGCTTGTGGCGTAACGCATACGGGACTTGCTGTCCTTCATGACAGTGTCAGCCGCGGGATAGACGATGATACGGGTCAGCTGTGCATCGGGCAAACTAGTATGGCCTCGTGGATCGGTACCAACGCCCTTGTACATATTCACATTCAATCTCCGGTGGGAAGTAGCAAGTATCGGTACCCCTTGGATAGAGCCTATCTTCCCGCATCACGTCCTGGCCGGTCAGCATGCAGTAACACTGTCAGACGAGCGGTCTTGCAGCCCGAGTGCAAAGTGGTTGCGTCACAATATACCTTGGTAAATGTCGAAAGGATCACGTCTAAGCATAGCAAGGGATCCATCATCCGGGTACGGAGGCCTTGAGGTTGGGTCGCTGGTTGATTACGGCGTGCTCGCTCTAGAGCGTGGGGTTGCGCGGTGCTCATTCGTTGGGAACCGTCTGACCTACTTCTTTCAGCACAAGAGAGCGGGGAACTGGATATGGATCTGAGGACGCCGCAAGCCGTGTCGAAAGGCTAAACTCGACCCACTGGACTCGTGTGGCAAAGGTGTACAAGATCCTGAGTCGGCATAAGACTTGTTGCAGTGTGTGCGTCTATCGCGTTCTGCTTTTGCAGCTGGGCCGCTAAGGCCAGTCGCAGACCGGAATTAATGAGCCGTAGCCAAGCTGCATCCATCGCACTTCGTGATCGCGACCGTTCGGGCACAGGGTCGTAAGAGCATGGTAAAGAAAAAGTCTGCCATATCGCGCGCCAGCCAAGGATTTGCGTGCTCAAGCTGGCGCCAACCATATACACTGGTCTCGGCTGAGTGGTTTTCGCAGATGTCTTGCGGCCAGGTTGCTGCGCATGATGAAATGCACTAGAGGCACATCCATGGAGCTGCACTGCTCGGCAGGGTCAGTTGTTGAAAGGCAAACGCTGGAGTCAATCGACGATAGATGATGCATGGTGTAATGTACGCGTGGTGGAAGCGCGGTACGTCTCAGCGCGCCATGGCCAAGCTAATAGATGTGCCGTGAATGGTATAGGCTGGGCAGGACGGTAACGAGTCGTTGGGGCTCGTATAATCGTGTAATGGTGAGGAAAGCGGTGCCGAGTATCGTCCGTCCTCTCCGTACTACGCCCCCCAGCCTTCCGTGGAAGGAGCTATTGCCCTTTCTGCGCCAAAATAGTCACCATTCATCTCCACACGACGGTCAGGACGCTCGGTCAGACGGGATCGCTGTCGAACGTGGATTCTGGACATACTGGCACTGCAGGCGATGATGCACAGCGGTGAAGTTAGTTTGGATAGAGCCATGACGATTGCAGCGCCGTGGAGGACCTTGGGCGGTCGTATCACGCGCATCAGCGAATCGCCAGCCGAGTCGTCCAGGCATCCCGAGCCTCCCGTTGGCATGGAGCAACGAAGGGGCGTGTTTGAGATGTCGCCCCTCACACCGACATCGTACCGATGCTATAGGAGTAGTTCAACGGGCGGTGGAGGGCTAACCAGCATGTGGAATGCATCCATGCTGGGTGGTTGCAAGCAATCGCCATCCATGTGTTAATAGAGGTGATTACGTGGGCAGCTTTTTTTGCAGAGTGACGACGGACCGTGCACGGCCCACACCCCTGCTCATGTACTGTACGTATGACGGCGCTCGCCCTGCTAAGCTCCACCGTTCCAACAACAACCTCATTGCATTGCGAAGCAGGATCACCGGCGGCACAGACTCTGCTCAGTGCTATCGATAGATTACGGGCTGCGTATCCCTTGCTGCTCTGGCCATGTGTAATTCCGTCACGGTTTCACGGTTAGCGCTGCTGGCCAAGCAAGCGACTCGATAAGCAATCATGCTTCACGACGCCGGTGCTAGTTGGACGGGTCAGCAAAGGCAACCTTGGAACTGGACGCGGACTGCAAGATTTGCAAGACTTGCAACACAGGCGTCCGGGACAGGTGGATGCACCCAGCAAGCCGCAGGCCCCCGCAACAGCTATGGCCGGCCTGATGGACGCGCAAGGTGATGGAATGCAGCAACTGAGGCGCGCGCAATACCCGAATTCGTGTTTCGTCAGGGGCGTTGCAAAGGCGGTTCTGCAGTGCAGATTGCCTCAACTTGGAGTGCACGCAACACGTCGCCGGCCGGTCTCAATAACAACCCTCTGTCTAGCGTCGGGGTGCATCATACTTGCCATTCGCCGAGAGCATCGGAACCGAGGGCTGCAGCGGTCGGGCTCCACATGATTGGAAGTCATTCAGCAAAATCATCTGCAAAAAAAAAGAGGATTGCTGATCAGCAGCGCTCGCGCAAACTTCAGCATGGGAAGCTTCGCGTTCGACAGGGTTCGGGCTCGGATATAGAGCATGCTTAGGGAAAGGTAAGACGGCGATTTGGCTAGCTAGGGCGGGCTGGCTGGGCGACTGGTTCGTGTCGCTTGCAGTCTGGCAGCACAGCGGCGCCGTCCAGTCTGCCACATTCAGTCTCGCCATTTGCTATGCGTGCGCTTGCAGCAGCGTCGCAGTGTGCTTTTTAGATGCCCAAGGGCGGCAAGCGGGCAGCAGGTGGTCAAACACGGCATGGGCGGGACGCTGCACGCGTATAGTGCCCTTCCAGACCGCCCAGGCTGGGGGTGGTCACTGGTGATTACCTGTCGTCTCGTGGATCGTGATGGAGGTCTGCCGCTTACGGAAATTCCTGCTGCTACTGGCAGAGTTTGGATGTGGCATCTGCGGCCATCATTCGTGGTGGGTGCTCCGCCTTGGCCGGTGCAGCTGGCCGCGATGCGCAAGGGATCTCACAATCTCTGATCAGTCGTCGTGTCTGAGACGGCAGCGCTCCGTGGAGGCAGCAGGCCTACCATGTAGGCTGCAGCGAGTTGATGAGGCCCACCAGCGCTATCGTTTCTTCGTTTGTGGCCGGATGGTGTCCCACTGTCGCAGTGCGCACTGGGCAAGGTCGTGTGTGGTGGGGGGAATCATGGCTGAAGCCCCTCTGGACGCGCACCATGCATCGCCTGAGGGGTCACGGCCCAATCAGCGCGCGCGGGAGTGCTGAGGCTGTATCGCGCGGCGCAGCTGGTGCTGGGGTGGTTTGGCGCAGGGATTGATTATTCACGACGCTCGTGCTGGACTTGTTGTAGTAGCAGCAATTAGCCCGCGCGGCTTGGCTGCTAGTCGCGTCGGTCGCTCCTGCCCTCGCGGCGAACCCCCGGTCGCGGTTGCTTTGTGCTGGCGGCCGTGCGCCCCTAGCTCCTTCCAGGCGCGGTTGATGTCAGAGCGCGGCTTCTCCTTCTGGGTCCTGGATCAGCCTCTTGGGGCGTTCCTCCTACCCTGCTCGCTCCTGCCTGGAACCTTCCGAGCCTTCACGACTCCGTGTGTGTGAATTACCTATGTTTTATTCAAATCCAACGGCCCCAAGCCATGTCTGCCATGCCAGCGTGCGGGCCCCCGACAATCCGCCTCCCTACAGTCACAATCGCTCACCACCATTACCCACACCCAACACCAAGCCGCTCCCGGTATAGCACCACACGGCCAGGACGCTCACCGGGCCTGACGTCTCTTTATTGTGTCCCTCTGCACTCTCCTTTGCCAAACCCTCTCCTCCTACAAGTCTAGTTGCAAGCGTCGTTGCCGTGTCCCGGATATAGCCTGGCTTTGATTGGCCTAGCTCCTGCTCCCCGTCCATAGGTCAACCTCTCCGTCGTCGACATCTTCCTTCCAAACCAAGGTTGAGTGAAGAGGATAGCGTGCAAACAATAGTTGCTGGACATGACCGCCTGCTCACATTGACCTCGCCGCCTTTCACCACCTCACCTCGCCGTCTCCATCCTCTCTTGCCGTCCACATGCTCGAGCTACAGCTCCCTCGCCCAATGCCTCACGCCCTGCCGCGGGAGCCTCCCTTCAACCTGTATGCCACGGCACCTCGCAGCTCCTCCAAGCTCGACGCCACGATGCACCTTCCCTACCCAAGTCTCTCACACAGCTATGAGCAAGCCCCCAGAGCTCCCCTCACACCTCCAGAACTTCCCGGCTCAGCAGTGAGGGTGGTCTCACTACCGCCGAACCAGGGTGCAGGGCATCAGTACGGCTACCAACTGCCAGCAATCGGCAACTCCAGATCAGCAGCAGCCCCAAGAAGTCCCAGTCCGCCAAGGCAACAACCACAGGCACAAGAGATGGCTCAGACACCAAGGAAGAAGTACACCATATCACCAAACCTCAAGATTCCACCGACGATCAGCACACCACAAGAGGGTCTTCCCCAATTAGCAGCGGAGGTAATTCCAGGCCCCATCATCTCACTGGCAACCACTAACCAGCCATCCAGGTGACATGTCTCTTCTGGTTCGAGAGCTCGGCAACGCTCAAACAAGTACTTGATACCGCCTCACCACGCCAGCCCATGCAGCCGCTCGTTCCCGATGCACATCCTACAACTGGTTTCAGGAAGTGGGTAGCAACGATCTTGACGACCACACAGGTTGCCCAAAATGTTATTCTCTTGGCACTGCTTTTCATCTACAGGCTCAAGCAGACCAACCCCACAGTCAAAGGAAAACCTGGCAGCGAATACCGTCTACTGACTGTAGCTCTCATGCTCGGCAACAAGTTCCTCGATGACAATACGTACACGAACAAGACATGGGCCGAGGTCTCGGGTATTTCGGTACAGGAGGTGCACATCATGGAGGTCGAATTCCTCAGCAACATGCGATACAGTCTTTTCACATCAAAGGAGAAGTGGAACGAATGGCACGGTATTCTGGGCAAATTCGGAACCTTCTTCGATCGAGCATCCAAGATTCCGGCCTCCGGCGCGGTAAGCCCAGTCGGTCCTCAGAACATGCTAGGCCTCCCGCAGAACTTTGTTCCTTCACCACCAACCCAGCAGCAAACGTCACCACCGACTACGATGATGTACTCCCCGAGCCACATGGCATTCTCCAATACCCCGCTTTTGCAACCACAGGCCACGTCGGCCACCGTATCCCCGATCGGCGCCCTTCCGGAACTCGGACCCATTCAACGCAAACGCAGCGCTGATTACGGTATCGAGCCCCCAGTGAAGCGACAGGCCCATGGGTTTGCACCTGGCCCCTACAGCAATGCACCACCGATTCCGACCCTGCAGACGCCCGTTAATAGGTCATTCGAGCCACCACCATCCGTGAATCGACTACCTCCTCTGCCAAGTCTTTCGATACCTCCGCCTCAGCAGATGCCCCCGACCCAGATGAAGAACTGGTCAGACCTCCCGCTACCAGTCCCAGGTGGCCGCTCCATGGCCATGGTGTATCCTCCGCCCGTCCAATGGCAGCAACCAACTAGCACACCAACATCGTCGGCTCCACCACCCTTCGCCCATAACTACATTCCCTCTACCGATCAGTCTCGTCAAATTAGTCCTTACCCACAGTCCGCAGGTTCCTCTCCCGTAGGCGCCTTTCCGGCAACGGGCTCGAGACAATTGTCACCATCCCATTTCCTTAATCAGCGCCAGTCTCCTTATCGACCGGTTCGTAGCGTGCAGACACTACTCGTACCTCCACCTCAGACATCCATTCACAACCCTGCGAGGAACATCAGATACGACCAAATGCAGTATCAGCCTCTGGGTCAACCCATGACTGATCGTCGTTCTGGCCTCCTACCATACATGGACCGGAGCGCATGGCCTGAGACCAACCAGTTCAACCAACTTCCTGTTCCCCAACAGCCTGTATTCAGGTGAACGGCCACTCATTACCTTCGTGTAACAACTTTACGAACTTCCTGGGCTTACATTGATTGCCCATCATTCAGTCCAAAGGACATGATATTTGCTGCGTTCGAGCGTGCATTGCATTGGGTGGTACTTTCCGTGAGCATTTCATTGATCAATAGATTTGATCAGCACTTTCTTTACATTACCACTGCATCAACAGGCGTTCTTGTATATATAGTCTTTTGCCTGGTCGACACTTTACGTGTCCGTATTACAGGGCTTGATATGATGGCGTTCCGAGCGGCCGAATTGCTTGGGTCTTAGTCTCGAAGGATTATTGCGTTTGAAGCAACAATGCATCAGAATAGCAAACTCTCAAAGGGTGTATAATCAAAAACAAAGTACTACTATCTCACTCTTCCATCATGTATACGGCCCAATGCAAGTCGGCGACATGACTTAGCCCATCGCCTTCCCTTCTGGCTCACAGGGTGGGTGCTGACAACTGTGGGGGGCTCACTCATTATTTCTGCAAGGCTTTAGATTCATGCGGAAACGTTGAGTCCGACTCGGGTACGCTTCAGAGTGGGCATATGTTCAAGCTTTAGATTCATAGTCTGAGTGGACCTTCAGAGGCTACCTAGGTGGTACACAATCGGGCCTGCGTCACCATACTCAAATTCGATGCATGTACCCAGGTACACATCCTCTCATGGATGTCCAAGTCTGCTTGGTATCGGGTTTTGACAAGAAGCACGGGTCCAGAGTATGAACCGATGAAGTCGTTCAAACCCGGGAGCTATTCCAGTTGACGCGCTTTTTGTGGATGGTGGCTTTTGGTGAGAGTAGGGAACATGTACGTAGCTAGGATTTTAGATAGAGAAAACACGACGTCTAGTTATGCAAAAATTCACCAAAACGCAAGTAACGGACATGGGGGATTTTGACTGACATGTGTTATATGAGAATAGGTCACACAGTATTTTCAATCGTTGACAGACCATTCTGCAAATAAATTGTTGCCTGGGAAGTGATTTTGTGGAAACTTGGTGATGAACCATACAGTCCACGGGTACGAAGCACGTCGTACAGCCTTACGCGCGCCAAGCCGCTTGCAAGAGCCGCGGCAGCGCGTTCACGGTTCACTCTAGGTTTGCACATTTCCTCTATACTCCATCCCACCTCTGCAAATCGTCACTATGCCGCCACCGAAATCCAAGAAACTTACCGCACAACCAGTGCGAACGCGCCAATTCGCCGGCAAACCGGCAGCTGCACCTGAACCCGAAGAACGCTCGAGCTCGGAATCAGAATCGGAGGAGGAACAGCCAAAGCCAAAACCCTTTGCGAAACCAAAGCCCGCGCCCATCGCATCGTCGTTTCCCAAGTCGGCGCTCAAAGCAAAACTTGCATCGCGACAGAAATCTGAGGCGGAGCGCAAGGCGCTAGAAGACGACTTCGAAACAGAAAGCGAGGAGGAGGAGGGCGGCGAAGATGACAGTGGTAGTGAAAGTGGGAGCGGCAGTGAAGAAGAGTCATCCGAGGAGGAATCAAGTAGCGAAGAAGAGGCACCAAAGAAACTACTGCGTCCAGTGTTTCTGAAGAAGAACGAGCGGAACAAAGTCGCACCTGTCAAATCAGCAGAGGAGATAGCGGCAGAAGAGGAGGCACGGCGGCAGGAACAAAACAGGGCGCTCGTACAAGAGCAGGTAGAGCAGCGCATAGCAGAAAAGGCAGCGGGCAAGAAAGACTGGGACGACGACGTAGAAGACGCCGACATCAACGCCATCGACGACACTGACGGGGTCGACCCTGACGCCGAGTATGCCGCCTGGAAGCTGCGCGAGCTCAAGCGCATTAAGCGCGAACGTCTTGCGATAGAAGAGGCTGAAGCGGAGCGCGCAGAGATCGAGCGCCGCCGCAACTTATCCGCAGCCGAACGTGAAGCCGAAGACCGCGCCTTCATCGAGAAACAACAAGAGGAGAAGGGCGACCGTGGTCAGATGCAGTACATGCAGAAATACTTCCACAAGGGCGCCTTCTTCACAGACGAGCTCAAGGAGCTGGGTGTGGATCGAAGGAACCTCATGAACGCGCGCTTCGAAGATGAGACGAATCGCGAGATTCTTCCCGAGTACATGCAGATCAGAGATATGACAAAACTGGGCAAAAAGGGTCGGACACGCTATAGGGACATGAAGACCGAAGATACCGGCAAATGGGGTGACTTCGGTGATGACCGGCCGCGGAGAGACAAGGGCGATTTCGGTGTCGATGAGAGATTCAGACCTGATGCTTATAGCGGAAGAGATCGAGACAGAGAGGGCCCTTCTGGCGCAAATGCGAAGCCACTTGGCGAGAGGAAGAGGTTCGGCGACGATCACGACCGGGACAGTAAGCGCCCGAAGATGGAGGAGCGGGCTTAAAGCGTGTGATCATTATCATCTTGGCGTTGACAGCATTAGGCGGCGTACTAGCATCTACGGAACATGAATACCATACCCACCGACTTCAATCGTCGGCTCATTACTCTTCACGAACCCTCTCGTACGTTCCCCGTCCCTGAGCATCTCCGTCCGCCATGGCGCGCGCATCCTCTCTCCCCCTTTCCACATCCAACCGCCACAGCAAGGGTGCTGGTAAAACCACCAGGACCGCCAGGAAGATGAAAGCCGGGCGTATAGTGCGGGTCTGATCAACGATCCACCCAACAAGAGCTGGACCGAACGCACTGCTGCCTTTATCCGTAACAGCATACAGTGCGAAGAAGGCTGCTTCGCTGCCCTCGGGTATTAAAGGAGCGTAGACAGATCGCGCATAAGAGGATATTCCACCCATGACTATCCCATGAACGACCGCAATGGGGTAAATTTCCCATGCTTTCTGTAGCCCGATAAACCCCAAGCTCTTGAACACGGGTATGTATCCGAGTAATCCATAAAGAGGGATGATCTCCATGCCCGCTACACAACACAGTAGTACAGTTTTGGGCTGTAGAGCAAAGCGCCGTTGCACATGTGGCCATGCAAACGCGCCTACGATGCCAGATCCGATAGATGTGATTGACAGTAGCGCGATAGCAATGGTGCCCATGTGTAACTCGGTGCGTGCGAAGAGAACAGCCGTTCCAGAGATGGTCGCCACAGCATCCGACAGCAGGAACCATGATATCAGGAAAAGTAGCGTCTGTCGTAGCTTTATGGCTCTCCGCAGTGTACCGTAGAAGCTGCGCAAGGAGAAGGATGTGTAGAATAGAAACGTTCTTATCCTCGACGATGACTTCCCTCCAGTGAAGCTTTGAGCAGTCTGTGTGGGTAGTGGTGGACCTGGTCTTGGACGTAGCCACAATAGCGTCGGGATGGAGAATATGGCCCACCAGAGACCGACCATCAACAGGATCATACGAATGGAGAAGCTGGGTGACGTTTTCGAAAGAGACGTTTTGTTGAAGAGAACTATGATCAGGATACTCAAGATCTGGACGAAGACGGCGGATATGTAGCCATATCCAACGCCTTTACTAGAGATTTGTGCGCTTCGTTCTAGATCTCGCTTCAATCGATCTGGGTCGAAACGAGCGTGGGTAGAAGATGGTCCATTAGCTGGATTCAGAGACTCTAGCTCGACGTCTGATGCGGAGTCCGAAGATGCGGATTTCCTGGTTGTGCTGTTATCTGGGTGGTTGGCAACGAGCAGTGGTAAGAATGCGTTTAGCAAGACGAATGAACAGCCTAGACTCGAGACTCCGATGATGACTAGAATGGGAGCGAGGTAGTACAGTGATGGTGAGATGAAGATGAAAAGACAGCTGGCTAGTGAGCCCATGTATGATGTAAACATGAGCATCTTCTTCCGGTAAGGACCTTGGTAATATGTTAGTCCTTGTTAAATATCTGAGATATTGAGTATGATGACTTACCATGATCGGCGAAGGAACTGAAACATATCAAGACCACTGCTTGAAGTAATACAGCCGTAGAAAACGTGTACATGGCGAAACTACTCGTCGACATGTCTCTCCCCAGGTACCTCACCATGCATTGCTCAGGGTCTCCTCCGGCTTTCTGGTCTGCACCGTCGCGTACCCGGAGTTTTCCGGATGCGGTATGGTCGACACACGGCTTTGAGTGATCGGAGAAAAAGACGCCATTTTCTCGTGCGAGTTGCTCGAGGATGACTGGGAGAAACGCGCCTTGAATTTGTAAGTAATACACAAAAATTGATACGTGTGTCTGGTGGTTGCGCGGGCTGGGTGAAGGAGAAGGCTATGACGTACCGACTGCGACTACAGCGAAGACTTCGGCTGCGATTGGGTACGCATACCAAGCCTTCAATTCGCGATCGGTAGTAGGGCTCGTGTCTTCGCCTTCGTATTTGATGCGCGGGCTGGATACGAGCGTGTCGTCATCGTCGAGGTCGTCATTAAAAGACATATTTGTTTGTTGTTAGGATTTTCGAGTGTCACATTGGATAGAGGCTGACTGTTTGATCGATTCCGATGGGTGCCGGGTTCTTGCCGAGTGGGTCGCGGGTGGTGGGGCGGCTTCCAAGAACATGGCTTATCATGGCAGGAGCCTCATTCTTCTTCTGCGCTGGGAAGCTGCGTTTCGATAGGAACTTCTTGATTCTTTTGAAACAGCCTACAGAAAATGATAAAGCATATTTCGTTCAGTGTCAGGATAGGTCCATCTAGCTAGACGCCGTGTTTCAATGACGCGTTGCATCATTGACTTTCTATTAGCGTCATGGAACCCGCTGCAAGCTTCACGCACAGAGCCTTTGGTTCCCAGAAGTATGCTGATTGAGATGCATGTTTGACTGTTCAATGATCTCCATACAAACGATAAATCTGATGCTTGACAATGGCAGTTACTTTGCGAAGCCGTCGAACGACTTCTGACACTCCACGAGCGAAGCGAAAGATCAATGCCGCACCTAAAACACGCAAGCCTCCAGCAAGGACGCCCACGCGGGTAGATACCGAAGACCACCCAGTCGTCATCTCAACACCCCCCGGTTTTCCTTTTGAGCTCCAGCCTGCAAAGTATGGCCTCATTCAAGAGCGTGTATGCGACAGCTTGTATGCATTGGTAGTCCAAGCAATCCTATGGAACCAGACTCGGGGCCAAATGGCACGTCCAGTGCTCTTCAGTTTACTCGTGGCCTATCCATCGCCAATTGAGCTCTCCACCGCATCTCTCGAAGATTTGACAACAATGTTGCAGCCCATAGGCCTCCACCGGATTCGAGCGGCCCGCCTTATAGCACTGGCTGAAGCCTGGCTTTCCGCTCCTCCATGTAAAGAGAGAAGGTACAGGAGGTTACATTATCCTGATCATGGATGTGGTGCAAATGTCAAGCCAGGAGAGATCTTAGGGCCTGACGACGATAGAGAAGGCTGGGAGATTGCGCACCTGCCGGGCATGGGTGCGTATGCGCTTGACAGCTATCGCATCTTCTATCGCGACCGCTTGAGGGGCATCGAATCTACGAGCGGTGTTGAGCCCGAATGGAAAAGAGTTGTGCCGACCGACAAGGAGTTGATACCCTATTTGAAGTGGAGGCGGGAAGAAGAGCGCTGATGGCTGAAGCGCGGGAACAATATACAGTCTCTCCATTCGTGTGGTCTGAAACTCCGCTATCAGACGTTTTTGAGAGTACCGGAATCTTGGTCTTTACCAGAAAAGCAATGCTGGCTCGCACAGTAAATCGTCGAGACGCTGTCATGTGCTTCGTCCTGGCGCGCGCGTTGACAAGTCGAACCATTCTCGGAATCCGAACAGCAAATCAACATCATCGCTACCCCGCCAAAAGGCTCTTGTAGGAACCTGGAAACTTGAGCGAGCCAAACTGAATTAGGCATGCAAGCCTCACCTCTCTGACCACCAAATCATTACTGGCGCATTAGTTGCTTTTCATGGTTGCTACGATGTAAGCTGTGCGACAGTAGTGAACCAGTTAGGAAGCAGTAAGCGACGCACGGGAAAACGTTGAATGCAAGGCGTACGCCCCGATTTTGGCCAGATCGGCTCTGCGGGTAAATGACGGATTTGCAAGATCTCTCATCCAAACGACAACGGCCGTAAGCGTCGTAAAGGTACCTCGGAGCGGGCGCAGCAATGCTACGACGTGGCACAGAATGCCTTCACCTCGAGTCGCTTTACGCACCAAAATAGAGAATCGGGAAGTGTCGATAATGAAGTGAATAGCATAAGAGGGGCAGGTGTATCGTCACTTCTGCGTTTGGAGATCCCAAGCTAGTTCGCGCCTGACCTTTGTCCTCCTTCCACGTCGATGAACGTAAACAGAAAGCTCGCCTAGTTCACGCGACTACCTCCCTCACAACAGCTTCGTCGCGAATTGTCCAGACACACCAAAATGGACGTCGAAAAAGTCTCCAGTACGCCAATGGCTCTAGACTCCATCAACATCGCGGACGATGAAAAAAAGTCGGCCCAGTTGACTACTCGACCCGAGACGAGTCCCACTACAGCGCCCGGCATTGCAACATGGAAGTTGGTGTGCTTGTATAGCAGGTAAAGGCACCGCAAAACCCCAGTATGATCAATTAGCTAATGCGCACTGCGTAGTATATGCATCGGGCTCTTCCTGTCGTTCCTGGATACATCAATCATCGCAACTGCCATCTACACAATTGGGGTCGACTTCCAGTCCTTATCCAAGGTGAATTGGATTGCCTTATCTTACACACTCGCGTACATTGGCTGCACCGCCATCTTCGCCAGTCTCTCCGACGTAATTGGCCGTCGCAATGCTTACATCGCCGCCTATGTCATCTTCCTCGCCTTTTCAGTCGGCTGTGGCTTCGCTCAATCTCTCGAGCAGCTCATCGCTATGCGTGCGCTACAGGGAGTGGGTGGTTCGGGCTTGTATTCAGTAGGGTTCGTCGTCTTGGGCGAGATCAGCCCGCCGCGCGTGATCGGTATGCTGGGAGCTATGGCGGGAGCCATTATTGCGATGTCGGGTATCCTAGGGCCAGTGCTGGGCGGTGTCATCACCAACTATACGTCCTGGCGGTGGATATTCTGGATAAATGCCCCGATTGGAATCATTCCGTTGATCCTTTTCGTACTGGTGTGGTCCAACGATGCTCTCATCCACAGCACCAGTCCTCGCAGATTCAAACAGATCGACTTCCTGGGTTTCGTTCTCTTGGTTGCTGCCTCGGTGCCCTTTGTCATTTCGTTTCAGCAAGCTGGGATCCACATCCTCATGAACAGCTCCATCTGGTCGTCTGCTCTCTTCGTCGCCCCGCTCATCGTTGGCGTGCTCTGCTTTGCCGCACTCTTCACGTGGGAGTGGTTCATTGCAAAACGTTGGCCTGACGCTATTGCTGCACTCTTCCCCATGCGACTAGCGAAAAACAGAGTCTACATGTCAGCACTTGCGACGACCATGTTGACAGGCTTCCCTTACTTCGTTATCATATACTCGCTGCCAACACGGTTCCAGGTTGTCAACGGGAAGAGTGCTCTTGGGTCGGGTGTCGCTTTGCTGCCAATGCTTGGTTCTTCTGCTATCGGATCGACTCTCGCTGGTGCGGCGTCGAGTAAGAAGAATAACACGTTTGCGGTCAACGTCATTGGTGCTGCCCTCATGCTTATTGGAACTGCAACCTTGTCTACGCTCGATAACAACTTGGCCCCACAAGCTCGAGCCTATGGTCTACAGGTTTTCGTCGGTTTGGGCTTCGGACTGACAGTCAGCAATTCAACTCTACTAGCTGGCATTGAATCGGAGCCACGCGACACCGCAGTCGCACAAGGCCTCATGGCGCAAGTGCGTGTGCTAGGGGGTAGCGTCGGTATCGCCGCGTCAACAGCTATTCTGGGTATCCAACAACGGCGAGAGCTTCTCGATCCGATGATTCTGGAAGGCGCGCAGCTGGAGTCACTTGCTGAGTCTATGCGGACACTTTCTCTCAACAAAGTTTTCGCTATTCGCCAGACATACACAGATGCGTTCAACGAGACTCTGGTGGCTTGCTCTGTTGTCAGTGGAGTGGCCCTCCTAGCGACACTCGCAGCGTGGCGAAAGCATCCCACTGCTATGAGGAGTAGAACCTAGCATTTGGTCGGTTGGTGGGTAATTTGCGCGCCAATGCACACGATGCAAGGAGCTCGTCCAAATAGAGAGGTCTGAAGGACATGAGTCTGATGTTTCTTATTCACGCGACCTGCCATGGGTTTGGGAAGGACTGAGGCTAGCCATCGGTCCCAGCAGGAAGGGCTCTGTCTCTGTCGGACCAATCAGGGCTCTATCAGTAGGACCAGCTACTCAATTAGGAAATCTTCTCAAAAAGTGTGGATTGCGGCAGGAAGGGCACTGTGGAGTCGCTGGCCCCGGGGAACTGAATCTAATTGGCCCCATAGGGCCAGCTACCCGATTAGGAAAGTTCTGCAAGAGCTGTCGATCGCGGCAGGGAGAGCGGGTAGGGCCAGGGCCGGCCCTGTGGAGCCAATCAGAACCTCTAGACAAGGCCGTCTTCACCACCAGCCTCATCCCTTTTTCTCATAGCATCAAGCTTTCAGCATCATTTGCAGCACGACCATGGCAGGAAAACAACATATGTATTTCGCAATCTACATCAATTCGCAAAACTATGGTGTCACACAGGAAATGACTGAAGTTCCGAACTGGAGAGAACGCTCTCAATCTTCACACACTCACATGTCTCCATCTAGGGCTCCACATCCATCATAGGAACCTGATCCTCATTCTTCGCCTCCGCCAAGCCCTCCCTCTTCCTCGGCGGTGCCGGCACCGGATTCTGATTCTGCGGCGGCGTAGGCTGCGGCATCTGCGGCACCATAGGCTGCAAGTTTGGCGGTGTAGGCTTGAGTCCGTTGCTGAAGATCTCATTCGCAATCTCCATCCCCAGAGGCACACCACCAATGGGGTAGTCACCCTCAATACCCTGCCTAGTACCCCTAGTCTTGTATCTGATATCCTCTGGGTTCTTGAACAGAGCAGCGCCCGCGTCGTCGATGGCGTACATGTCCTTCTGAGTGGTAGGGACCAAGATGTCCTTTGCTGCCGCAGCGTCGAAGCGCCAGTGCACACCGAGGAAGATGCGCGAGATGGCGTTTTCAAACATCATCTCCCAGCACGAAGAGAACTGGCGGGGGACACGGGTGCGCACGGTACCGGGTTGATCGGTAATCTCGCGTTCGGGCATGTAGGGTTGGCGGAGATCTCTGCTGATGCCGTTGAGTTCGTCGGATACAAAGTCGATGGCGATGTTGTCGGGCTCATCGTCCTGCCAGCTTCCGATACGGCCGTTGTAGTACCTGCGCACCATCTGGAAGGCTGCACCGCCGAAAGTGGCGTGTCCAGAGGGGTAAGCAGGGAAGGGTGGCTTGAAGGGAAGGGCATCTGAGTTTGTAGCTGGGGCGCCGAGCGTAAGCCAGAATGGATCGCCGCGGTCTACTCGTTTGGCGTCACGAAGAATGTCGTCGCGGACACCGGAGAGTGGGCGCCAGAACTCAAATTCCCACTTCTCCTTCCAGGAGAAGACGCCTGCGTCGGCCAAGGCTACGTTGACAAGCGCGAGGAGACGAGCAAAGTCGGCGTTGTTGGCTTCGCTGGTCAGGGACTCGGGATCTTTCTTGTATCTCACTGCGATCTTGCGGACGATCTGATTGTAGAGTCTTGGTGGGGTACCGATCAACTTTGCGCCGTCGTAGGCCCACGTCATACCCTGGACGGTCTGGTGAGGAGTGCGCTTGGTGGTGTTGAGGGCAGGTGCTCCGCCCATGGCGTAGACTTCACGGAGAGCATCGTCGTATTCCGCCTGCTCGCCAGACATGGAGCGGATGCCTGGTGGATCGGCAAGAATGTGCTCGCTCTGAGTCGCGAAGCGCTTGGCCCTCGTGCCGTAGAAGGGACCGTGGTACTGGCGTCTTGGGATCTTTTCACCATTGGGGTCGTTGGCGTCCTTGGGGACGAGGTCAACAGGGTGCGTGGGCTCATCGTCGAACTTGTAAGGACCGACTGTGGGATGGTAACCTTGTTGACTGGCACCTTCTGGGTGGAAAAGCAGGTTGAAGAACTTCATGGCTACTGCCTTACCGAAGGTGAAACTCGGAGACGCCGGGTCGACGGGCTCGGGCGCGTTGGTTATTGATTGCTGTATGATGTACTCAAGCTGATCGTAGGTGCTGTTGGCAATGGAGGCGGGTACAGGAGTCACCGCAGGCCTCATGTACAGCATGGACAGCATCGTGAAGGCTGCTCCTGCTACCGCCTGCTGAGCATTGTCTGCGCCGGCTGGATCGGGCAGACGGTACTTTTCGTCTTCAGCGTCGAGTGACAGGAAAGTCTTGAAGTCTGAAGAGGGCTTAATGACGAAGTAGGTGTCGTGCACAGCCAACTGAAGCATGCCTAGAGCTCTGGCGGAGATTGGGGGCCCGGTCTGGGGACCATCGAATGTGTGCGAGACGCGGTTGAGATCCAAGCCGACATGGTTCCAGTAGAGGATGTAGTTCTGGTTGTCTGCCTCGTCTTCAACGTTCTTTGGAAGCTTAACGGGAATGAAGTTCGTCATGATAGATATGTTGGTGTGAGAGTATATGGGAATTGGTGAGGTTGTAGTTTTGATAATTAGGGCATGAGCCCTGATACTTTATACCTCACGACCTTGGGCCATCTCGGCGCACGAGAGATCTGTCCATATCAGGATGATTTCTTATTCTTCCAGAAATAACCCAGCTGACCATCAGGTGAACACCCTCTACGACAGGCACCTGGCCACATTGAGGCAGACGAGAAGGCAGACACTGAGCCACGCCGTTCCAAACCGATGCGAAGGACCATTGTCGTGGAGTGGAGATACTGCCAAGAGTCAATGGAGTTCTCGCGCATGCAGCCACTGGCGGGAGGATTACACTTGGCATGAACTACTTGTGACGAGTAAAGTTGCTTACCGACGCGCTGCAGAGTGGCTGAGTTCGACTGCTGTGAACGGTTGGTGGTCAGATCTGACGTACATTTCAGCTGACAAGGGGGTCACGATCCAGCCTCTCAGCTTCTCAGCCAATGCATTCATCTCACAAACCTTCATATTGCCACAAGTATTGCTAAGCAGTATATATCCAAGTGTATACGCTGTGACTCTGGTGCCTATCAACGTACCATTGGGCTTTGGTGTATACGAACAAGCATCTGGTGGCATGTTTCGGACCCCAAGATTGATACGGGCAGTTCCCCATTGTAAGACTGACCTTATGGGAGCCTGGTTTTCGAAAGAAAAGATGAAGCTAATGAGATTCGACCGATAGAATTGAATCCGTGATAGTTAGTCGTAGCTGGAATGCTCTGCGGTAGGGCTGAGGCAAGCTTGCTTGGCATAGACAAACGCCTTCGGAACGGTTTATGTGATCAGCTCAGCAGAGAATTATCGTCTGGCGCCCGGTGGCTGAAGGCTATGTATCAAGGGAGAATATCGCAACGCACCTGACAGTATCTAGAACTCGTGTAGGGAATCCAGTGGCGGCGTATCTGACCTCTGAACACATAGCCCTAGCCCAACGTGAAGCTTACCTCAGCTTCACGAGCGCATGGGCGGACGAGCGCAGCTTCTTGCGAAGTTTCGCGCCCAGCGGGAGGTTCGCAGTAGACGAAGGCGTTCGCACAGATGCATCTCGCTCTGCCACCGATCTTGATCCGGCCAATTGGGGGCCAAATTTCCACCTCACCAGATCTCCTGATGTTGGGATACGATTGAAGAAGCCAGCTACTGTTTTTAGGGTGTTAGGTGTGCGAAGAAACATGACTGGGAAGGTTACAGCAACGGAGAAGTATTGTCGATAGAACAAGTAAACTTAATGCTCATCCTACCTACTAGTTCGCAGCAGACAACGGGTTTGCCAAGCTTCCATGCTCACGGCGTACTGCGCATACAATAACCATGAAGCAAGCAAAGGTGGCTTCTTATTTGGCCTCCTTCAATAATGCCTCCATGGTAGCGTCCTTCTGACTGACGCTGCCACTGCGTTCCGCAGGCTTGAGCTTCCCAGAGGTTGGGCCCTCGCTATTTTGAGCAGCGTTCTTGAGCCGCTCGGTATCTTCAGGGTTTGTGTCCTGCTTCTTGACATCCTTCTCCTCATCATCGCTGTCGCCGAGGCTAAAGGGGTCGTGGTCATCGGGCTCTGGGTTTGGTGCGACTGAGGTGAGAGGCTGCCATTTCTTGCCGCTCGATTTACCCTGGCTGCCCTGGTTGTTCGGCGATGGGTTACGGTACAGGGCATCGACTTCGTCAACGGGACCGCTCTGGGGCGGAGATACGGGCGTGGGCTTGAAGAGGTCGGGGTTGGCGTGCGGGCGACTTGACGATCGTGGGCCAGGACCTGTAGGCTGTTAGCAGCTGTTGCACATGCACGGTGCTTCCAACATACCCTCGTTGTCTCTCAACTCGAGTTTTGCAAAGTCGTCGCCAATGACTCGGTTGTCAGCATCGTAGCGGTTGTGGTCTGCCGACCGTCGCTGCTCCGCCGACTTGCGAATGCCATGCATCTGGTCTGACTGCGATGGGCCGAAGTTCTGCCTCTGCTGTGGTGGTGGTTGCCTTCCCGTGTACTGGACGTTGCCGTATCTGTCGTACTCGTCCATCTCGCCGCTGTCGAGCTTCTTGGTGAAGTTGCTGATCCACTTTGTGACGGTTTGCTTTGTTTCCTCGAAGCCCTGTTCGATGTTCTTGCGGATCTCAGGTAGGTCGTCTGGCTCAGTGTTAGTAGCAATACATATGTTGACATCGCGTGATCGTACCATCGAAGAAGCTGTGCTCCCGCTCGGGCTCACCAGGCCGTTGTCGCTGCCCCTGGCCACGCGATCCGTAAGCGCCCTGGCCCTCGGGACCGCCTTGACTTTGGTAGTGCTGAGCCAGTTGTCGCGCGTATATCTCGTCCTGCTCGAGCTGACTACGAGGTTGTGGGCGTGGCGGCTGCGGCGGAGGAGCCTCCTCGGCCTTGAAGTTGGGATCCGACATGCCTGCGCTGGTTAGCTGTGCCCCTCATTACTATGCACCGTACAGGCAGCCACGTACTCAGTAGCGCATTGAAGGCAGGCTCGACCTTGCCTCCGCTGGCGACCAGGACCGCCTTGACGACATTGGGGTCGACGTCGGGGAAAGCCTCAATCAGCGTGTTCTGCGCCTGCACCTGCGGGTCGACTGGTCGCGGGGGCTTCTGGGGCGGGATCTCTGTGGCTTCCTCGTTGAAGCGCACACCGGGCTTGGGCGACTTGGAGGCTGGTGAGGGTGAAGTAGCATTGTCTTGAGTTGCCGCTGCCGGGGCATCGTTGTCATCGTCGAAGTCGAGCTCACGCGCCGTAGTTGGGCTCTCTGGAGGCTGCAGCTGTTAGTGGGGCTCCCTCCTCATCCGTCTCTTTTTCGCTTACCTTTTCCGTGCTAGTTTTCTCAGACATTTTGGTTGTGTTTCTTCGTATAATGAGAGTAATGTGGGTTTGTTGGCGGTTGTAGAGGGCAGTCGCGGTTGTTGAAGCTCTGGGCTCGTGAATGCCGCGCAGTGCTCGTGGCTTGGAATGTTCCGCTGCCACTGATGACGTTTCGCGCCAAGTGGGGCACCATCAACTCGATCAAGCTCCTCCTACAGACCTCTTTCGCTCCCATCCCAAATGTGCCACGATAATATTTGTTTGAAGTCACCACTCCGATTTCTTTAGAGTCATGTTCGATCTCCAATTGTTGCACCTTCCAACCAGGTGTATACTCAAAGACTCGATTGGCAGCCCTATGTAGTTGATATTGGATACCATGTCAACAAGACCTTCTATATTGCTATCTGCAAAGACAATCGCCACCCTGAATTAGCTCAGAAAGCAATTACAATGCCTGTATTCCATACATCCAACCGGCCATTGCTGCCGGTTTTGCATTGCTGCGCCACCAGTCAGGCACCCAGCCGCCCTCGCCGCATGCCGTGCCTCGGCACTCTAGAAGTCTCCTGAGCTGCGATTGTTGTTAATGTCGCATTTACATCCTGCTTCAATATGTTAGTCAATGCACAGGTGACCCAAGATCATCATGAGTATGTGCCCATGGAGCCGCTCTCACCAACATCTACTGACAACGCGCAGGCTGCACAGCATCACCAAAGCCGCGTATACGCGCCTGCCACGCGAGATACGCGACATGATCCTATCTAGCATTCTCACGCAAGACTGTCTAGTAAGAATCTACGTCCAGCAGTTCCGCGATGAATTCAAGGAATTCTACGGCCGCTTTTACAAGGACAACAGATTAAACTGGGAAGAGAACAGCTCACCTAAGCGTTGGGAGCCGCCCTGGATTTCGCTCTTCTACCCATATTTCGCAGCGGAAATGATTGACATACTCTACGAAAAGTACCCGCACTTCAAGATCAGCACGCCGACCAAGCTCCCAGCATTTCTCGGCGCAGACATGTTCGGAGCGTGGCGTACCCCACGCGACGCGAAGCTTCCTAGTTTAACTATCAAGGGATCATTGGACGAGGGGAGCTCCGACTCTGTCAGCGTCAAAACACTCGCATCCGATTTGAAAGCCCTTTCGGACTGCATCTGGGCCCCAAACTTCCGGCTCGATATCACCTTTAGCACCGAGCTAGGCATCTCCATCTTCAAAGCCAGAGCTATACCTCGTGTGGCACGGAAAATACACAAGATCTGGCAAATAATGCATCCGTGGATTGTTGAAGCCGAGGAACGGGGTGCGACAGTGTACTTTGCGATAGTCACCAGGCATCCGGGACAAGTCGAGAGCTCGGGTTGGCCGAAATACAAGAGGTATGGATGCTTAGATGGAGAACGTGACATGCTCTATACTGAGAAAGAATGGGTGAAAGAGCTGAAAGGGACTCTAGGTCCAGAGTGCCGATGGTTCCGGCGGGAACGACCTGGACATACACACAGAAGTGACATCTTCAAGCAGTCGAGGCCGAAAGCTTATGCTGTTGCACACTTTATCGGGAATGCATGGATTTTAGTTTTCTGCATTTGCTGGTACCTACCCGCAGAGGCGAGGAAAGACTGGAATGATCGTAAGAGAAGAAGAAGTGTGTTACCAAGAGCTGTGTTACGTTGAGGTGTCATCGTACAACAGAACATTGTGTCTGCACTATCATTGGGTATGTTTTAGTAGAGTTAGAGCGTCTGGTGACGGATGATCTATCAGATCAATCATTCAGATACCTGCATATCGGTACGACCATGAAAATTGCACTTCCCCAGTCGTTCTTGTGTGATCAAGAAGCTCTTGGGGAACCACTCTGGTTTCCCTTTCGACCCCTCAGCTTCCATCATCTTCACCAGCGCCTCTGCAGACTTCAGACATAACACCATACCGTGGCCATTAAACCCTGCGGATATCCACAAGCCCTTTTTGCCTGGCACCTCACCCACAAACGGCCGTCCGTCAGTCGTTGCGCCCATGATTCCCGTCCACTCCTGTACCACGCGGCGCGATGCCTCTTCTTTAGACATCTCACCCCAGTTCTCGGCGCCAAAATACCCAGTCAAGCTCTCGTTGAGGTACTTGGAGATATGTGTATTTAAAGTGCTATCGTCAACCGTCCCGTATTCGCTCGGACCGGCCTGAGGAAGACGGACCAAGCCACCACCAATGACGATGTGCTGTCCGCCGTCTGACAGGGGCCGAGGAATCATGTACTCGTAGCCATCGCGGTAGATGAATGAGTATGTTGTTGGTAATGGAGCTGGCAGCTTCGTTGAAGTTCCTGGTCGCTGTGCGGTGATCTGTCCACGCATTGGCACTATGGCTCCTTGAAGCTCCTTCATGATGTAAGGTGTGTACCCGTTAGTTGCGATGATTACGTTTTTAGAAGTGAAGATGCCATGGTGGGTACACACATCCCAGCGACTACCATTCTCTTTATCCAGATTTATCGAGGGATGGATGTCATGGACTGGCGTGTTCGTACATAGCTGTAGCCCTTTCTTGACACACTCCGCCAACAAACCGGTCGTAAAACGATATGCGTGGATTCGGCCGGCTAGATATTCGAAGGCGCCTGCCAGCTTCTCTTTTGTTTCTATTGTTGGGTTGCTGTTCTCCGCCGCAACAGAGAATCTGCCCTGTATATCCGCGATGTCTTCATGGATCTGATACCATGCAGCATTTCCTTCTTCCTTCTCCTGCTCTTCCGCATCAACTCGCAGCATCTGAATAGCCATCTTGCCCGCTTCAAAAGTAGGCTTATCGTAGATAAGATCGACCGTGTTACACAACTTACTTTCGCAGTTCAACCCTAAATCTTCCGCCATGCGATGCGTCTCAACAATATTGGCGTACTCCAGCCTTGCAATCTTCAATGCTTCTTCTTTGCCAAGCTCTTGCACATGATGTGTGTAGCTGCGGTAGCTTGCCGCTTTGGTATGTCCGCCGTTGCGACCCGTGGCGCCTGAGCAGACTTCACGTGCCTCCAACATCACCACGCACGCGTCAGGCCAAGTGTTGAGGATATTGTAGGCGGTCATTGTGCCTGAGATGCCAGAGCCGATAACGACATAGTCGTAATTTTGCGTGCCCTTTGTAGCATTAGGCTCAATGACATTTGCAAGGTGAGATTTCGGGTCGTGCCAGTACGAAGAGAGTGGATTGGTAACGGGTGGCGCGACGGGGATGCGCGCTCGTTCCTCCATGTCAATTTTGAGTTGGTGGTGGTTTCCTCTTATTTCGAATGGAGTTGCAAAGATTGAGTCTATGTTGAAGCTTATGAATAATTACAGCGCTGAATAGGACTTGACAATGATGAGAAAGACGGGGAAGAGGTGATATCGTGGGAGTGGGGCGCGCATCGGCTGTACCTGCTACTTTGGGAGCGTCACTTCCCAGCGCGATACGTGGGCAGCGACGAGGTGTTGCTTCCACAAACGTTCATTGTTAGGTTCCGAATTCCACGACGACTGATAAGGGACTCTTCATCTCTCAGTGCGTGATAACGATAGAGAGCAAGGAGACGACTCATCCGAGGGTGGATTCGCTTTCCTCCAACGCTTATTGGCGGATGCTTCGGGCCAAAGACGTCCGGTAGCAAAGTTGTAAAGATGGACTCCTTGAGACAGTAATGTCTCGACACTTATCCGGATCCAATGCAAAGACTATCGCAAGTTTCTCTGCACATCTCACCAAGCCCTCGTGACGGTGCTACTGAGACGAAGTCGAGCTCTACCCCGCCTAACGCCGATCGCGGTGACCCCTCAGCCGCACGAATGAACAATAACATGGCGAAAACAAAGGTCGTTGTAACGCGACAATTGATTGACGAAGCGCAAAGACTACTTGATGCGAAGAAAGAAGATTTGGAAGTCGTGCAATGGCAATCCGAAAAGGTGAGTGTCCGTCACTGGCGATAAGACGCGTTGCTGACAAGATGCATGCAGCCATGTCCGCGCCCGTGGCTTCTCGAAAACGCCAAAGGTGCAAGCGGAATCCTCGTCATGCTCACAGACAAAGTCGATGAAGAGCTCTTAGAAACAGCCGGACCCCAACTCAAAGCCATCGCTTCATTCTCCGTCGGTACTGATCACGTCGACCGGGATGCGCTGAAGAATCGCAACGTACGCCTCGGCTACACACCAACTTGTCTCACCGACGCCGTAGCAGACCTCACGATCATGCTGATTCTTATGGCTCAAAGAAGAGGTGGAGAGTCGATGACGAAAGTCGCAAAGGGCGAATGGCCTCAGATGCCATGGCATCCACTGCTCATGACCGGCCCTCAGATCCGAGGATCAACCATCGGCTTCTTGGGATTCGGAAGGATTGCGCAGGCTTCGTTGCAAAGGCTATTGCCATTCGGTATCAAAAAGGTCATTTACCTTACATCTCAGCCTGGCAAGCCCGTCAAAGAGGATCACTTTGGCCTGATCAAGAACGCTACCATCCCCATCGAACCAGCGAACAGCACCGATCAGCTTGCGCAAGAAAGCGATGTAGTCGTTGTTGGATGCGCCCTCACGCCAGAAACCAAGCATCTCGTGAGCACAGACTTCTTCTCGAAGATGAAGAAGCTCGCTGTCATTGTCAACATCGCGCGAGGCCCCATCATCGACACTGATGCACTGGTTACGGCGCTGGATCAAGAGCAGATATTCGGTGCTGGGTTGGACGTGATCGAGAATGAACCCAATATCACAGCTGATCATCCGATTCTGAAGCAGCCAAGAGCTGTCCTTGTGCCGCATATCGGGAGTGCTACGATTGAGACGCGGGTCCAGATGGCTACAGAGAGCGTCAAGAATTTGCTCGCGGGGTTATCAGGGGAGGAAATGGTGAACGAACTGCAGCTATAGAACACACGATCAATATAATATTACTTTATATTGATCCCAATTCCTGCCACGCTGCGCTCCACTTCAACTCCAGCAACATCGCGTCGTTCGCCAGAAGTGTCTTCCTTTCAGTTTCACGTGTAAACCCTGTTCCACTCGTTTGTCTACAACCGAAATCGCAAAGCGTCCCTGACCCTTTCACGAAAGTTTCGTCCATCGTATCTCTGCAGCCTGGCGTACGTGAGTGCGAAGAACAGCCAAATTTCTAGCAGGGCTGCGACCACCCAAAGGGCAATGAGCGCAGGATGCATTTTGGAACGGTCGATAGGCACTGTTTCGATGTAGTGAAACGCTGGAATTTGGTATGCGCTTGTCGAAGTCGAGGTACTGACAGGGTGTTCGACCGTTGCAAGTGGATGTTGATAGCCTGTTGGGTTTGTGATGTGGTCGCTAATGTATTGACTGTGATGCAAGATCTGTACCTGCAGCTGGGTTGATCTGGCGAGGGGAAGTACTTTTCTAGGCGCAACGCGGCCGCTTGTGTCAAAAGCTTCCCTGGATGTCATTTGGTTCTGGTCGCCGTGCTACAGAACTCTTGTAGTGAGAGAATTCGCTAGGCGACTCCCAGAACAGTGAATGTGAGCCACCACTTCCATGGGCTCTTCACTGCTTCTATTTTCTCTTGATCCGAACGGTTTAGACAGACTGTGGAACAAGGAGTTGCCGGTTGCCAGCGATCCTGAAAGTGGTAGATATTCATGAGGGAACGTGTCGTTCGTGATGTCCATGATACAGTCTGTAGAAGGTGTTTAGTATGGTCCTAAAGCAAGACTGAGTGCAATAATGGTCGCGATGATGGATAAAAGTCGGCTTTGTTTGACCGTGGTCATTTATCGCTCTGACAACTCAAACGTAGATGGCTATGCATAACTGCTCATATATTCTGAACCGCTAGCATCGCGCGTGGCTCAGCGGAACGCCTTGACGTCCGTATTCTTTGGCACTCCCATGTCTAATAATTTTGATGCATCACGTAGACTTCATATCAACGGGCGATGCATTCGATATATTGGATGTTAGCTTCTAATGGAATTAAAGCGGTCGTGGTTGCCAGTAGGTTTGATGAAGCTAACCCCTGCACTAGCCAGCTTTGGCTTGGACGTTGTCACCGGCTTCTCAGCCACCCCGCTTCCACTGAGGCCACCGACGCGCTCACGCGATGCCTGCACGCACCGTTACCTCTCCTCACATTCGCGCCCATATGTATCAGAACAGCTTGAACCCTCCCGGCACCTGCGTCTGAAAAACACCCGTTGGGTCGTATCTCCTCGCCGCTTTCTTCATCTTCTCCAACTCAACTCCGCCATAGCTTCCCAGCGGATCCTGAAATGATGCTGCGAAGTTGAGATACTTGTATTGGTGGAAGACACCTTCTCCTTTCGTCAGCCCTTCCACTAGCTTCACCAAGTCCTTCAGAGCCTCCTCGAATCCATCGGCAGCGGCAGCATCTTCAAATGTGAAGATTATCTGCAGGAATACCAGATCCTTCTCTGGCGTCTCATCTGGTTGAAAGCCTAAGCTATTGGGCGGTGTGCCATTGCGAGGTGGTGCAGGAAGAGCTTGGAATGTGATCTCTGCTACTGGCTTGGCGTACGCGTACTGTGCTGCAATATCAGGTACGACCTTCTTCCACAAGGTATGGATGCGATGAATGATTGTCGGTGAGACGGCGAACGAGGTTGTTGCCCAGATGGTGCGCTGAGGGTTTGCAGCCACTTGTCTCGACGCATTCCTGGTATGCTCACTAATGGGAGCTTCAACCATGCCATTCAGGATTTGCGGTTGTATCTCAGTAATTGACTCCAATGCTCCGGGCTTCTGCGCTGGCCGTGTGTACCACATGATGCTCACTGGGGTGAAGGTCGCTGCTGTATGGTTATAGCGCACAGTGACCCAGCCCGCTGCATATGGATCATACTGCCCGAGCTTGAATTCGGTAAACGCGGAAAGTAAAGGCGTGGTGGCATTGGGCCCGAAGACGATTCTTCCGCCGTAGATAGGACCAGCAGGGAAGGATGCCAAGTCAAAGCGCGAGACTATACCGAAGTTGAGCTGCCCTCCTTTGAGCGCCGCGAAGAGATTAGAATGCGATGTCGCATTCGCGTTGACAACCTCCCCGCTTGCGAGTACGACCTCGAAGTTGACGATGCCGTCACATGCCCATCCACGCTCTGGACTAAAGAAAGATATACCCCCTGGACGACGTTCGTCAGTCTCTTAGTTCCATGGAAGGGTTACGCGAGTTCCGGCTTACCTCCAGTCAGAAAGCCAGCAGTTCCCACGACGCCAATGCGACCCCCAAGAACCGTCAGATTCCGCTTCTCAGCCTCGTCGTACACGTCCTGCCATAGCGCCCCTGCCTCAACTCTCACAACTCGATCTCCTCTCTCGACACCGACCTTGTTCATGCTCTGCATGTCGATTGTGACGCCCTGATCGATATTGTTCAAGCCGGCGTTCGCGTTATGACCACCTCCCTTGATCGCAAACTTGGTGCCGTTACTCAATCGCAGAATCTTGATGGCAGTTGATACATCTTCTGTGGATGTCGGGCGGACGATGCACGATGGTCGTAGACGAAGCTGAAGGAATGGATATGATTGGATTGATGCGTTGTAGGTTGATGCTGCGGGGAAGAATGTGCGGTTGGGCAGTACCAGAGCCAAGTCTTCGCATGAATTGCTTGGGTAGCTGTACGCAGATGCTGCGCCGAACAAGAAGAGGCTAGCGGAAGAAAGAACGAGAAGACGCATGTTGCAGAAGGAGAAGATCGAGACACTTCACTGGCACTACCATGCGAGACTCTAGCTCCATCTTAAGCTTTCTCGACACTTCTGGCTCCCAGAATCCCAGCCAGTACAGGAACATCGCAGGCCATATTACGAGCACAGCAGAACCGGTGTGCATATACGAAGCTTTATTAGTGGCGTCGTGATCCCGAACCACCAGTCAGCCGCAGCCCGGGTGCCTCGATATGATTGGCGGATCTGGATATTGGGATCTCAACCGGGCAGTAGAGACGCGGAGCAAGTTTTACACCGCAGATGAGGTGGGCTGAATTGTTACACAGGTGGGGAGCCGGTCTGATATCAGTGCAGTGAACCAGCCATGAAGCGAAGGTGGTGTAGGATCACAGATTTTATGCATCTTTGCTATACGGGAAGTTGTCCGATCACGGTCCATCCGAGTTGCTCCGGAAACATGTCGTTCGAGGTATCATTATCCAAGTCAACCGCCTAATCAGGCCCGTCTCCAGTGTAGTACTGTGGTACAAGCAGCCCATGTTGTGCTTTCCATAGTCTCTATACCGTCTCGAACATGTCCTCTTCGCCTACGTCTTCAGCCCATTCAGAAAGTCTTGCATCACTCCAACAACTGCCTCAACGACATTGGTCATATCTGCCATGTCCATATTTCCCTTGGGATCACGCTCCTTCTTCATAACAACGCGGTCGAGATCTCCGAGGAGCATTGCCACAATCATGAAACCGTCGCTGGTAGGCGACTTCCAGTCCGCCTCTTTGTTTACTTTCTCTCCACTAACGCTAAAGTTTGCTTGTTCGGTATCAATCTTCTCACAGAGCTCGTTACACTTCAGCGTCAGGCTGATATAGTCAAATTCCAAGCGGTCCAGAACGCGAGGAAGCTCTTCTGAGTTGCGGAGGTTTCTGATGAATGATAAGATGTTCAGATCACCAGAACCCTGCGTCCGCGAAGAGCTTTTGCTGTCTTTGGCCATCTCCTCATCCATACGATACCAGGTGCGTACTCCCATGTTCCTCTGATGAACATAGTCGCGGAGAATCTTCGTCATCAGAAGCGGTTCTAACTCGCACGTCTTATGGGTGGCTTTCCCGAGTTCGCTGCTACTGTAAAGGTCCTTGTTCAGAGCTCGAGCTTTCTTGATGAATTTGGATGAGTACCCTGCTGCAAGCAGCAGACGCGAGTAAAATTCATTAGGTTTGGTGGGTATTGCGATGGAGAATATTTTCTTTGAATGCCGGTCCATGATGAGCTCGATTTCCGGCCAGGCTCCGCTGATCCAGCCTCGCTTTTGGAAGCAGTTGTACAAATGGGCTATGGCGAAAATTTGTGGGCTGAGATTAGCAAAGCCTAGTCCCATTTCCTCGCGCAGTAAGAGATGGACTAGGGAGAGCTTTGCTCTCAGCGTCGGAACGGTATTACGCAAGAAGTCTCCATCCTGTGGCGGAAGAATGTACTGAGCGGCAGCCGCTTGACGTGCAGACTTATTGCCACGGCCATTGACGGCGTTCATCACCTCGAGACCCATCATCAACTCATCTCGAATTTCATCGGTCCTGAACATCGGCCTCGGGTAGTCGTTCTGCAAACCGCAGAACAGATGTTCAGCCGTCAACATCCGCATCTTAGCGTACCGGGCATGGGAGAATGGCCGTTCTATGATCAGACTTCGGTGTGTATACGCTGAGTCTGTGACTTGCTGGATGTAATGCGAGAAGGCGATTTTTCGGTCGCTCCAAGATGCGAACTGGGCTTCTTCTTTCGCCGCCCGAACTGACATTGGTGCGTAATGCTTTAGAGAGTGGGTTTTGTCTTTCGATCGGATCCTGATTGCCAACTCGGCAGCGAATATCAAAACCATTGAGACGAATCCGAAAGCACCTAGCGAACCGTATGCCCGAGAAGGGGCGTCTAATGCTCCTGCTAATAGTGGCATCTGGTACCGTTCCTCGTGTGCCTTTCTGGCTTTCTATACAATGATCAGTAATCGATGGGGATACGGATCGGACTTTTGGTGGATCAAGAAAGACTTACTGGTTCCAGTGCTGCTTCAAACAAGTAGTGTACTAGGAAGTCGTAGTCCTCGTTCGAGTGCCGCTTCGCGACATCATCTTGAATGATCAACCGCGATGCGAAGAACAAATATTCTCCTGGTTCTGAACCTCGTCGCTCCGCCTCGATCTTCCTTAGAGCTGTGGCGGTCTTGCCAAAGAAGTCATCATCGTCGAGAGAGGGATCGAATGGCGGCAGACCTTTCTCATGAGTTTCTTGTACCAAGACCTCTTCTTTGCGGCGTATAAGGTCGAACGCAGCTTCCGTGATGAGAGTAGCTCGGATCTCATCCAAGTAATCCTTATCACCAGTGGCCTTGTGAGTGTCGTCCCAGTCAGACTCCAGCTGCTCGACGATGATGCGCATATCGTCCACCAGACAAGATTTTCTCAAGGCAAGTTCTTCCTTGTACTTTCTCCCTTTTTCGAGTTCAACCTCCGTATCTTGTTTCGCTTTCATGTCGAGCTCAAACTTGCGGGCCAGCTCATCTAATGTATGTCCTATTGCCTCTCGCTCGGCTTCCGTAGCTGCTGCTTCCTCAGCCATCGCATTCTGGCCATTATCGACGGTGTGCAGGGCTGGTGCAGATACCAGGTGAGGAGATGTCGCTGATGTTGGTTCAGTCGCGATGTTGAATCGAAGTTGCGCAGGTGCTGCAGTTTTGGATCGGCTGACGGCCTGCACTACAACCTTCTTCATGAGGATCGTGTGGCAGTATTTCAGCAGCCACAGGAAGTAGATGTGGCCATCTTCCGAAGCCGTCTCCGATAGTTCGTCTTGGGCATAGCGGTCAGCGTAGGCCTGGCGCGTTCTCACGGCCCGCTTGTAGGAGTACCAAACGAACTTGGGCATTGTCGAAGTCTCCTTATGATTGGCGATATGTTTCGCCAACTCGAGAATCTTTTCCGTCGAGATGACGTAATTGGTTTTCGATGCGGTCGAGTTTGCGATGGGTGGGGTACTAGCGGTCGCTTGCGTCCTCGCTTTGCCTTTCAGCCGTTTTGAGGGTTGCTGGATTTTAGCGGGATCAGCCATGTTGTAGCCCCGCTTGTTCGCAGTGTCAATGAGCCAGAAGATGAACCGGTTGGTGTCAAGTTTGTATTGCTCGTACGAGCCCGCTGTTGTTACAGTCGCCATAAGGTGTTGCTCAACCGGATCGTATACAAGGGATTGCTGGCGCGGGGTAAGACTTTGGGTTATAAGGGTCGTGTTTGAATCTGTGAGGAATGTATAGAACAAACGCGATGAGCTAATGTAGAAAGGGAAACCCCGCAATGACGGAGGCCAATTCGCTCGAGTAGTGAAACAGGCGGACATGAGCGTTATATAATTCTTTCGCTCGACGGGACTGCAGAATAGCTGGCTAGAGAAGTCTTGAGAAAGGCGCTTTCCGTCGCTTTATAGCCATGAAATTGATTGTGTGATTGTGTCAGGCGCACTGAGCAAACGACACTGCAGAGGCGAGCGCAAGCACGACAATCAGAATGGGGACGGCTAGCAGTCGAGTAATAAAGAGACGTCTCTGAGATTAGAACGATGCCGTTGCTAATGGTCGCTATGGTAGTACTGAGGAATGAAGGTATGAGCCGATTATGGGCTCCCCCAGAATTCCAAATCTGTTCAGTGTACGTGACATCAATGTCGAATTGGAGAGTAAAGCGAGATTTGACCGACGAAGAACAGCGCAACTGCGAGGATAGCGACAGTACTAAACGTTACGGCAACCTTTTTGGTGAGTCAAAACATTATCAAGAATAAACATCATACGAGCGTACCTTGGTGTTATCGTCCCACAGTGTTGGATGGTGCAGGTGCGTAGTCGCAGACCACACATGCAAGAACATTCCAACAATCATACAAAGAGTAGCTGAGGTCAAGAACATCACCGGCATTTGCCATGTGACTATCTGTAGCAAGCTAGGTGTCCGACGTCCGGTCTTGGATGAATGGCTTCTCTCGCCATTCGTCTTGGAAATTAGCTTCCGAATATTGGCCAATCCATCGCGATGTGATGAAAGGCGATGCAGTCGTACGGTCTGATCAGCAGCTGTAAGGATGCTGAACAACGACAGTATAATACCGCAGTACCATGACGTGCGCACAGACCATGGCGATTCTTTTCCATTTGGTAGGATGTTCGGCCAGCTCCCGGTGGACGTGAGAACGCCAGCCAAAAGGGCAGCCTGTCATATGTTAGCATGTTGGATGCTGTAAAAAACGTTGATGTTGATCAAGGGAAGTCGACACGCCGAATGGCGCTCGTCCTAGCCAGGGAACGATTTGGCGTGAAGCATGCCCCCATGAAGAAGGCACGGCGCCGAGTGCATGAACCACGAAAAGAGAATTCATTGAGAGACTTACCACAACGCCGACAAAGTTGAGCTCACTCAGCTTGTTGTCTCTCCATAATGTTGTGAGCTCGTCTTGCTCGTCTGTGTCTTCGGTATTGAGCAATATCTCCAGGGGGTCGTACGTGGTGGAGTCAGGAGCATAGATGCCACCGCAGAAGAACTGTAGCACATTCATCAATGTCCACTTAGATCCTTCGCCTTCCTGTCCTATCCTCTGATGTGCTGATCTCCCTAGAAGTGGGGTCCGCGAGCCGGACGTGCCTCTTTCCTCAGCATCGTTGTCGTACGTCATAGCTCCTGAGCTCTCTTGATTTTGGTGGAAGCTGGTTGCTGGTGTTATCGGACCGGATTCGGTGGGTTTCCTGAAGCTTTAAGAATCCGAGGGTAACATGGGAATGTTGTTGTAAGTACGTGTTGCGCGGTAGCATTCATCCGGTTTCTGTGGAGGGTAAGAGGTCGCGTGCCTAGCCGTGCAGCCGCGTGGTGACGTATTTTGGCGCGTGAGCTACGCCAACAACGCGATCTTCGCAGTATCTTCCATATTGCGCGAACAAAGCTAGGCTGCAATGCACGTCGCTGCTGAAAGCACATGTGGAGATGCATCGAAATGGACAATACCAGGGAAGGCTGGTGTCTCCGTCTGAGTGGCTGGGTGTCGGCCCAACGGCTACCCCGCGACATCGGGAGGGTTGACGCGCCCCACGTAGATACCCACGCGTTGAGATGCACTACATCTGTTGGCCATCGCGACTGGCTCGGCCCACATACGACTATGACGTGAACCACTATGCACCGCACCTCTTAATGCTAAAAACAACGAAACTTCACGACATAACGTCTTTATTCATCACGTAGAATTTCTACAATGTCGCAAAAGAGAGACCTGTATATCGGAACCGACAAGCATCGCTGGTGGAAAGAAGCGGTGGTATACCAGGTATGAACGACCCATCACTGTGATGAGGCAGGTATTAATGCGGAGGACAGATATATCCTGCTTCGTTCCTAGACAGCAATGGCGATGGTTGGGGCGACGTCCCTGGCATCACACAGAAGTTGGACTACCTCAAAGACCTCGGTGTCGATGTGATATGGGTTTCGCCAATTTACAAGAGCCCGCAAGGTAAGTCATGAATATGCAGAACGCATGTGAGGCATATACTGACTTTGTCCAGCGGATATGGGGTACGACATAGCAGACTACGAGGACATTGATCCGAGCTATGGCACCTTAGCTGACGTTGACAACCTCATCAAAGAAGTCAAGAGGCGTGACATGAAACTCGTCATGGACCTTGTTGTCAATCATACATCGGAAGAGCATGCATGGTTTCTGGACTCGCGCTCATCAAAGGAATCTTCGAAACGCGACTGGTATATCTGGAAGCCTGCGAAGTACGATGCTCAAGGAAATCGCCTTCCTCCAAATAACTGGGCGCAGATTCTAGGAGAGGCAAACTCTGCGTGGACTTGGGATGAGAAGACACAGGAGTACTATTTATCGCTCTTTACGCCGGAACAACCGGATCTTAACTGGGAAAATCCTGATGTGCGCGCAGCCGTACACGACATCTTGCGCTTTTGGCTCGATCGTGGTGCCTCGGGATTCCGTATGGATGTTATCAACATGATATCGAAGGTGCAGACGTTCCCAGATGCGGCCATCTCGGTCAAAGACAACAAGTACCAGCCTGGTGACAAGTATTACGCCAACGGCCCAAGACTACACGAGTGGTTGAAGGAACTTCGACGCGACGTGCTCTCAAAATACGACACGCTCACCGTTGGAGAAATGCCATTCGTTCGCGATGATGATGAGGTCATCAAAGTCGTCGGTGCCGAAAGCGAAGAGCTGAATATGATCTTCGTTTTCGACTTGGTTGACATCGACAATGTACCAGGCGATTTCAAGTATACCCTACAGCCATGGGATGCGCGCGACCTAAAGAAGATTGTGAACAGGCTACAGCGCCTTATGCTCGAGCGCGACGGCTGGAACTCGCTCTACGTGGAAAACCATGATCAGCCTCGAAGTGTAAGCAGGTATACCGATGACAGTGACCAGTGGCGCGAGTATGGTGCGAAGCTGTTGTGCCTGATGCAGACTACCCTCGCCGGAACGTTGTATGTATACCAAGGTGAGGAAATTGGCATGCGCAACGTGCCTAAGGACTGGAAACCCGAGGAGTACAAGGATATTGAAAGCATCAACTTCTTCAAGAAGTACCGTGACCTCTACCCAGGCAATGCTGAGAAGCAGGCCTTAGCAGCCAAGATCATGGTAAGTCCTTGAGTGCACGAAATGACATGAAGCACACGCTGACCATGCATCTTATCCCATACAGCAACGCAAGGCTCGCGACAGCGCCAGAACACCCATGCAATGGGAATCATCTGCCCAAGCCGGTTTCACTAACGGAAAGCCCTGGATGCGCGTCAACGACGACTATCCCAACATCAATGCCGCAGCCCAACTCGCAAACCCCACACCTTCACCCGGCATGCTCTCTGTGCACGCATTCTGGAAGCGGGGTCTGGAGTGTCGCAAGGAGAACAAGGACGTCTTTGTGTACGGTGATTTCGAAATGCTCGATATGGAGGATCAAAAGGTTGTTGCCTATCGGCGGTGGAGTGAGAAGAACGCATTCATCACTGTGCTGAACTTCAGCGGAGAGCAGATAGCGTGGGAGAAGATGGGTGGTCTAAAAGTGAAGAAGTGGGTTGCGGGCAACTATGATGAGAGGCAGTTGGATGAGAAGGCGAAGAGTGGAAGGCTGGAGTTGAGGCCTTGGGAGGCTGTGTTGGGTATGTTGGAGTAAAGTCCGACTCAGTGGCAACGATGGAAGGCACTGTACTGTTTCGGAATCCTCTGTATAACCGATACTGCGACCGTTTACCTCCGATTTGTTTGTTATGAGGGCAACTGAAAGAGTCGCCTCAGCCGAGTCCAAAGAATTGTAGGGAATCAAGGTGGAATTGCAAAGAGAGAAAGTTCTAAGTAGAATGATGAATTAAAAGTCATATCTCGAATCCTAACGTTCGTCCAATCCAGAGTCTAATATACAAAGCATGCGTGATGCTTTCGCGGAGACCGCTTAGTAGTGGGAGCCGGAGCCGGAGCCAGATCCAGAGCCGGAAGCACCGCCTCCAACAGAGCCAGAGGCACCACCGGAAGCACCACCTCCAACTGAGCCTGAGCCACCAGCGCCGGCACCAGCACCACCGCCGACAGATCCAGAGGCACCGCCACCGACAGAGCCGCCAACACCAGCACCAGCGTTACCACCAGCACCGGCACCAACGCCAGCACCGCCGTGAGCACCACCTCCAACAGAGCCACCAACACCGGCACCAGCGTTACCACCAGCACCGACGCCAGCACCACCGTGGGCACCGCCGCCAACAGAGCCACCGACACCGGCACCACCACCGACGGAACCACCAACACCGGCACCAGCACCACCGTGGGCACCGCCGCCAACAGAGCCACCGACACCGGCACCACCACCGACAGAGCCACCGACACCAGCTCCAGCACCTCCGTTAGCGCCACCTCCGACAGAGCCGGAAGCACCACCTCCAACAGAGCCACCGACACCAGCTCCAGCGCCGCCGTTGGCACCACCTCCGACGCCAGCACCAACACCTCCACCGACGGATCCAGATGCGCCGCCACCGACACCGGCACCAGCACCACCGTTGGCACCGCCTCCGACAGAGCCAGATGCTCCACCGCCGACTGAGCCACCAACGCCGGCACCAGCTCCTCCTCCTACACCGGCACCAGCACCGCCGTGGGCACCTCCACCAACGGAGCCACCGACACCAGCACCAGCACCGCCGTGGGCACCTCCACCAACGGAGCCACCGACACCAGCACCAGCACCTCCGTGAGCGCCGCCTGAAGCGCCGCCGTTGGCACCACCATGAGCACCACCGCCGATTCCGCCCATGAGGCCGCCGAGACCACCGAGTCCGCCCTTGCCGGAGCCACCGAGTCCGCCCATGAGGCCACCGAAGCCGCCAAGTCCGCCCTTGCCAGCGCCAGCACCTCCGGCACCTGCAGCACCGCCAATGCCGGGGATGGCAAGGCCACCACCGATGCCAGGGAGCTTACCAGCGCCGGAACCAGAGAGACCAGGGAGCTTGCCGCCGCCGGGCATGAAGCCACCGATCATGCCACCGAGGCCGCCCTTGCCACCAGCAGAGCCACCGAGTCCAGGAAGACCTCCACCGATGCTGGGAAGACCGCCGCCGTAGCTGGGCTTTCCGCTGCTGCCGCTGCTGGGAGTCTCATCGGAAGCACCAGAGTCGTAGCTGGGGCCTGAGCTGGAGCCAGATCCGTAGCTGGGACCAGAGCTGCCAGTGGTGAGGGGAGCAGATGGGGTGGTGCCAGAGCCGTAGTTGGTAGGGAGAGCAGTAGCGATGCTAGCGAGAGCAAGAACCTGAGCAGTGTAGAACTTCATGTTTGCTGTTGATGATGTGTTTGACGAAAGTCGAGTATTGGACGATTGCGATATGAGATCGAGTAAAAATGTGATAGAAGTGAAGTGCTCTGCACAAACGATAGTAAGGACTAATAAAGTCGAGTAGAGTAGTAACGAAAGTGTTGTTGGTTGCTGAAAGCGAAAGTGTGAAGTAGATGAGATCAAAGCTGATGCCTTTTTACTTTTGGCGCTGGGAACATGAGGTCTTATACTCGAGGGTTCTGAGCCGCATGGTAGACCTTCGTAGGTAGTAGACAGCCGTAGTCAGCGACCAGACTGACCCCTGAGCATGATGGTGGCGAGGCTCACAGTAGCTTCGTTTCGAAACATAGTGACTCTATTGAAAGAGTGATGAAGGGTTGTCTAGATTGTCTGTTTCACGCTATCTGTGGCGGGATCGACGGCAGGTAGACGGGAGATGCCTGAGCTGCGCAGGGTAGATTGAGGGTAAAGCAGGTTAGAGTTGCGGGAGATGCCCCGATGTGCGCAGGGAGGGAAAGTTAGCCTGATTTCTCCGCACCGTGCGACTTTGCAGCCTTGCGGCCTTGAAACTAAAGTGGGTTGAGCTCGGGTCGTTCGAGGGGAAAATAGTAGCGTTAGCGCATCCTTTATTCGTGATATCGTCGAGTCGCGCACCGGTGTAGGTGGTAGCGCAAGCAGGAGTTCGTGAGGTCGGCTATCTTGGCTGCAGTTAGGTAGGTGGCGGAATCCGCCGTTCCAGGGTTGCTGCTAGGCTTGTTTCAACCACTACCAGCACATCGCGACTGACGTCCGTCATCCTCCGCCTCTCTCAACGAAGATTCTCATCAGCAGTTGCGATAACGAAGAGACTTCACATCGAAAATAGCTACACGATGCTTACCTCTGTCCAGGTACATCGTGACAGCCGGCTAGAACGATCCGGCCTGTGCGTCATAGAGTTTGAAGTGGTACCTGAGCTTGCCGACCGACGTCTTTGGCCTAGGACTCCCCGACTACTCAAGCTTTAATTGCGCATGAGCCTCTTCCTTACTAACTACCCGGCAACATTCGCATCGTCGTTTCTAGCATTCCCCTTTTGGGGTTCGGAGACCCTGTCGTCCGTTGCAAACAAACAAATAAGTTTATGCTACGGTTCTGGATCCCTGACGATCTGCCATCATACCCAGATTCGGTGATACCTGGCTGTTTCGCCAATCGCATTCCAGATGCTAGGATTCGATTACGTCCTTGGAAAGACTGGTGCTGATGACGAGATTTCCAGGTCGTGACGAGATGGACTGGCCGGTCTATCGAACGCGGAATTTACCTTCGCACGAAGTCGCGGACCTGCGTCGTGGGTGTCCCCTATTCTCGTTTCAACTCACTCCCAGCTGCTCCACATCGAAGAAGCCTATTCCATGCGTCCAGACAGTCGAAGTGGAGTCATAGTCATAGTGGCTCTTCGCTGTCGTGACTCGGCCTGGCGACGCCAACGCCAACTTGCCTGACAGGTTGGAGCCGCACTTGCCGGTTCGGTACTTGTCGACAAGAAGACGACCACTCAGTATGTTTCAATGGGTCCACTTCATGTGCAAAGAGCTGCGCACAATGTTCTTGTTCACCGCCAGTGCTCGATGCGGCCAACCTGACATCCATTACCTAACGACGAGAAGCTACTCAACGGATTATGCTCTCACGGCCCAATGCAGTGCAGAGGTCTGACAACCAGCCTTGCACACCAGCATCTTGCAGTTAGAGCGCGCGAAGATCCCAATCGAACAACGCACTAGTCCAGGAAGACACCGATACCCTCATCACTGCTGTAGCCAAAGTCACGGAATCCCAGGTACCTGAACTATTGATTTGTATAGGCTTTGTTACCGGTGTGTGCTGCCAAACTTTGAGATCATCCTACGGGTATCGAAACACTAATTGCTCCATCAACGCCATCGCAAACCCAAAAGATTCCAACAGAATCATCATTCCACCGCACTCAATCCGTCCTATACCTCGCTATCAATGACGACACCTAGTTTAGTGGTGTCGCACTGATTGGTATAGTCTCCGCCTCTTTCTTTCTGCTCAATATCCTTGCTCCCTTCAACGGGCCAAGGACCTAGAGCCTTGTAGAATCTATCGCGTATGCTTACTAAACCCAAGGCCACCAGGAACAAAGACTGATGTCTCTGCATTTCTTGCTGCCCCGGTATTCTGCCAACCGTGCTCGTTCACGAGGACGCGTCCGGAAGGTGTGGTGACGGGAGTCTTTGGTCCCGGTGTGCTCGAGCCGGGAAGATCATCGAGGCTGGGGGCGCCCTTTTTACATTTCTAGAATGCGTACATGTTAGTGAGGCACAGAGAACATGTTCTACTGTACGATCTTACTTACCTTGAGATGAACGTCATATAACCATTGAGACTGTGCTTTGGTGAAGTCGCGACCACAGTGCCGACACGTAATCGACTCTGCCTTCGCCTTTGACTGCTTCGACTGCTTGTATGCAGCCAAACCGAGCTGTCCGCAAAGCCTTGTCTTTCTCTCGGTCGTCAGTTCCGCGAACTTGTCGCATCCGTCGAGATAGTCGCGGCAGTCAGCCTGGCTATCTGCCACCAGGAAATGGTATCCAAAGGCGCATTTAGCCTTTGGGGGCACCTCCTGTGTTGTGACCGCCGGGGCGGGCGCGGTTGTCGGCGCCTTGGTGGGTTGGATCACCTGCTCCGCAAGCCGGACGAAAGTGTCATCGATGGATTTTGCAATCTCTTTGACGTCGGGATGAGCATTAAGAACGGCTGCAATGAACTTCATCAAGAACTCCCACTGGTGATCGAACGTTCCTTCCAGCTCATACCTTGCACGATGTATCTTCATCGCAGTCTCAAGGTCGCTCAGGTGCTCCACAAGCTTCACTGTCATTTAGTCAGTAGGAGTTTTTTGGTAGAGAATATTCCAAGCTTACATTCAGAGTCACTTCGGATTCTGGCCCTTATTTCCGGGAGGCGATCGTTCAAAGGCTTGCCAAACTTCTTCAGGACGGATGGCAGCAACATGTTGACGTTTTCGATGATGCCGTAGACTATATTATACTCATTTGTCATGGAAAGGATTGTCGCTGTCTGTCGCTCGATAAGGACTTCTAGACCATCGATGGAGGACCGTTGCTTGTTGAGCTTGGCCATGTCGAGGTCTTTACGTAATACTTCAAGCTCCTCATCTTTGCAAGCGATGGCAGCGATGTGTTCGGTGTGTCATGCACCAATCTCTGGTTCCTTGCCAGAGATGGCGATGGTATGTTAGTCGCGTGCGGTCTTCAGCTCTGCCTCCTTGCAGGCCATGTTTGAGCTTGTCCAAGTCCGGAATGTGGAGTGAAGCGTAGGTTGAAGGTGTGGTGAGGTTGGAGAAGAGAGACTCGATCACGTCGTCCAATGCAGTAACCGATAGTGAGCGCTTGTTGTTTTCCAAGGTGATTTGAATCTCTTCAATCTTTATCCGGTCCAGGCGGATCTTGCGATAACGCAGGTGACGACTAATCGCGTTCCGACTCATCCTGTGGAGATCCTTTCGCGACATCTTGGAGGCTTTCTTCCTCGCGTCCGACAGATCTACCTTCTTCGAGAGGCGTCTGTAGCACTGCTTAAAACCGGAGATATTGAGATCGAGAAAGAATGTCTGGGGTTTCATTTCGCCGAAACGCAAGACTGGCATCCCAAGGAGCGACTCTACTACTTCGACGATCCTTGTGATGTCAAGCGAGAGATCCGATGGACGATCTTTTCCGGAATGGGGAGAAGAAAAGCAAATGGAGTAGATGTATGTGAGTAGTGGAGTGAGTAAGGTGCAAAGCACAGCCACTCGCCTAAAGTTTGGTTTACGCAGTCAGTAAATATCTTACGCAGTTCATACTTGAATATTACTCACAGAGGAGCGATGCTATCTTCAGCGGGATGCTTGTGCAGCTCCAGCTCGAAAACAGTGATTTGTAAGATATGGCGGAATAGAGCAGCAGAGATGTGGTGGGCGACAGTGACAAAGGGTAGTACGACGGAGAGAAGAGTGTAAACCAGGAGCATTTGCCCCAAGAAATGCATGATCGCGGTGAGGTGCGCGAAGCGCAAAAGAATGAGTGGAGTTTCTCAAGAGTATTCAAGGGATGAGTGAAGTAGTAGAAGTTGAGGATTTGAGAAAGAAATGGGTACGTTGGATGGTAGTTTTGTTGGAGGTAAGGTGCCTGGAACGCGACACCAAATCTGCTATCACGGAACAAAGTATCGGCTGTGCGAGATAAGCGAGGCGGTTTTGCGTCCTTGAATTAGATGAACTGGAATTCAAATGATGGAGAAGTGAAAGTGGAAGTGAAAGGGCGCGCAGTTCGCGTTCGATCAGTGGCCCGCGCGAATCAGGCAGGAGCGAATGGTGGTGACCGGCCACAGCCATCGACAGGGCGCTGAATCTACACCGCTGTGTTTGGTAAGATGAGACACAATTTGTAATGAGAATTATCACAGAAGTAATGCTTGAATGTGGAATGGATGTTGAAAGAGTGAGGGACACCAGAGAACCAGAAAGACCGGACAGGGAAGTTCAAAGCATACAAATGCGAACAAGCGCATGTCGTAGAATGTGCGCTTTGTTATGCGTGAGATGTCACACACTCTCGCCCCAGTTGTGAAGATGCGCGCCGAGACATGTTTCAATCGTTTGTCGTGTATCCCAATGCAGAGTCATGTGCTCTCGACGGTCATGGGTACTATAGGATGGCAAACGGCGGTTAGATAGTATGTTTGATCGCTTGCTGTGGTGAGCATAAGCATGATATGGAACTGGAGAATAATGTAGATGACGCAACGTAAAGTAGCTCTTGGTTCACTATAGAAAGGCCAAGTTTCTCCAAGAACTCGACCGAAAAGATGAATAAGTCTATCAAGGATTCGCTAATGCTAAACATGCGTCAACTGCAAGACCGACCCTAGAAAGTCATTAGCATACGTAAATATATCGAATGAATCACAAACAAAACTTACCGGCCCTCTTTCTGCCGCACGACATCGTCGATGACATCCCTGTCCAGTTGGGGGAACATGCCCGTCAGCGTCTCGACTACAACCTTGTGTTCCTGCCGTTGTATGCGCCTCGCTTCCTCTGCTTCAGCCGAAGCTTGTCGCGCTGCGGCGTCTTCAGCCGTCAACCTCTGCCTTTGTCGGTCTTCTTCATGTGACGGGCGTTGCTTCTCGCTCGTGTTGCCGGGAAACTCAGTTGACGCACGTGGCGGTAGTTGTGGTTTCTGGGCCGCTGCAGGTCCAGACGGATGGTTTGTATCGTTGTCGGAGAAGATGCGACCGATTGTGCTGAGCGGCCGTTGTATAGTTCGCAATAGGCCTGCGACGGCTGCGTTCTCTTCCTCTGGCTGCTCTGCTTCGGACTTGCAATCTTTTAGACTTGTTGACCGTCGCGGCCCTGCGGTCTCCGCCTCCATGGAGTTTCTTTGTGTGAGCTCTGGTCGCAGTGGTGTCGTCTTTTCCGCTATGTGATGATAATGGGGTGATGGCATACGCTTGTGGCTAGGCGCAGTAGGATGCAATAATGCGGATGATGATGAAGATTCGGCCTCTTCAGCTGCGTGGCGCTCAGCGATGGCCGAGACGGCCGCTTCGACATTCTTCTCAAAATCCTCGTCGGTAACTGTCAATGACGTCTTGTCGAGACCCTCGATAAACTGGATGGCGCCCATTAATGATGATATGTAGTAGCCAGCTTCTCCACCAAGTTTGTCCTGATTCCGGAACCGTAGAATGTATTGTACATTGGAGACGAGATGATCGGGGTTCGCTTGAAGTACTGTGTAAATGAGTAGTGGTACGAAAGCATCGGCTGATTGATCAGAGTTCGACGTCCTCAGAAATCCAAAGATGACCTTGCAGCAGTTCAAGATGCAGATGATCTTGTCCCTAGGCGCCCGGTAGCTTTTGATCTTCAATAGCTCCTGCTGGGCGAGATGCAGAAATTTGCGCCCCTTCTCGCCTACTGGTTTGATATCCAGATGCTCTTCGCTAACCCATTTGTATATACGCACCTTCTGCGCTAACACTTCATCCCGCTCTACATCCTCTTGGTGCTGGCCCCTCCGGCCTGGTCCAGGCGGCTCCTGTCTCCGTCGGCCCTTACGGGGTGATGCCGGCTCTGGAGGAGGGATCGCAGGCGAGAAGGTTTGTGTATATAACCGATTCATGACTAGCTTCTCCATGCCTTCTCTCGCGTTATCGAACTCAGCGTCTGAGACGGTGCGCCAAACTTCACACTGTGCCATCTTCTTGCTGATGAATTCGAGGAAGTCACCGATGATCTTGACTTGCTCATGTACCATCCATTGCTTCTTTCCAAACTCGAGCAGGAAAGAGCGCAGGAACTTGGCGACGGGGTCTGCTGTCCGGTGACGCAGTTGTTCAAGGAAGCGGTGGAAGTCGAAGGGAAGGTCTGGTTCGGGCTCGGGTGCTGGCTGCGCTGGCTTGTACTTCGAGGCATGTGCACTGGGCGATGACGGTTCGGCGAAGGACGTGCCGGTGCCTACGCGATGCAGGGAGGATGTACGAGGAGGTGGTGATTGGAGCGGGGCGGTCGAAGCTGAATCGTCAGCCGGAATGGGCAAGGGCTTGTCGAGCGGCACGAGACTTGATCTTCGCGGGGGGTACGGCGTCGACGGAGATTCTAACATGGGGTTCGCGATTTCCAACCTAGGCGACATGATCTCGTTCTCGCCAGGCCCACCATCCCCTTGGAACTGATCCATAATGCTCTGTATCTCCTCCTGCGAGTTGTCTACCGCGTCTCCCGTGCCGTCATGGTTCGCACCATAGTCATCAGCCGCAGCATCTTCCGAGTTTCTCCCACTCGACCGTTCCTGCGACATTGGGGATGTGGTCCGGCTGGGCACGTTGCTGGTTGTCAGGTATTTGTCGTCTTTGGGTGGTGGAGGAGGAGGGGACGGTGATTGTATGGGCGCTTTGCCTGCGGATTTCTCGCTGAGCTCAGGCGGTGGTGTTGATGCTCGGTCCAGCGTTGTGTTCTCTGTCTTGGTGGTGAGCTCCTCTATCGGCGCGGTGGATGCTGGCTGTGCAGCTTCTGTGTCTTTCTCTTGGGGTTTCCCGGGACCTGTTGGGGCGATATTCGTCTCCTCTGATGTTTCAGGTGCTTTCTCGACCCCGTCTGTGGGCTCTTCCTTGCCAGCATGCCCCTCGTCTTGGGCCTCGACATGGCTAGGCTGCCCCGCGTCGGTCGCCGTGTTCGCGTCATCTGTCGTTGCTTTAGACGCGGTAGGCTGCCCTGCGGAAGGCGCGCTTTCTTTGCTCGTGGCTACATCGTGCTGGTCGTCCACCTTGTCTAGCTCCCTTTCGGCGTGGCTGTCGTGGGCTGCATCGGATTGCGGAGTTGTGTTCGGGGGAGACATAGACCGAGTGCGACGGGGGGTTATGGATGGATTGTGGGTGGTTGATCAAGCGTCCATGGGTCTAGTTCAGAGCTCGCAACAGCTCTCGCAGGGGAAATATAAGTCAAGTGCCTTGGTGATTGTCGTCTGCTGCGCCTGCATGTGTGAACCGTCCGCATGGTCTCCCGGCATCTAGAAGCCGAGTCTCCGAGCCACCGCCGCTAGCGCGTCAAGCAACTGCAGCCGTGCCACTGCCAACACCAACTCTGCGTCGCCATTTCATCAGCCCAGCCATGTGCGGCATCTTCTTCTCGCTCAGTCGGACTGGACACGTGATACCTGACACCAACACCCAGCGACTGCTCCGGAATAGAGGGCCAGACAGTACAGGGCAGCACCAGACCATCATCGAATCCAGCGCCAAGGGAGCCTCAACGCGTCTTCACGCGACTTTCCTGTCGACGGTTCTTGCTCTCCGCGGCAACGACATCGTTGAGCAGCCACTTAGAGATGATACGACTGGCTCCGTTCTCTGCTGGAACGGCGAGGCATGGAGCTTTGCTGGACAGGCTATTGACGGTAATGACTCTAAGCTAGTCTTTACCAAACTTCTGGACGCGTGTACCGGAACGCGCGAGGCGTCTATGCGAGGCGTCATCGAGCTGCTGTCAGTCGTGCGAGGCCCATATGCTCTCGTCTTTTACGATGCATCGCACAAACGCATCTACTATGGACGCGACTGCCTGGGAAGGCGATCGCTGCTCCAAAACTCTACTCCCGACGGCACTCTTGTCTTATCTAGCGTGTGCGATGATGCCTCTGGTGAGTCTTGGGCCGAGGTGGAAGCCGATGGAATCTATGTTGTAGACCTAGAGCTGGCAGACCCAACGTCAAAATCGCTTTCAGTAACGAGAGTTCCGCATCGCCGCTCAGATCAGGAAGAGGACTCTGAGTTGTCTTTCGTAGGTAAGTCATCTGGCACACGACTTCTGCTAACAGATTCAGACTCTGCCGTTCCCTGCCATGAACCAGACTGTAGACAGCAGCTCTGCTTCACAGAATACTGGGGCAGTAGAACAGCTAAGGGCGTCGTTGGAAAGATCACTCCAACTGCGCACTCAACACATACGTGAGGCAGTGACTGGCGAACCGAAGCTTGGAGGTTCGAGGGAAACACGCGTAGCCGTCCTTTTCTCTGGTGGCCTAGACTGCACAATCCTTGCGCGCATGTGTCATGACCTCCTACCACTAAGCGAACCTGTCGACCTGCTCAATGTAGCCTTTGAGAATCCTCGGATTCACTCCAATCTCGAGCCAAACGCCAGTCCTTACGAGCTCTGTCCTGACCGTGTCACTGGCCGATCATCCCTTGCAGAGCTGGTAGAGATCTGTTCTGGCCGTGAGTGGCGTTTCGTCGAGGTCAACGTACCCTACACCGAAACGCAAGCCCATCGTGGCACCGTCATGGCGTTGATGCATCCCCACAACACGGAAATGGACCTGTCTATATCATACGCACTTTACTTCGCTTCACGCGGAGTCGGTTTTTCGCACGCTGCAGGCGAGGCCAATGTTGAGCTCTACTCCACCACCGCGCACGTACTTCTTTCCGGGCTCGGTGCTGATGAGCTGTTCGGTGGGTACCAACGACACGCTACAGCCTTTGCTCGGCGCGGGTACCCTGGCCTAATCGAAGAGTTGGAACTCGACTTCAGTCGTCTGGGAAAGAGAAACTTGGGTCGTGATGATCGCGTGATCAGCAACAGCAGTAGAGAAGTCCGATTTCCTTTCCTGGACGAAGACTTCATAGCACTAACCCTTCGTCTTTCGGTGACGTCCAAATGCGATTTCGGCCTGGAGCAAGTCACCGATAGCGAAGACCCTGCACAGCTGCTCGAGCCTGGGAAGCGGGCACTTCGTTTGTTGGCATGGCACTTGGGCATGAAAAGAGTAGCTACAGAGAAGAAGCGTGCTATACAATTTGGCGCTCGCACTGCCAAAATGGAGACGGGCAAGACGAAGGGCACGCACGTTCTAAGTCAATAAAGGTCAGTCATTCTTATGTTCTCGTTTTCCCTTTCGCAATGATTACAAACCGAGCAAGCGATTGAGGCACCAATGTTTATCCTCGAGGCTTTCCTATCTAGCAATAGATAGGATATCCTCTACGCATTTGGTGTCGTTGATTCAACATTAAAAAAGGCAAGTCTGAGCCTATCGATGTTTTCACGAAACTTTACATTCTGCACTTCGTTTGTACTGACATGATGGACAGTATCTAGGGCATCCAATTTGGCCGAATTCGAATCCACCCTTAGCTATACATCTGCATGATGTGTTGCCCAGTTCATCCTACATGCAGCAAGAACAAAAAAGAAAGAAAGCGTTTACTTGCCGCCACTCCTCTCGCTTGAAATTCCCAGCTGACGGCCCAGACACTCCAACGATATTTATTGAATATGCTTCGATTCTGAGGCAAGGGATTCGGCAGATGCTATGATGAAATTACGGCTGAAATGACAGAAAACCCCCTTTCAGATCAGAAGCCGGAAGAGTCGGAGTATACCCGGTCGTGCTGCGGTGTTGTTATGACCGCCTCCACCATGATTTCCAGAATTGTGACCGCCGTGACTATGACCACCGTGGCCTGCAACAGCAAAGTCTTCTTTATTGGGCAGACCAATGTCGATATCCGCTTCAGTTGTCGTATGTGGCAGTATAGTGGTGGTGACCGTCATCAGCGGTTCGCTCACAGCCGCCGCAGTGGTACCCATCGACACTAATCTCAAACCTGAGGTTGCGAGTACTAATGATAGTAAGATCACGATGACGCAAAATGCACCAGATGGTCGCATTCCAGCGGAGCCGTTCTTGATCCGAGTGTTCTTGAACCCTGCCCCGTTCACCTCGTGAGGCCAAGGAATTGGATCATATGGCACGTTCGCTTTTGTTCTCGGCAAGCCTGGCGGCCAGCACCACGGTCCGGCACTCTGCGTCTTAGTTGCGACCATACAGATGGTATTGGGAGGACAACAATATTCTTGACAGCACACATCGCCCGTGCGACAAGTACCATGAGTTCCATCCTCTCGTAGGCAGCAATGGGCCGGTTCATATTGGCAGCCGTCACCACAAGGTTCCAATGGCGGATCACAAGATGAACGCTTGTTCATGGACGAAGTTAAATTGCTCATATCCGGGGTATCATGCCGTATTGGTGGCGATTGGAGGCGCGTCGCGGGGAAGGCCTGTTCGAGCCTGCCAGCCACAGACTGGACCAAGAACAACAGAACCCGGAACAAGCTGTGGGAATTGGTTTTCATGCTACCGCTCTTTTGCGTACTCGGCACGGGAATAATTGCTGGTACAAAGGCGTGGTTCTCAATCTCCTCATTGCCTTTGTCATGCTTTTGCCAGCACATCAGACCCGCAAATCCATTAGCACAAACCGCGCCTTCATCGCAACACATGTTCCCACAACAGTCTTGGTTCGCGGAGCAAAGCCCATGCGTGCCACCGGGGGCAGCACAACACTTGGAGATGGATGCGTCGAAGCAGATCCCGCCACAGGCCAGCGTCACACCAGGACAGCACCCTGCTACTATCGTGCCGTTGTGTAGCTGGTATTCGACACAGTTCTGAGTGGCCTTACAAATGCATTTCTTGTTGCAGCATTGCTCTGTATTCGGATCGTGGCAACCTGCGCTGCCGCATGGGGATTGGAGGGGTGGACACTGGGATGTGATGGAGAGAGAAGCTGACAAAATTGATTCAGGAGTCCAGCTTGAATAGTTGAGGCCTTCAGTGGGATGACCTTGTTTCGCCATGACGAGGGGTGAGCTGGTGGAGGTAGGGTCATGGGGATGTGCATGAGTATGCAACTGCGGCGGTGTTGGCTTGAGAAACTCAGAGAGCGTTTTAGTAGTGTCTCCTAGTGAAGCGCAAAACATAATAGGCAGTAGCAAAATGCCTGTATAGGACACCATGCCGATTTGAGAGTTTCAGTAATACTGTAAGGAATAAGCACTGAGCAAGCATTGATTGTAGTAAGAGGACGAAGGGTTGTTGCATTGCGACCTTCGATGTCGATGCCACCACGTCAAATCCGTGATTTGATATTGAATGCGTGGCTCTTCAATTATCTTAGAGGCAAGTCTTCAGAGTGTAAACGCATCATGGTATGCAAACAGCACCTGCCAGCGGTCTCCACATGCGAAAGTCGCCTAACGAAGATCAGTGGCGAATCACGTTCTTTGGAAGATTCCAGCCACACCTGCACCGCCACAATGACGCAACACCAGTCATTCGTATAGTAGTATATAGCCCCCTCACGCGCTCCGCCAACCCTTCTCATCTACCACATCCAAACCCCAGCAACACTTCAATCACGAATCAAATCCTCAAACGCTACACACTACAAATCCAATCATCGAGATGCCCGTCCCAATGCCATCCACGACCTCGCAGTCCACCCCAGCGACCCAATCTTCAGCTGCTGCGCAGGCGACGAACGACATTCAGAACGCCGCTACACGAGCTCTAGCGAACGCGAACAACGGCGAGAAAACCGAGCAGGAGAAGGAAGCCGAGAAGAGGTACGAGGAGGCGATGGAGGAGGAGTACGCCAAGAGGGAGGGCGGAGCTTAGGCTTCAACCCGCGGACATACTGGTCATAAGAGGAGGGAAGAAGATGTCACAGGCTCAGAACGATACCCAGAACATAACGAAAGTCACATCCGAATAATGAACAAACATCACACAGTCTAATTCAATATTCATTTCATTTCATTCCAACTCAATTCCCCGCCAACGCCTTCATAACAACCTCCCTCGGCCTCTCCCCCATGGGAATCTCCAACGCCAACTCATGCCCCCTCTCCGTCATCTTCCCCCACGTCTTCTGCAATATCTTAATAATCTTCTCCTCGTCATGTTCCTTCTCGAACGCCTCAAACTGGTCGTCTAGGAAAACAAGACACGCCACATCCTCCAACACCATCGTCTCCTCATTCACTTTTAGGTCTTCTTTGCGGATTAGACTGCCTACTGTTGAGGCGTCTTCTTGAGTGTATCCGCTGTCTAGGCAGATTTGCTCGACGAGCTCCGCTTGCCGCTTTTTTAGGTAGGTGCGCCAGGCGTGGTATCCTGGGCGCGTCATGGGATAGCTGGATCGTGGAACTTCCCAGCGGCGGAAGTGTTGGGCGCGGATTGCTATACGCAGCGGCTCTGACGCTTCGGGCGCGCGCTTTTCGAGATAGGATGTGCATTTCTGCGCGTAGTGCAGTTCGTAGGGGAGTTCGGTGTCGTTGATCGTGACTTTATTTGGGTCCTCCGCGTGGGCCGCGTCGATGGCGGTCAGGGCGCGTTCGAGGGGGGTGGACATTGTGGTGATGGTGGTTCAGGGTGGCTCTGGGAGTTGAGTATGTGTTGCGCTGTGTTGCGATGCGTGCGCGAGGGTGGTGTAAGGCATTTCGTCTGGTGTGAGATTGGTTGCTGGGTGTTGCGCAGAGATAGCGGCGGATGCCCCGCGTCAAGTGGGGGTTGACCCTGTCTGCCCTGGCGATCCCCAGCCAGAACGCGTGCGCGTCGTGTTCATTGTCTGGACACCTTCGTCATACACCGCTGCATCATTGCCGACTATGCGTGATTACTGCACACTAATCACATCCCTCTCGCCTTGGTTCTCTGGTTTGCATAAATACATGCGGTGGCCTCAGCTGATTGGACAACGACAACACCCCCTGCTCCGCCTCCCCTAACCTCGAAAATCAACGCGCTCACCTCGTTTCTCAGCCTCATCAACATGAGGCCTTTAGCAAGCGGCACCCCAATGTCAGCAATGTTTCCGACCAATTCCTCTGGTTTGTTAGTAACCTCTCATACTGCTTACGTTTTCCGCTACGATGAACCCGGACTGGACCTTTCCGACTCAGCCTGATCAACTCAACCCGTGTGTCAACCAAGGCTCAGTTCATTCCGACTTCTTCGGCAACCATGATGCCCTGAATGCAACCCTACTGGATGATTCTCCTATAAGAATAACCGAACAGTGCACTCCTTCTTCGAGATTGGGGCTTTCTAGGACTGACTCGGACCTCATCTTGGAGTGTGCTTGGACTTCTCCGGACATCTACGGTGATCAACACGACACGTTTGGCGGCCTTGCTTTGGACGACGAGCTCTTTCCGCCGTTGTTCGATCTGGTGGAGGAGGTAACATATCCCAACATCGTCACCGAACCCTCTACACCTACCCCGCAACTTCCACAAGCTACCGAGCAACCTTACTTGGATCCAACCCTACTCCATGATCCTTCTGTGAATGGCCGCCAGGGCTCTAGTATACCTGGAGACGATCTAAGCCGTCCAGTTTGTGTATGCCAGGGCTCTGGACGTAAATACAAAGCGCCAAAGGAACGACCGTCGCGACGTGCCAAGCTATCAGCAGCAGCAAGTCACATCTTAGAGACGCATTTCTCCAACAATGCCTATCCAGACAAGGGCGAATTATCCCAGCTGAACAAGCGTACTGGGCTGGGAGTAGAAAGCATCAGGACATGGTTTAGCAACATTAGACATCGGAGAGCTCATGGTCGTGCGTCACTTTTATTCTGCCCATCCTTAAGCGATTACATGCAAGTCAAGATGTCGAAGCTGACCGTACTACTAGATTTCCCAGTTGCTCCGCCACCGCAAGAAATGCGAGAGCGTCCGCGACAGTCGACACCCATTTCGGTTGAGGGTCTAAATCAGCTAAATCGGGTATCTCCTGCTCATAGCACGAGCTCTCTCCAGAGATACCTCGCAACCCCTTTCACGGAAGAACCAATCCTCCCGGCTGCCACTCAATCATTTTCGCAGGCTCTTGCTGCCCGTCGCGCCTCAGACACAGAACTTGAAGCGGTGATCTTTGCAAATATGGAGCGCTTGGGGAATCTGCTACCGCCAGATTTGGACCATTCTCAGTCGTTACAATCAGCACAGACGAGACAAGATGAGGAGCCCCTTGAATCAGCGCAGAGACCTGATGTAGCTCGTAGCAGAGCGGGATCGCAAAGCTCAAGAGGCTCTGGAAAAAGTCACAGAAGCTGGACTAGTCAGAACTCGAACCGCTCTAGAGGATCGCGCCGAGGACGCAAAAACTGGGTGCGGGCTTCGAATATGAACACCATAAATGCACCGCCCCAAACAGAAGATGCCGAACCGGTTACTGCGGAGACTTCGGAGCCACCATGGTACTGCACTTCCTTAGACTGTGACAAGTCTTTCAAATACCGTTCTGAGTGGGATCGCCATGAAGCAGCCGTGCATCACTGGCCGTATCATTGGGTTTGCAACTTGGGCGACGAGAACTCCTTGGTACACAAGGATGCTAAGTCGCGTATATTTTTTCGGGTAGATCAGCTCCTGGCTCACATGAGGAAAGCACACCCCGAAACATACACACTCAATTCAACAGCCTCTCAATTAAAGACGGACAACCCAGATTTTGATCCTAATTCTTTGGTATGCGGATTCTGTAGCCAGTCTCTGCCCAACTGGGAGGAAAGACAATCTCATGTTTTCGCTCACCTGGAAAGTGGGGTCCTGAAGTCGTGGCTGTCTTTGAGACATGATTTGATGAGCCGGATCGACCGCGAACAGAAGACTTGGGAGCGATGGGATGGTTGGCTCCGAGGGACGCATTCGGACTTTAGCCCTCATCAGAGCATGCAGAAGATGCAGAACAGCAGACTGTTTGCTCTATACCAAACGTAGAACTCGGAGCTGGCTGGCTACCGCCGCTACTCCGAAGCTATGTTGGTCAATGACGTATGAGGCATGTCACACTAAAAGCGAAGAGTGTACCTGAGAGACAGAAGTTGTACTATTGGATGATCGATGTTGTATTTAATGCAATCATACTTCTATCAACCCCAGTTCCCCTGCGACGGATCCTGCGTCCACGAATTGCTATGCTGCTGCTGTAGAGACGGTACTTGGAAGTAGCTGTTTGGATCTTGTTGCTGCTGCTGCTCTTGTTGCGCCCATCCGTTACTCTCCTGTCCCGATATCGATGACGCACCAGGGCTATGACCTTGTCCTTGATGCGGCGCCGGTAAGCCCGGACCATACACCATCGCTCTTCTCTTTTGACCGCCGGAAGGTTGCGGCAACTCAGGTACCGGTTGCGGTGACGGTGTAGCCCACGTTTGCTGACCTGGGCTCGCATCGAAAGTCATGCCATGTGGCTGTGGACTATGCCCTGATCCGTCGTACGAAGTGCCGGTGTAAGACATTGAGCTAGCGAAAGGACTGGATTGCGGGAAGAGACTAGGTGGTGTTGTTGGGCCGCCAGGGTACATCAGGTTTGGCGCTTGCGGCGACACGGACGGCATCGGTAACCATTGCGGAGGATAATCAACGGGCGGTGGGAGTTGCTGTACTGGCGGCGAAGTGTGCGGTGACGTCTGCTGGCGTTGGTAAAGCTGTGCGGAGAGAGCAGCTGACTCTCGTTGAAAGCGGTCACGCCAGTGAGTGAAGCCGAATCTCAACCCGAATTTGGAGAGTACTGATGTGTAGTCGTGGATAGCATCTATCGCCCGAGTTGTAGGGTCTAAAGGCAGGGTCTGCCCTTCTGAAAGCAGTGGTGATGGGAAAGGCGGTGGACTGATCTGCGTGGGTGGTGCAAGCGGATCCTCCGATTCTGTTTGAGGGGCAAGTGGTGTTGGAGGCACTGGTGGTCTTGGGTCCAAAATCATTTCCATGTTGCGTGATAGAACATCGACGAACTGTCGGCCAGTCATATACGCACGCATAGCGTCGTAGAAGGTCACGGGAGGTTTGACTGTGTGTGAAGGCTTGTCCAATACAGCGAGCAGATTGGTGGCGTACGCGATGCAATGCTCGAAGATCAGCCGTTGCGCGTACTCGTGGATGTGAGGTATCCGCGGGCTTGGTGAAAGAATATAAACATAGCTGTAAAGAAGTTCGAGCTCGAAGAACGACTTTACGGCAGGCAAAGTGCTCTGCGGCATATCCTGGAACCACTCTGACATCCTATTGTATTGCTTCCAGATATATTGGTAGGGTTCTTGCCAAGGCTCGCGACCAGATTGGAAGAGATCCATATACCACTCGGATTGTATCTCTCGTATCCTGAAAAGATCAACAGCTGTATCGAAGGATTGTTGGAAAACTTGGGATGTAGGCGAGGCAAACTTTGGTGATACTGAGGCGTTGTAAAATGGAAAGCCGACGTGTGCAGCCTCGTCTGAGAATGAAAAGGCACGAGTCTGGACAAGCGATGTTGATCTACCATATGGTCAGCAAACAGAGAGAGAGGGAGGACGAGATGCGCGCTTACCTGTCTAGAGAGTATACGCACCAGTATACTCTTCTCCTGATCTCTAGCTTTGCTCTTGACATTGCAACATTCTTAGAAGGATCTTGATGTATACCGAGATCAACCATTGCTCTGGAAGCTGCGCCCACAAGTGTCCAGCTATCAAAGTGATGAGGGTCCATAGTAGCATAGATAGTCCAAAGGATTAAAGCCTGGATGCTAGAAACATAGCCAGGATGGAGCACATCTTCGGCATTCTCCAGCGCAGCATTCATGTGGCCGACTGCATCAGAGTAGTGGGTGTCGCCTCTCGATTCAGACTGGGAGAGACATGCAATGGCCAAAACCATGCGCACACTCCACCGATCCCAAGGTTTCGCATTGTCGCCTTGCTGATAGACAGCATCCACGGAGGAGTAGAGTGTAGCCTCTTCGAAGACTGGCCAAAGAGTGAAGACGTTGTTCAAGTAGTGCTGAATCAGTGGCGTCGCTGCATACTTTGGAGGTAGTGCCTTGATCAAGTCTGCGGGTAGCGGCTCCTTTGCGCTCGCTGATCGGATCAGGCGGGCATAAGACATCTCTGTTGTGAAGCCATAGAAGTCTCTCGCAGTAGCATTCACAGCACTTGGTGGGTCAGCGTAGCACGTCAAAGTGGAGGTATCGCACTCACAGAAGACCGAAATCTGACACCAGGTCATCAATTTCCGATGCTTCCTTCCGTCGGGCAGCCCTTTTGCTGATGGGTCTAGTTGCTTTTACGGTATCGACAGACGCTCTACGCGGGGTTGAGTTTTCAGACATGTCTAGCATCAAAACGCCCGAAGACTTCCGTCTCGCCCGTGCTTCCTGGATCTTCTTTTCGAGCTTCTCGACTCTGGACTCCAATGTAGCGACATAGCTCCGTTCTTTTCCTCGCGCAAACTGATCGTTTGTGCTCGAGCACTCCGAGGCCCGATTAGACTTTTCACAGGCGGTGCATGCGGGCAGTTTTCCATCGCACTTGACTTTTGCGGCTCGGCATCGCGAACAAGCGGCCACAGGTCTGCTCACCCGGAGCAGCGGCGTTTCCAGCACCATGTTCCTGCTATCTTAGGACAAGTAAGTATGCATCGCATGGTCACCTGACGCTGGGTGGATTACCGTGCGGAAGGGTTCAGATGGAGATTGACATAAAAAAGGAAAGCGGAATCAAATGAGACGGCACTAGGCACAATGTATGAATACCGACGTAGACTACATGTTCAAAGGCGGTACGGAGATGGAAAGCCCTTGGCCTGGCGATCGATACAGACGGGACGGCACTTACCAGCTCGGTGGAATGCACGTTGGGGGTCTAGCGTGACGATGCAAAGAATCAGGTCCGCGGGCAGCCTTGCCGAAAAGGCGGTACAGCACGCGATGAATCTGGTGGTTTGGCGCTCTCGTGGTGTTGAGCAGCGGGTTGACGGGTGGCGTAGCGGGCTCGCGGTACCCTTGAACTTCGTAATGCCGCGGCTCTGTGGCCGAATCGAGAAGCGGCGGACGGCGGTGTTGCCCCGCTGAGTCGGACAGGGAGAAAGCGATGCTGAAAGGGACGGGCGTGACGCGGTTGCGAGCGACGGGATGAGGATAGAGGTATGCTTGGCCGAGTGTTCGAGGCCCAATTCCAGGAGGCAGCCTATCAAGGGCCCGGTCGCGCTTGATGCCCACGCTGCACGTCTTTCTTCGGCTCCCAGAGTTTGGACAGAGGCCGGGCCTGTCACCATCAGCCTACGCCGCACCAGCGACGGGGGCGTGTCATGCTTCGACTTCCTTTTGGCGCCGTCTGATTGGGGACGCTCGGTAATGCGCAGGCGGTTTTTGTGGCCCAGTCGACGTCGCGCCTCGTTCCTTCTTCTTGGTTAAAGATACATCCACCGGACGACACTCCGGTGGTTCTGCTCGGCTGCTCCTCGACCCAGGCACCGCTATCGTATCCAGGAACTCGCTCCCACATCGCCATCTCGACAGCCTCACGGACTGAGGGCGCAGGACCAGACCTCGCCGGCGCGACAAACCTCCCGGGCATGGACGTGCGCGTCGATCTCCCCCACATCCCAGGCGCATCATAAGCCAGCTCCCTCGTCCTCTTCCGCCCGTGGTGAGAGACGAGCGATGGAAGTCGCGACTGCGACACACACCAAGACGGAAGGGGCCCCGCACCCGCCTGAGGAAGGCACCACCACAGGCCAGAGCCGCATCGCCCACACTCTGACAGCTTGCTGTCGTTGTCGGACGGTAAGCATCATCCCGGATCTGGCTGGCTACGTAATGTCCACTGACCAGAGCCCAGCGCAAGACGAGATGCGACCCCGGACTCCCTCGATGCGGGCCATGCGAGCGCACCAATTCCCACTGCGAATACTATGACCCCACAAAGGGACGCAAAATACCCCGGAACTATGTCGTGCACCTGCAGCAGAAGGTGCGCGACCTTGAGAAGCAGCTGGCTGATCTCGAACGGGACGACGTGGAGCCGGACCCTGAAGATGTGATGCGCGGGGCAGCCACAGTGCGTGTCCAGGACTCTGACGAGTCCAAATTCCTAGGGCCTTCCAGCGGTATCACCATAACCCGCCTGGTGATGCAGCTGGCGAAGCAGTTTACCGAGTCAAAGAGCATCTCTGAAATTGTGCCACACGCCGAGGCGAAGAACATCAAGGACACCTTCGCTCAGGAAGATCAGCGACCCACCTCCAAGATCTACCCCATGGTCAGCGACGTCGCGGCTGAGGAACTGCCCAACAGAGACCTCACCAACCTACTGGTAGAACTCTTCTACTGCAAAGGCGCGTAAGGCTGTCCCTTTGCCACCCTGACACCGACTGACTTGACTAGTGCACCCCATGTACCCCATCTTCCACGAACCAACCTTCACCAAAGATGTTGATGAGGTCTACAACGGCTCCACTGATCCCTACCAGAACTACTGTCTGCGCATGGTCATCGCCATCAGCCTGCAGAAGATGGACACACAGTATGCAGGTCTCGCCGACAGCTACTATCTCGCCGCCCTGAAATACTTCGAAGCCGCCATCAAGCCTATGAACCTCAAGACCCTGCAATGCTTTGGTCTAGTCGCCGGCTATTCGCTCCTGACACCAACGAGGACCGCAGTCTACTACATAATAGGTCTCGGCGTACGCCTGTGTCAAGCATTGGGCCTACACGAAGAGAAGACAATCAGCATGGGCTCTGGTGGACGTCAAGCAGACCCTCTCGAAGTTGACATGCGACGCCGCCTGTTCTGGAGTATACTTACCATGGATTATGGCTTGTCGCATAGTCTTGGACGACCGGCACATTTCGCGACACGGCGAGAACATATCGACGTTAACTTCGGCGAGCTTGTCGACGATGTTTACATTACCAGGGAAGGCATCAAGCCCGCACCACAAGCATCGCTCAAGAAGTGGATTGGCATACACTTCTACAAGATGCGCTTGCTCCAACTCGAGATACGCAAGATGCTGTACCAGAGGAAGAAGCCCGAACCAAAGGACGACCAGCATCCCTGGTTCGCTCAGATGCAGTCGAAGATAGAGGCTTGGAGGGACACAAGTCCTGAAATGGACGGCGGATCAGGGCTTAACAAGGTTTGGTGAGTATGTCTCTCCGCATTCAAAGTATGTCGACTGACCCGACTAGGTTCATTGGTCGATACAACACCATGGTCGTCTTCATGTACCGTCCTTCCCCACAAGTACCTCGCCCGTCCCTAGACGCCGCCATTCGCTGCTACGACGCCTGCCAATACAACATCTACATGACTATGAAGCAGATCGAGACGAAGAGCGTCGACGTGACCTGGATCTTCACACAAGCCATCTTCATGTGCATCAACACCATGCTTTGGACGTTGTCATATTCCGAGGTGCGAAGACGTCATAGCCGCGAAGAGGTCGAGGGTCACTTGAAGGTCGCTATGGAGTCGATCAGGCAGGCGTCCGAGCGATGGCCTGGTGTACAGTCCGCCATCGATCTCTACTATAACTTGATCCAGGCTTGCATGAGAATCTTCGACAAGGATGGCGATGTGCCCATCTCGGCTAGTTCACCTTCCGACACTGCCTCCGTAGGCACTGGCAATATTGTAGATGGCATCAATCGGTCACGAACAACAAGTCCAGCAACGGCGTCTACCGCATCGGTTCGCACGCCTTCCGATAAGGTATCAGGGCCTGGGCCTTTCGGCTACTTACCGGAACATAACCAGCAACTCTTCAACCTTGGTAACGGCTTGTCGAATCCGCCCAACCCTTTTTCAAGCGCACCGACACAACAGGCTGGACTACAGACGTCGCCTCAACAACCCCAGTCATTGGCATATAACGAACTGAGCCCGAAGACATCCATGGATAACAACATACCCTCGTATAGCTATGCACCTACCGCTCAATTCGCGCCGCTACCCACTACCTACGCAGAGTTACCTACATGGAACCCAACGTTCACGATGCCACCTCAAGACAACTACAACATGACAAACATGCAGATGGCTTCATCGCCTTTCTACAATGAGGCTTACGCAGCGAACCAAGGCTACGAAATGGCAGATTATCTCAACCCGGCCTGGAGTCAAGATGCTAGGGGTACTGGACTCAACCAGCAACAACAGATGGAGTTGATGCATGACTTTGAGATGAACGAGGCGAAGAACATCGAGATGATGATTGAACAGAGTCACCAACTTTTCCGTCCACCGCAACTACAGCAAACATACTGAACGCGCTGTCACTGTGTGACCATCGAAAACGAAATATCATACACAACAGATCCTGGCTTGTCTGCATTGGAGTACGAATACTGATAGATACGACTCAGAGCGGACGACAACCCGGTCGACAGTCATCTCGATTCTTGAAGATCTGACGCATCCTTCTTCCCATTGGGAGGATCATTACCCGGCTTGGCATTCGCGTACGAAAGGTTCTCGCGTGCCGATCATGTCGATCTAAACCAGCAGATTCGTCCGGTGACAGCTGAATCAGATCAATGGCATGGATAAGAGTCTCTGGGGGCCAGAATCATACTTTCGCCACAAGGATCCTGAGTCGCCTAGGATGGTCCCTGCACTTCGGTCAACTTTGCGAGTCTAGGAAGTCTAGATTTCTCCACAGGACGCAAGCGGTCGGCTCCGATTCACAAACCTTTGGGAAAATAAACGTACCGGACTGCAAACTCAGAATCAATAAGAGCGCAGGTCGGAATGGCTGGCTTGGACTCCGCATACCAGATGTGATTGCAGGTTCAGAGACGAAAGGCAGATGCAAGACATGCAGCCCAAGGAAGCACTCAAAGCAACAAGACATCATGCGACATAGATATTCAGCTGGACTGAATAACCTTCACATACAATGTATAACAATCATGATCAATTCGTTCATCCTTCCGTTCTGAGTCTCCCCTGACGCCATGTCGCACTCCCCATCACCACTCCTCCACGAGCCTTGTATCTATTCCTCTCCCATCCTACTCCCCCTCACCATCCCCACCCAACCTCCCCACCTCCCTATCAACCCACCCCCCAATCCTCCCCACCACCTCCTCAATATTAACATCCACCTCCATCTCCTCTTCATCATCCTCATCCACAACCCCCTCCCACACATCCCTCATAACCTGGTACACCCAACACCCGCCCTTCATAACCGTAACATGCTCCCAGTCGTTTACGATCGGTCGTGTGTCGTCTAGTTCTTCGATTAGGTCAATGAGGCTGGTTAGCGGCTCGGATTGGTGGTCGGAGAGAATGTTTTCGAGCGCGATGCGGGCGCCGCGGGTGAAGGAGGTAAGGGCCCGGGGAGAGAGTGGGGGAAATGGTGCGAAGGATCGGGATGTGAGGGTGGTTGGGGCTGTTGGAGAGGCGATGGATGGCGTCTCGTTTTTTGAGGGAGATGATGGAGACTTTGAGCGTGGACCAGGTGAAGTAGCAATGAGCGGAGGCAAAGGGCTGTTTGGTATGACGGCCGAGTCTGAGGATGGATTTGAGGGGGCGTCTTCTTGTGCCGGTGTGGCAGTCTCTGGGGCAAGCGGCTCGAAGAGCTCAAACGGTGAAGACATGGCACCTCGTCGGGGACGTCTTGTGGCATTTTGCTTCGGCTTTGGAGGTCCTGGAACTTTTTTTGGTACCTTCGTGTCTGGCTGCATTGGTGATTTGGGCTTCCTCGTATCTTGTTTGGCCTTGGAGGTGTTAGTAGGTTGCTTTCCACGTGTTGTCATTCCGCTTCGCATTTGCCGGGTCTCACGCGTCGTACCGTTCCTGGAGCTGGTTTCCGGATTGGCCATTTCAACATCGGCGTTCTTGTCTCCATTCACTGCCTCTTCTTCCTTCCTGCCAAAGACAAGTGTCTTGATCTTGCTCATAGTCTTGCTGGTAGTCTTGCGCGTCGCTCGCTTTATCTCCTTGGCACTCTTGGTGGGGACCTCTTCCTTCATAACGTCGTACTCGTTATCTGAGTCTACAACTTCCGCACTCTTGAATTCACCCTTGCGCTTTCTTGGACGTACGCGTTTGGGATGGTAATTGGGTCTTGAGACGTGTACTGGATTGGGCGCAGACGCTTTGTGGATCTTGAGTTTGACGACGAGACTTGGTGGCTCGGCGGGATTTATGCTGTCGTTCGTCGAAGATGGTAAGTAAGCGGGCGGTTTGCTAGGTGCAACTTTGGCTTGCTGTTTGTTCTTAAGTCTGCTTGAACTACATGTATGGAGCGGCGTACGTACCACCGATAATCTGCTGTGAGCGCGAGAACGTGAAGATGCTGCTACGGTGGTTTGCAGTGTTTTGCTCTTGGCTGTGGGTGATGAGGGTGTCTGTGAAAGCGTAGCGCTGGCGTCTCCCAATTCGGAACTCGGACCAAAAAGGTGGCGCTTCGGGTTCTTCGCATCGCGATCGGGTGTGCCGTGATTCAGACACATTCTCTTTTGCCTGGCTGCCACTGCAATGTTAATTCTGGTGGCATCGCTGTCTTTCGTCTTCTTTCTGCCTCTCTTGAGCTTGCCCTTTCCTTTTAAGGGCTTTCCGTAGTCTGACTCGGATTCGTAGACCTGTTCCTCCGAGCTCTCTGGCTCATCACAGTCTAATAACTCTCTCGATTCTATGATTTCTTCTATCTCATGTGACTGCTCGCGTGGCTGCTCGTTTTTGTCTTCAGGTCGCTCAGAGGGTGTCGCGTCTTTCACCAGAGACTCGTGCTCGGGAGTGCTTTCGCGTTTTGGGACTGACTCTGCGTTGCGACGTGTGTTTTCGTCGTAAAGTACTCCAATAGCATCGAGCACCCGCTGCAGGACAGAAACTACTGGTACTCCTGCTTTGATCGACTCCGGGACGTCTACGTCGACGGCAGTGTCGAAAGCGAGTCGTCCACGATGGTGAATGTCGGGTAGCAGCTCCCATTGTGCCTCGAAGTTCTGTCTGCGCTTGTGAAGCTCTGCAAAGCTCACAATGTCGTCAAGTGCCCCGTTTTTGATCGCATCATTGACGTCCTCTTGGATGGAACCCATAGCTTGTTGTCGTGCTGAAACGAGGAGACGGGGTGCAAGTAATAAGAGGAATGGAAAGTGGGGAGCAGTCTGCGAACAGATGTTGCAAACAAACCCTTTAGTCGTAATTTCTGTGCTGAATCCTTGGTCAAATTTGGGGGAGAGATTGATGATGTTACGACACTGGCAAGATCAAGACTACCGAACTGGAGGTAAGTAAGTGGGAAGTGTGCTCGGACCCCCTGTCGGGCTCGTAACGACCAATTTGCCACACTCAGAGTAGCTGCAGGCCTACTACATCCTCAAAGTTGCGTGAGTAAACGGAAGCCACAGCTAACAGCCAATAAATTACTAAGATAAGAACTTGGAGGCCTTTTCTCCGTGTGTCCACGTGTAGTTTCCAGATTGCGAAGATCGTCATGTATGCATGCTGTCGACGCGCCGTGGCTTCCATATTGAGCAATGCTGCAGAACAGAAGAACTTGTAACTCACTGAAGACCTCCAGGCACAATTTTTCGGGAAGTCGATCTACGTTAGTACATATGCTTGAAGCCGACATCGACTTGAAAGCAGATAAACGCTCGTGAGAACTATTTGCTGGAGACTACTAGGTTTTTCATTAAGCCTGCTTTCGCGCCTGATTCATACCGCTATACAACTGAGTGAAGGTGCAGCAGACCTAATGAACGATTCTAGAATGCCTTTGGGTTGCAGCATGAAAATTATAGCAAACACCACCCTCTACATTAGACGACATCGTAAGAACCCCAACCCAACGATCAACCTTACTTAGTCGGCACAGCAATTATAAACATCCCACCCATAGTATGTCTCGTATGAAGATGATGGCTAAGAAGAAGCAGAAGAGGGAGGAGGATGTTAGGCGGAAGAGAAAGCCTCGAATTGTCAAGCTGATATACACAAGCCCGGAGTGGAGCGGGCTGAGTGAGTGTCTGACTAACCGGAAAACTTTCTCTGCAGGCGTCGACTACGTGTGCGACATCATCTTTGGTCTTATCGGTCTTCCGGTATTTCGCTATCCTCTTACATCAGTGAATACCGCCTCTGCCAGCATCAATGGATACAGAGCTCGCATCAGCAACACCAGTTTCGCTAGAAAAGTTTCCTTATGATCGTGCATCCAGGACTTTCACGCTGGTGTCACTACGGCGTTAGTCGCCTGTTGACTGCCTTCAACTTCATAATTCCTAAGACGGGAAGCTAGAGATGTTGTCTTGTGTTTGGAGTTATTGGTACACCATGAGTTTGTGCGCTTGATAGAGCTGGAGATGCACGGAAGGCGGTCGGACCCGTACTCGATGCCAAGAATGGACGAGTTATGCAAGGTCAGACGAATGGTGGGTACGATGAAGTTGATGAGATAAGCATTAGAATTGAGAGCGATAATATTCGAAATGAAACAACCACAAGATAACCACCCCAGCTACCGCTGTCGACAAATCTCACAAACACAAAAAGAAATCTAGAATTCCACCTCGAGACAATAATACCACCCAGAACCATGCCTGGAAGTTATCTAACGCCAACAACTCGGCCAATGCATTGTTATTCGCCACCACCCAATACACTGTTCTCTCTAGTATTGTCGAGCATCTTCGGCCCCAAGATGTTCTCCGACTAGCTCAAATTTCACAGGCGGTGTATTTAAACTTGGACTTCTCAAAAGCCGTTAGCCGTATCAATCTCCGTACGAAGGTACTATGTCCAGGCTTTAGTGTCCAACAACGCAAACGCAAGCACAAGCCTGCTAGCGAAGGAGAATGGTACGTACAAGCATTTTGTGGCAGCGAGATCAACGATCCAGATATGGGAAGCCGCCCGTGTGTCACCTGTGGCATGAACACTTGCGGTGAATGTAGGTTACATGTGACGTACCATTCCATGACCGAGGACAATGGACCACACGGATTAAGATGGTGGGCAGGCCATATTATGATGGAAAACACTCCCGTTCGCCTTCTCCCGCCTGTCGATCCTTTCTACTGGTACCCACTATGAGACGCCAAGGAAGAGTCATGCCGGAAGATACCGCTTGGCAAGGATCGACCTCAGCACGACTGCGGCCGTGTCGGCTTACCATTTGACTCCAATAACGCGGCCCAAGCCAAACCACTTGACAACCTACTTGAACTAGATCTTGGTGATGATCTGTTACTCAGATTCAAAGGTCATTCATATAAAAAGGGGAATGGAGGAGGAACTTAGTTTCAAATACCGCCATCATAGGTAGAGAAGCAGTAACGGGAGAGTTAGGAGTTCAGCTTACGATGTATATCGGAGGTGCTCCAACAACATGGTATCACTAGTAATCACTCATAATTCGATGAAAGTAGTCGAACGACAATGAGAGAGGCCAGACGATCAAAGGAAGATCTGTTTTTCACATACATTTCTTTGTAGTCAAGCTAATTCTATCATAGCAAGCGTCCGTGAGCGAATTATATGTTCATATACGTTATCGAAGTGTGTCACCCATGCTGTGCACTGAACCTAAGCTTCCCAACTAAGAGGCGAACTTGTACCAGACATAGAGATCCACACACGTAAACATACACTCCCATCTAATGTCTTACAACACATTCTTCCCGTTTCTAGACGATGCCGCCTACTCCCGTCGCCGCAACGCCGAACTCATGCTTACGTACCAACGGCAGAAGAACAGAATTGAAGTAATCATACCCTTTCGTACGCCCGACGGAAATGAGGAATACAGGGCCAAGCATGGAGATCTATCTGCAAGATTGAGCGGTGTGCAGGAGCGCGACAGGATTGTGAGGGAGACGATGAAAATTACTCTGGGGAACATGACGCGGGATGAGATCATAACTTGGAGCTTGAAAAGTGAAGCGTATGGTAGGAAGAGTAGGTACCCGGCAGATGCGATATATCACATGACAGGGGTAGTGGAGGTACAGTCGTCTGTGAAAGCTATGGTGGTGAGGAGATGGATTTGTCTATACGAACATTCTGTACCTCTAAAACGCTAGCCATTCCTGAGCGCCGATGATGTAAATGCTGATGCTATGCCAAGCCGAGACACCAATTACGCTAATACGCCCGACATGCAAAACGCCATTACCCGAGATTGGCCAAAAGAAAAAACGACGACGCAGACATCTATGCTTCTTCTGGAGCCGCTGGCATCCCCGACCATGCAGTCGATGTACAGCTCGTGCGCGCCTCGTGCTGATCAGCCTTCGTCGCATCGCGAACCGCAGCGTCAACGGCGTCGTGAAGATCGAGATGGAAGAACGGCCTATCAACCCCGTAAATCGGGTAAAACTTCTGCTTCTCACTCATAGAAGACTGCACCTCAAGTGCATTTGTTTCTGTGGAGTCCTTGCCCTGCTCTTCGTCCCTGGCTCCCATTTCTCTCCGTACGGCTTCTACTTCTTTCCGCTCTTCGCACGTCGCACCTGCGAGACTCGCCGTCACAGTGTAGGCTGGACACCAGTTTCCTGTGTACTCTGCAGTCACGGCAGCCGGGAAACCGAAACCTGCAAAGGCGAGCGCCTTGCGTGTCCACCGGTTGTGCACACCAGCAAAGTGCCATTCGACCAACCCGGGCGCTGCATGGCGATCCAGCGTGTCGCGCAAGCTCTTCAACCCGTCAATGCTGGTGATGTCGAGAATGTTGACGGTGGAGAGGTCGAGAACAACAGCTCGTAAGACGGGCAGACATGACGACTCTTCGATGAGCTTCTCAGTGGGGGGCGCGTCGCACCACAAACGATCGCAGGCGCGGATACCGTCATCTGCTTGTGTTCGGCGCGTGTTTGAGGTGATGTAAGAGGTAAGGTAGTCAACGTGATAAGCTTGGTTGATGTAGTTGAAGTTCTCGCTGAAACGATAGATGAAGACGCCGGGGTATGCCGGCTCTACGGTGATGTTCGGGTTGTGGTTGTCTGTAACGTCGTAAGGCATATACACTTGCCGAGCTTCTTGCATAGCTCCGATACGATGCGTTTGTTCGCCGTGTATTTGCGAAGTCCGCGACGCGCTCGATGTGGACACGGACTGATCGCAGGAGCGGTCGTCGCGCACGATGCGCGTCACCTCAACAGCACCTCGGAACTTGCCTGGGCTTTTTGCCATGCGAACGAGCAGCATGGCAAAAGATAGACCGACAGTGATGTAGATCGCCGTCTCGAGATCGGTGAAGAACGCGATGACAACACCACAAACCCAGATGAATAGTTCGAACGGCGACAGCTGGTAGTACTTGTGTAAATCCTTGGGTCCTTTGATCAAATCGACGGTGGAGTGTATGATCAAACCAGCAAGCGCTGCGTTTGGAATGTAGTAGAAGACAGCTGTAAGCGCATACAATGCCAACACTAGGACTACCGCGCTGAAGACGCCGGACAATGGAGTGCGCACTGCAGCCTTGGAGAGAACAGCAGAAGCACCGAAAGAGCCCGTGCACACATAACCACCCACGAAAGGACTCAGTATATTGGCAGCGCCTTGTGCGATCATCTCTTGTGAAGGAATGACGGTATAATTGTGTTTGCGTCCGAAATTCTTGGCGATGGCGATGTGTTCAACGATGAGGATGATGATGATCGCCGGGAGTTCTGTAGCCACCAAGCCGAAGAGCTCTCCGTCCATTTTTGGTACACCCGCATGACTGAAACCCTTCTCAATATGACCTACGATCCGGAACTTCTCTTCGCCTGCAGGTGTCGTCCTATGTACCAGCCAGCTGATAAGCGTGTAGAGCAAGATAGTGAATGTGAGACGTAGCGAGGAGATCATAGACCACATCTTCTTCTTTCGAGGTTGTCGCACCTCCATCTTGGCGCATAGGTTCTTGATCAAGTATAGGAGTACGATGGATGTGATACCGATCGCCGCATCCAGTCTTGCCGTGGGTAAGCCCTTCAAAAAATTGACGTACACCTTATACGGAGACTCACGCGTGTTGATCCCTGTAATACCCATCAAAGTCGGCAGTTGTGTTGAGATGATAGTAATACTGGCCGAGGTGACGAATGCGGAGATGGGAATGTACGGGATGAACTCGATGATGAAGCCGAGACGAAGGATACCGAAGACGAGAATAATGCTGCCAGCAAGGAAGCTCAGCGCATGTGCTATTTCCTGAGGTTGATACACGCCAGGGTGTTCCGCTTCAACTTTGCTGACCGCGCTTCCAATTAGCAAGGACCCGACTGCTGTCGTCTATTCTTGGGTTAGCTGGGTACTGCATACTGACATGACCAACTTACACCAATGACAATATCTCTAGATGTACCAAAGATCCAATATAAACATGCGCCTGTAAATGTAGTGTAAAGACCAAAGGCGGGTGACAGCCGAGCAAGCGAAGCATATGCCATGGCTTGCGGAACGACAACAAGACCGACCGTGATTCCTTCATTTTCTTAGCAATGACTAGCAAAAGATCCGAGGGTTCTGTACATACCAGCGACAGCATCTCCAGCCAGCCAATGTAAATTATATCGCCTCAGCCACCGTGCGCTCGGAAACAGCTCGCGTACATACTCTGCGGCGCCATGTGAGGTGGGAATGAATTCGCGGAACCATTCTGCTACGGAAGGATCTTCTTCGATGTACGTTTCCCCAACTGTTTCGTGCGCTATGTCCTTAAGTGAAGTCCTCTGCGCGCTGCGGTCTTCTGAAAAGGTGGGTAGAAATTTCATTATGTTGTTGTTGATGTCCGTAATTATGTGTGTGGATGGGACCAGGCTACCGGGAAAAATTGCGACCTTAAATTGGTAGGCGCATATACGCCAAGTCAAAGTGATGTAACAAAAATGAGGGTTGTGGTAGTTGCGTCCGGTCAAACGTTTTACGCCAATTTGGGAGGTCGTGGAATTAATACAATGACGAAGTTGTTTGCGGAGAGAAAAGAGGAAATCACCAGGTTATGAGTAGACGGACCGAACGTCTCTATAGGCATCGGGACGTGTTATCCATTGAATTGACGCACAGTCATGCGCTGTGCTTGGAGCATTTCACCGACGTTCCGAAACGCTTCGGGCGAGAGGTCTTGGCAAAAATCGCGCCGATAAGATACTGCAACTCACCGCTGTCACTTACCATTTCGAAAGTCGATACGCGTCTGAAACGCTATAATCAGTCTCTTCGGAAGTATTGAACTCCTCTTATGCTGTACCTGATGTCTTTAAACGCTCAACACGCGTGGTGAGGGTATGCAGTCGCGACGCGTAGGGTTCGGTACCGCGTCGGCAGGTTTGGCGAGCACCGCGGATTCACGAGCATCCATTATCTTGGCAAAACGGAAGTCGGTGTGGCAAAGCCGCAATTGGACGATGTTGGGACGTGAGGAGGTGCAGCTGATGATGGGGATGCGGCGACGAAGCGATCAGGAACAGTGTTCTGGTCCATGTGTCAGTGCCAAGCTTCACGCCACGACACTACGGCAAGCTTCAGGGGTCCACTTCGAGCAAGTGGTCGTGCGCGCTGCGGGGAGGAACCAACAGTTTCGTCACCTGGTCATTTGGGTGTTCGATTGACAGACGACATGAAGCTATCGCTGGCTCAGCTTTTGAAGTATCGACTGAAATGCTTTCTTTGACGTGGTGCTACGTACGTAAATTGGCTAGAGACTTCTCTAGAGGAAGAGCGGTCACGGAGAATTCCTACAACTTGACGCAACAAGCAAGTGTACATCGCATACGGCGATCATCTTGGTATGTATCTTGCCGAACGGGACTAAGTTCACGCATTCACCGGTGGTGCCCTGCGTGATCCTACCAGGACAAGCGTGCAGTAGACTCTTAGTCCAGTCCCCATGGATCTTCGAAGCCCGCAGCTGACTCGACGTCTTCCAGATCTGGTAGATCCGCATCATCGTCATCGTCGCCATCTTCCATTTCCTTATTCATATCACCCAGTCCTTCAACATCGTCGTCCTCGTCTTCTGCTCCATCCCCCGCGTGAGCATGCATAGAGTCCTTTTCGTCGCAGATACAGCAAGTGCATTCAACGTGCTCACCCTGGATTGTCATCCACTGGCGGATTATAGCTCGTCCCAAACGTTCTCCGCGGATGCACTCGCCATTCACGTACACTGAAAGGGACCCGTCGCGATTCTCAGCGAAGCCAAACTCATTCAGAGGCAGACCTGCAAAGTCAGCCGCCGAATGGTCCTCCTCGTCATCTCCGTCCCCGAGTTCCTCTTCTTCTCCAGTTTTGTCTTCGTCGTTCTCACTGGTCGCATCACCCTCGGCGCTTTGCTTGAGCCCTTCGATCTCGCCTTTGCACCAGTTGCACATGACTTTTGGCCTGATATCGGGTGTAAACTCCGTTCCGCAACCACACACATGAATGTGGCCTTGTCCGACCTCGGCTGCTATTGGAACATGGCAGCGCAGCTGTTCATCAACAGTAATCTCCCCGATGTAGCAGTGCATACACAACCATCGGTCTAGGAAGCGCTTGCGTAGGGTGCAAGAACAAGGCACCACACCTTGGTTCTGGCGTTCCAGGTAACAGGAAGGGCATGCGAGATCTTTGCGCTTGTTGACCGTCAGGTCGAGAAATGAGACGATGTTATTGCCAGAGTAGGGGTATTGTGTACGCCCACGGGGACTGATGAACTGGTGGATGCCTAAGTCCAGATCGAGAATCGGCTCAATCGGCTCAGGATCGCCTAAAGCACCGATCTCTAGGGGGATGTGAACGCGGCCCTGGTCATGGCGAGGCAGCATCTCCTTTACAGGCAGATGCCAGACACTGCCATCTGAGTTCTTAGGTGGATATACTGCAACAGCCGTGGGGTTAAGAAAGTAGTAGCCTGCCCACCATCGACGCTGATCGAGCCCAGAATCGTCTGTCATGAAGTTGTAGAAAACATGTATACGGCACTCGTCGCAAGTGTTGACACCACATCCCGTACACGGGTGTGACTCTGCTCCAAATCCACCCCTTGGGCAAACCATCACAGAATGGAAGGTCTTTGCTGGACAAGGGCAATGAGTGGACATCCTGACGAACGAACCGAATCCGGAGCACAGTGTCTTGGAAAGAAGGTTGGCCTTTGCGCTTGCATCGTCCATGCGAATGTGTCCATGGAGGGTTTGGCAGAGCTGGGTCAGAGTGATGAGCTCGTCCGGTACCAGGAGCGAGATTAGGGCCTGTATATCAGAATTAGTAAGGCACATATGGTAAGAGGCTTGCGAATGCATGCCTTACTTCTTGTATTGGGTACAAAGCTAGAGCGACCGCGAGGGGATTGGTGATGTTTGATACCGCCGGCGGTAGCGTCCAGGCGCGTTGCGCTGTCTGCTGCACTGACGACATCCCACAAAGCCTTTTTTGAACGTTTCCAGGACTGCGGAAATTATAGAAGCAGTCGCAATCGCAGTAGAGCGCGCCTGCACTGTCTGGCCTCGTCGAAAGGATTGTTCAGGTACGCCTGTTCCGGTTGGCGATTGGAGTTACTTCCACATTGCAGGGGCGCGAAAGAGGAAGACGGAAGTGCGTGCAGAATTGAATCAGTTAGATACCCGAGTGATGTCGTCGCGGAGTAAGAGCAAGAGAGGTGCGTGGCCCAAGTAGGCAGTCGCACATGGCACGTGCGCCAGTAGCAAACAAACACAATACCCACCTCCAAGTGAGATCAACAGCTACGGTATCTTCCGAAGAGTCGAGAACAGTGGATGGGAGTCATAACGACATGTAACATGCATGTTATTGCGCATTCAATCCGTTACTTAGCAACCTAGCTCTCCAAGTGAGGGCCCATATCACTTGACTCTGTCTCCCCTAAAACTGCATTGGCAACTCCCTCCTTGTCATACGCTTCCGACGTTTCCCACGATCCCTTTCAGGAGCTCAGGGACCATGACCCCAGCATCACCTTTGAACATCCAGTCGCCCGGCCAAACGCATCCTGGCTCGTCATAATACTCTTCGATATTGAAATATGCGACCCTCGCACCAGCGTTCTGAGCCTTGGGTATGTACATCGCAGCCGGAAGTACGACGCCACTCGTACCGATTACGAGCAACAGGTCGAGAGGTGCAGAAGCGATGAAGGAGTGTATAGCCTCGGTGAGGTCGCTCGATAGGCTTTCGCCGAAGAGCACGACGCTCGGTCGCATGAGGCTGTCGCACCGTGGACAATGAGGTAGCTGGGTATGATCGAGAGGAGGCAGAGGGACGGATGCGTCGCTGATATCAGATGTGATTGTGAGCGCCTCAGTGGCAGGATAGGAGACGGGCGTATTGTAGTCACAACGGTCGGTAGAGGCTGAGGCGTGCTTGCTGCATTTCATCTCGAACAGGGTGCCGTGCACTTGTGCGATCTGCTCGTCGGGTATGCCCGCTCGTTGACATAGACCTATAAGTGTTAATGGACATTGTTCCGGCTCTTAGCTTTGGGAAGTCTGCTTACCATCGATGTTTTGATTTATTGCGAAGAATTCACTCTTCTCCTTTGCAAGTTTCGCAAGCGCGATGTGCCCCCGGTTTGGCTTTGCCTCTTGCGCACGCTTCATCCGATCGCTGAAGAACCACCATACCCTCACTGGGTCCTGGGACAGAGCCTCGATATTCGAAAGGTCCTGAGGCTCTGTGCCTCTCCATGTTCTACCATGGCCGCGAAACGTCGAAAGGCCCGAAGCAACCGACAAACCAGCACCTATGAGGGCCAAAACCCGTTTGGATGATCGCAGGTACTGTGCGAAGGATGTGAACTCGTCCATGCCGATGTCAAGCGCCGGATCAGGTGTGGAAGTCCCGCGGAACTTGCGCATCTCTTGCTTCGCTCGAAGTGCTGATGTTGCCTTCGGTTTGGTAGATGATGAAGTCTGGGGGTTTCGGGGCGGAATGAGGTCAATTCCTCCGAGCGCAGTCGCCATTTCCTTCGTACGGAAACTACTTTCCGCTGTGGGAGGTTCGGTGTCGCTCGTCATGGTATTGGACGTGCCGTGAGACTTATGTCCAAAAGTAAAGGAAGACTGGAGCCCTTAATCAATGCACCTTGGTATGCTGAGTGGACGCCGTACGTTATTTGAGATGACTCATATGATCTTTATGTGTCTGCGCTCACAGTGGGTTGATCGAATTGCGATGACTCCGATCTCTACCTTGGGGTCGTTGCGTACGTTGCTAATCTGCCGGCGGCGTCTGAAGTGGTGACCTTGGAACGCATCGATGCATGACCACGGTGACAGTAGTGAGTCCGCGATGTATATTTGTGAAGTGACTTAGATCTCTCTTCTCCAGGAGAAGGAGACAACTATGAAGACACCGAGTATCTCTGAAAGATGCCTCAGCCCATGACTGTCGGTCGTACGTGATCTGTAGGACTGAGCCGCGTCGGTGACGCGTGACCTCGGGAAGCCCAACGCGCACCTGGAATGTACGCGTCACTCAGCACCCGGGAATAATGAAGATCTCCTCGACAGCTAGTGAGTGTTACAATAGGTGTGATTTCACTCAGCTGAACGTCGCAACTATGCAGTGTTTGAACGAATTGTTGCGAGGCCTGCCCGTAGTGTTGAGAACCGAGGGGCAAGTATGCGCGGTGCTGGCGGGCTGTTGATGACGCATGAAATACGCTAATTACGTCAGCGATGCGGCTGACTGTCATCCGACCACCCTCTTGCCGGCACTTCTCATCACCTTCACGAAATCTGCATCAGCCATTTGCTTCTTCAGTCGGAATGCGTTCTCTGCATATGTCATAGTTCAGTCGACCCGATCACCGCGGACTGCACCCCGACGAACTCTCTAGATCCTGACGACATTATCAACGTGTCACTATGAAGCAGAATGCCATCACGCGTACCACCGATCCAACCTCGTGTTCTACGCCAAAGCTACCACGACAGTGTTCTACTGAACGGTCTACAACATGATCACAGCTTATTATTTATTCGGTGACTAGACCCAGTGGTAAACAGTCGCAGTATCGAGTCCGACCAAGTGGATGACTGTTTGCTGCCTCTCTCGAACTTCGCCTAACATCTCCGCCCTTCCCAACGCGGTTGCGATACGATCACACTCATAGGCTATATCACCATTGATCAGCGTGAAAATATGCTCAATTCAGGGAGATACGTACAATCCAGACTGCGGAAGTCTTTTGCTTGCAATGGGAAGTCGATGATAGGCTCGTTTGTCTTGACGTTGCGCATATGACCCATCCTCGTCTCTGAAAATTTGTATGTACTGTGATATCGGCGCATCGCGGTATTCCAGATACTAACACGTACTCATCAATATGCCTTCCTCTGGTTCGGATCCTCCGAAATCACTTACTGTGCCTGAACTTGTTTGTTGAGAGCGATGTAGTTGTCATGCAGTTGGTCTACCTTTTCTTCCATCTCGCAGACTTGCCCCCGAAGATACTGCATAGCTTTCGCAACGTCTGTGCATCTGCGAAGGGGCGTTCGCGGGCTCTCCAGAATATTCAATATTGCGCGCTCTCTCTCTCATCGTGGCTCTTGGGTGGTTCGAGCTCTTGATCCCCTTATAATCATTACCTCACGTCGACCAAAGATCCATTGAAGGGTCTCTTCAACATCATCTGCTCTTGTACACCAGCTTCAACATGCGCAACAGACGAGCTGAACTCGCCAGCCTCGAAAGAACGGTTGTCGGTCTCCATGACAACGTGTTGCGTCTGAGGGCTTCGATGGATGCCGAAAATCGCATGCTGTCTGCTGTGTACAGGAATTTGTTGGCCAGATAAGCGAAGTAAGTGCGCATGAAGCTATGCTTGATCGTCATGCTAACAGTCGATAGAGAGCATAACGCAGACGCGATAGCTTATAACACTACAGCAGATCGCCAGACGAGACTGCTGCCTTTCTACAACACCGGGACCAACGAGCCAATTCGTGGTTTTCCCAATACGTTGGAATGCATTAACACCATGGGGCGTGAGTACAAGCTGTGGCGTAAGCTATCGATGAGTGCGAAGCTGACAGACCATTCTTGCACATCACCAGCTCGAATATGTGATCCGCATACTTGACCCCAATTATTTTCCAACCCCTTTGACTATTGAAGAAAAGCGAGCGCGGCTCCTTGCTATTGTTCAGGGTGTCGAGGAGGTTCGACCGTCCGGGCCCCTGCCACAAGGTCTCGGAAGCATCAGTCACAAAATCGATAACAGGACGGGAAGAATGGACTCCATGCGCAAGCACACAGCCGCTATATCGAATCGCTAGTCACGGTATAGAGACTAGATGGTTCGGGGACTTGGAGTTCGAGATACATATGGACTACTATACGTCATTATAGTCAAGAAATCCGGGGATTACGCAATATATCATCCTGTACCCAATCAATAGACCACCGCGTAGTCTGTCAAAGCTCGGCTGTGTAGTGCTGCCCAGTGATAGACCCAATCCAAAGATGCGCGTTGTAGAATGGAATATTGCGTCGAGGTTAATCGCAAATTGCGTGACCATAACGATGGTCATGTAGATGTACGTACTCAGACAGGCGATATGTTTGCACAAAGGGGATTGAGGTGCTCCTCAAGTATGGCCGACTCCTTGTGTCGGACTTCCTGTTCAGGCTGGCCATTCAAACGGGTAACAAGGACTTGATACTCCTCGCGCAACTTCGGAAACTTCTCCAAATCCCTAATGGCGAGTCTCTTCATGCGTATACCTATCTTCAGTGCTAAACCAAGGTTCTTCTTGCTATCCCGAGCGCGTTCTTTAAATCCACATAAGTTCTTGTTTCTATCCAGAAACGCTTCCGGTGAGCTGTAGTACTCATCAAAGCGATGAGCTTGAAGTAGCGCTGACAAGACGTTCTCTTCTTGGCGTGCATAGTAGAGGCCGTCGTTCTTGAATTCGCGAATTCGTTCCTCGAGATCCATGATGTTGGACAGCTCGTGTGTGGTTCCTGGGTGTGCTGCTGTGTACTTTTTCTTTGCAGCGTTGATGGCTGCAAAAAGTTGGCCGGTCGCTTGTGTGACTGCATCCCAGTTGGCGAAGCCGGAATTGATGATTGACTTTTTCAGGTCGCCGGTCAAGGCATGGTATCGGTCTTGATCAGACATCGTGTGAGTAGATGCAGAAAGTCCGCACGATCGACTAGGTGGTCCGATTTTGGGCATCTTTGTTGTGCGTAGAGTTGTGAAAGATGGTGTGGAAGATTGTTGTGCGCGCTGAGAAGAAGTCACATATACTGTCGCCGCGTAGTGCTTGAACCACGGTTCTCAACCAACTTTTTAGTGGATACAGCGAACAACTTGGGTAACTCGTGATACATTGGTACTGATACTTGGGAAAAGGGTTATTCTTTTGTGTAGCAGATCCAATATCTTGTCTCGCATATTCACACATCCATCGCTATCACGTATAGGCCTCGGGCATGGGGATGAAGGTCGCCGCCTAAATCCCCACTGTGCGCAAGTGTCTTTTGCGACAGTTTCGACTACCGAGTTCGTATTCGCATGGTATGTCGACTTTGGTAACCTTCAAAATGTCGAGGTGGTCAGCGCATCGGCCATCAATTGCTCCGAACCATATGGTAACTCACTCTTGCCTCACGACTATCTTTAGCCAGCTCTGGCTGTTGGCGTATCGGTAGCAGTGGCGCTATACCTTGGCTGGTATTCTTATTAGCTTCTCGCCTGGTCCAATAGGCGCATCACGTTACCGAAGATATGTCTCTTTTCACTTGTTTTTGCATGATCTCATCATCGTTCAACTTCTCTCTCCGCAGCTGCGCAAGCTTTCGCGACATCTCCGGACCTTTTGGCGCGCAAACTACTACCCACCCTCACGAACTCAACCTGTGAGCTCTGCGCACCTGCCGCGCTCATTGGCTGCGTACGCAGCTGCTCGGCTGGTCTCCAGATCATCGTCCAAAGCTCGCTTGCCAGGTTCATCGTGTAATCGAAAGCGCCTTCCAGTAAAGGCCATATCGGCTGGTGATACTGGTGGTCCATCGCGCGCGGTCGGTGACGGCCTTGAATGCGAATGTTGGGTATCTTGTTTCCTTCGGACTCGTTGTGTGCCAGAATATGTGCCTTATGAGGATGTTCGGCTATAGAAGGTAGTGGAAATGCGCCGAGAGATAAGGTCACAGATAAGGGAGTTGATATGGCACCGCAGTGATTGGAGCAGCACAGTGGGTCCAGCAGCCTTTACAGTTTGTATCCTCAAGAGCCCCGCAGGTAAGAACCGACCGCCTCTTCTTGTCTTCTTCTGTCCGCTATTGCACCGCGCTGATCATACTTGATGCCGGTAAAGTACACGCTGGTGATGTGCAGCCGCTCCTTCCATCAGACTCACGGGCTCAGCATTCCGCCTGTCATCGCAAGGGTCCAGCACGACTGCAAAACGACTGCTTTCTTGTCGGCAACTGCCTGAGCAAGGCCCTCTTGCCTTCGCGACCCATCCCATTTACTGTTCCCGCACAGCTTAAGAAAGACAAAGACCGCGTTGGTGATGTTGGTGAAGGAAAGTCGAGGGGATGCTGAGATTACTATGGCACTTACCTAGTAGTAAAACGAAGACCCAAATAGGACGCAAGTTAGACCCAGATGCACAGGTTTTTGGAGGCAGAGACGTTGACATCAGTGAATTCGATGGTGAACATGATGCCTTGAAGCATATGTATGAGATCGGTTCTCCGGAAAAGATGCTATGTTCAGGAAACTAGCAAGTTGTCGCGATGAGATAAGGGGAGGCCGTGAGATACATACGGACACTACTGCCCGTTCGTGATGGCT